TGTCTACTTAGGAGCCCTTGAGGTGCTCTCATGAGCTCTGTGGGGCCCTACCGAGCTGAAATATGGCCACGGCCAGTTGCCGCCGCATGGCTCTTCGGACTATCATTCTCAGGGGCCTCATCTGCCTAGTTTGAATAGAAGGGCCATCCATCAGAACATCAGTCTCATGGGCCTCCTCTGGCTAGTATAAATAGAAGGGCCTGTTAGACCATCAATCCTAGGGGCCTCCTCTGGTTAGTATAAATAGGATAGCCTCTCACTTCTCAGACCATTAATCTCAGGGGGCTCCTGTGGACAGTATGAATAAAAGGGCCTCTAAGACCATCAGTCTCGGGGGCCTCCCTAGAAAAGTGTAAATGTGGATAGAGGGCCCCTCAGATTCATTAGGAGTGGACCTCTCTGACTATCAGTCTCAGGGGCCTCTTGTGGCCAGTATGAATATAAGAGCCTCTCAGACCATCGGTCTCAGGGGCCTCTTCTGACTAGTGTGGATAGAGGGCCCTCCCAGACCACCGGTTTCAGGGGCCTCCAGTGGCCAGTTATATGAACAGAAGGGCCTCACAGCCATCAGCCTCGGGGGCCTCTTCTGACTGGTGCATGAATATGAGGGCCTCTCATACCATCAGTCTCAGGGGCCTCCTCTGCCTAGTGTGAATATAAGGGCTTCCCAGGCCATCAGTCTCAGGGGACTCTTCTGACTGGTGCCGGATTGAAGGACCTCCCAGACCGAAAGTTTTGGGGGTCTCCTGTGGCCAGTATGAATAGAAGGGCCTCTTAGTCCATCAGTCTCATGGGCCTCTTCTGCCTGGTGTGATTATCAGGGCCTCTCAGGTCATCAGTCTCAGGGGCCTCCTCTGACTACAGTGTAGATGGATAGGCTTCCCAGACCATCAGTCTCAGGGGCCTCTTCTGACTATTGAGGATAGAGGGGCCTCCTCTGACTAGTGAGGGTAGGGGGCCTCGGCTAGACCGCCAGTGTCAGGGGCCTATTCTGACTAGTGTGGATGGAGGGGCCTCCCAGACCACCAGTCTCAGACCTCTGACTAGTGTGGATAGAGGGGCCTCCCAGACCGCCAGTGCCAGGGGCCTCCCCAGGCCAGTGTGGATATTGGGGCCTCCTCAGATCCACTAGGGCCTCTCAGGCCATCAGTCTCAGGGGCCTCGACTGACAAGTATGAACAGAGGGCCTCCTTGGATCCATCACGGCCCCTTGGAGTCTGTGCGTGGGGACTCGTGGAACTTATTTTTACCGAGTTTGTTTATTCTGGAAGGTAACGACGTCCTCTCAAATCGAGACGAGGGGCCTCGAGTAAAAAGTGGGTGGGCCAAAACACATGGTTGGCCCCCCCACCTCGAAAAGTGGGTGGGCACTTGCCCACCTGGCCCCCCCTGTTCCTACGCCTATGGTAATAAAAATGAAAAAAGAGCTTACTATGCCGGGCTTCCCCCGGCTTCCCCTACCGACTCTGAGTCGCATTTGAATACAACATTCCAGCGTAAAAAGTATCATAAATGTTTTGAAAATTAAGCTAGTACCGAAATACTTGTTTTACCATCAAAAGCTCAAACTTCAAGCCAACCGAAATATAAGCCAGCAGATCTTTTTTTTTTGGGGGGGGGGGCTTCGGCATGGAAGGGGGCCCAGTTCGCAGGTCGTGCCCCCCATTCAAAAATCCTGTGTGCGCGCCTGTTTGTACATAGGTAGGTACTCGTAATTCGCTGATGGGTAGGTATACGGCCTACGGGTCAATGCCGCAGTCGTGGGCGGAGCCTAATGTCGTGACGTGTGAAAGGCTCCATCCGGGATGAAAAACAGTTTAGGATTACGGGTCAATGACAAGTACCTACCACAAATATTTGAGTAACAGCAAAATGCACTAGAAGTAAAGGTTTCGGCTATTCTCATTTCTCACAGTGTGTTATCCCGGCAGGCGGTGGGCCTACCAGCCACCTTCCGTGCGGTGGGGGGGGGGGCATTTTTTTGCCCCCTCGTATCTCCGAAATTACTGGACGGATCCGGAAAATTCAAACGGCGTTCGATAGCCCTGTCAAATTTGTTGAAGGAAACTAAATTTTATTGACCTCGGGGTCACTGATGACGTCACAGGTCAGGTCAAAGATAAAATGTTTCACCGTTCACGGGGCTTCTAGGGAAAGCGCTATAACAGTGGCGGATCCAGGGGGGGGCTGCGGGGGCTGGCAGCCCCCACCTAAGGAAAACTGGCGCCACTGCGCCTTCGGCGCAGTGGCGCCAATTTTCAATTCGCAACTCATCGGAGTGCCGCATACTAGGACTAGGATGCAAAAATCAGTCGAATAACGTCGTTTCAGTATGCTCCGCACCGATATTTCCAATCGTGTGGTGTCACTGTACATACTGATCCTGGGCGCCTCTTGTCAGGGCCACTGGGCGCCAATATTTCAGCGCCAATACGATGCGACTATGGCGCCCATCCGGGGCGTGGCGCCCAATTATGACCTATTGACCTGCAGCCCCTCCCCAGTGAAAATCCTGGATCCGCCACTGCGCTATAACACCGAGTAAAACGCATTTTGTCGAAAATCAGCGATAAGGCGTCAGTTGTCTAGTACATATGTTGCTATTAGAGGTCACTGGTCATACCAGGTCAGGTCACAGGTCAGGTCACCAAAGGTCACCAAGGGTCACCACATGAACTCAACTTTACTAAGGTTGTGCGATGCATATTTTATTTATGGCCAGTTTTTCATTTCCAACTCAATGGTATTGGTTATAAGACCATCAGGTACGGTTTAGGTCACTTTCTGGTGGAGGTCAGGTCAAGGTCAGGTCAAAAAAGGTCAAATTTCAAAGTTGATTTTTTGCATAAAATGGGTAGGGGAAAGTGGGTGTATTGCGCCCTCCTAACTAATTGCGCCCGCCCACATTCCCACGAATTCAATGGCATGTTCAGTATTTTGTTTTCGAAAACATTATTTCACCACTGGATAGTTCCTTTTATGGCCCAAGCTCTCCGATGAAGCCAATCAGCAAGGCTCATTACGCCATCAAAGATATTACGGCGTTTTCTTAACTTTCTTGCAGCATTTTGAACCGTTGGCTATAAAAATAGGCGATACATGTGTGATTTTGAGAGTGATATTTGGAAAGAAAAATCCTTTTTTTAATATATTTCACTGAAACAGTAAACATCCTTCAGTATCTTTATGGTAACTTCTACGCTTTTATTAAAAAGTACCTCAATTTTAATTGCGCCCATGGCAATTGCGCCAGGGGGGGCGCAAATAGAATAATGGTGTAGCTATTGTATCACGACAGTATGAATGCATCATAAACTGATTGCGATAAAGAAGGAGTTTTATGTCAGGCAGGGGAGCAACCCGCCATCGTCAGTCCAAAAATTATTTCTCTCGTCGAACTTATAATGTAGCTGCCATTTAGGCTATGAACTTACGGTGTAATTGACGAAATACGGCATTTTTAACATGGACTCAGGCGTGAGAGGTGACAGCTATGATACAAAGTTAGAACTGATGTCAAAAAAGTTGTCGAAACAATAAAAAATATTAACTTTGAGAGAAACGATTGAAAATATAGCAGTCTAGACGCATACGTTCATATATATCTAGTCGGTTACATCAAACGTTTTCGTTCCACTTCACAAGCATACCGGACACAAGTAAAGTTATTTACCTGCGCAAAAAACATCGCAATTTATATCTTCATTTATTATGTATCGAGCTTGATTCACATAATACATGTTCAAGTAAGCCACAACGACATAGACTGCCGGAGTGTATGCATTCCGTCTCCTTTGCTTAGCCATGTTAAAGGATAGGGCGCAATTGGGTTCTAATTGCGCCATCCCCCTGGCGCAATTTACATCAGTTGTTGGTAAATGCGCCCTTTTGCATGTTTTTGAAAAAGCAACTGTCAGAAGCAAACGAAACATTCTTAATTGATCGGGAGGCTCTTAAATCGTAGCCAATGAGTTCCTCTTTGAAATGGTGAACAGTGCATGCTTACATCTCCAGTGGTTTTCTTACAATTAGCGTTTTTCCTTAAGGTGGCGCAATTCACCCTCCTTCCCCTATCGATTCGATGCAGCTCGTCGCGGGGAGTCTAATGGTGGCCTTTGTTTTGCGCTACGAGGTCTAGAATTGCTAAAAATTGAGTTTGAAAATTTGACGTCATCAATTTTGAACAGTTTTTTCGCTATAACTTGGCCAAAAAAGGAGGTATTGATCTCAAATTTGGTATGTAGATAGAAGTCGGTAGGGACTATCACATATATTCCGTTTTTTCCAAATTCAAAAAACTGTTTGGATTTTTCGGCTATTATTATCAAAAAAATCTATTTTTTGATTTTTGGGGGTCAAAATAAAAAAAAAAATTGAAAAAACCGAAATAGTAGTTTTGTAGCCCTCTTGATTCCACACCTTTTATGTCGGAACATTTTTCTGTATCTCTAAAGCTGTAGCCCTGACAGCTCTTCCCGCGAAACCTTTTTTTTTTTGGTCGAAAATGGCAAAAATGACGTCACTCTGACGTCATTAGTGGCCAACCTATCATAGCCTTTGGAAAATTTTTGGTCACCATGTGCGCTAGCTACTCCCGGGAGGGTACTGAAAGTTTGGTGACGATCGGCGCAGTGGTTCTCGAGATAAATCGAAAAAACTAAAGGGGGGCAAAAAATGCCCCCCCCCCCACCGCCTGGAAGGTTATTCGTTATAGTCACCGTGGTTATTCGATGATTATTTGACTGCCATTAGCTAGAACCTGGGCTAGAGCACTAAGCGGTAGTCACAAACGTCGCCAATATCCACAATATTGAGAACAATCAGTAAAATGTTTTTGTTATTCAAATGATGCAATTTTTTGTCTCATTGGCTCTGCAAACTGTGAGTTTTAGGATGCCTAGAAGAGCAGCTGTAAAATAGTAGGTACTACCGCCGCGCCTTACCCATCTCTTTCACTTTTCCAAGTACGTACCGACACGTACTTACTTCGAAAGGTATTTGTCCATCACTAAATATCACAAGAAGGGATTTGTGCGCAAGCGAGTCTCCGGCGGGGCGACGCTGGTTAGGGGTTTGTGCGACGTGTTGTTTAGCATGGGATCACGTGAATAGAGGACTTCACTGAAAGTAAGTTATTGAAACTTTCTCTTCATTTAAATGAAGCTACGAAGTTGTGCCGATCAGTTGCTGAAACGAACTGATGATGACCTTGTGCGCCATTTTGGAAACGTCGCAAACGTGTTGAATAGGATTACTTAAATTTGTTTTCTTTCTCGCTATCCCTGAATGCTATTGAAATAGATGGAATCTTTATATTTATAAGACGTAAATGTAGATGTAAGTAGAACTTAATAACATGATGCACAAGAAATTATTAGGATGAGTGTTGGTGGGTTGCTCCACAATCACAATGCAATCACAACAGTAGGCGGAACTATGGTCATGAGTACCCAAATATAGGAACGTTCCCATTTTTGGGAACGGAGTTCCCGAATATGGGAACGGGCGTTCCCATTTATGAGAACGGAAGGCAATTTTTCGGCCGTTTGCCCACTAAAACTCAAAAGTGCATCACGTCTCAAAAAAGTGCACGCTGATTTAAGTATCTACTAAATCTCCATAAAGTTATCTTTAATCTGACCGTGGAACAAGGAAATTGACCGTGGAATGATATTTTTAATGATTTTTTAAAAATGACAGAATGGTGGAAATATGGGTTATACGACATTTAACATGCAATTTTAAGGAAAATGAAGCATTTTTTACATTTTGAGGTCAAGTATAATAATTTTCGCCTGGTTATGAAGTTTCATTCTAGCGACACCAGATGCTGACATATGCAAGCGAACACGCGGACAGTCCCGAGGTAATATTGTTGACTTTTGGTGTCGGGGCGATCGACCGCGTGGAACGTCAGTGATTTTACCGAACTACTGTTGTAAACTCAGTTTCAGTGGTTTAAAATCATTCAGCTGTATTTTATCAGCCCTGAAAGACATATTTTATTTGGATGCTAGCTGTTTAGCGTTGTTTTATAAGCAGCGTCATGAGCGTGGTTTTTGTCTTCGGCGTTTCTAAGCATGATCGTTTGGGGGGAATTTCTCTGATATAGGTCGCTCTGTGTGGCTTATTTATAATTTTTATGCTGATTTCGATCATACCTCGTGCCCATCCTACCAGGCCTTTTGCCACTTACACTCATTAAGAAAGAAAAAAACTAGATTTTCATTGGGACTAGGTGTTTTGAGGGTGTAACATATTCAGCGTTCCCATTTTTGGATACTTCTTGTGCTCGTCAACTCTCGGTGATTAGCAGACAGGTGCTTGACATGTCTCCACCCTCGGCGCGGACGGTGGATATAGGTATGGAAGACCTTGTTGAACATCGCTGAGCGTTGTGGATTACGTAATCCTGCAGAGGGGGGCGTGCCCGCTGCGAGATCGACGGGAATAAAAGCGCAGAAGACCGGGCGAAACATGCAACGGTCTTGCCGGAAAGGTCATCTGATGATTGTTGCGTTAACAATAATTTGCGGCGTTGGACGTGATGCTTGTTAATGAAAAGAGCCCCTGAAAGGCGTCGGTGAAATCGTTCCCAATTTTGGGTACGCCGTTCCCATAATAAGGAACGCTTGCAGCGCCAGTGTACGAGAGCGTTCCCAAATTTGGGCTCGCGGCCCGGGTGATGGACTGCTTTAGAAATAGGGGAACGATTTGAAACTACGATGGGCCTTACGATATCAAACTCTTTCCCAACAATATTGAGACAACTATCAGGCGGTTCACGATCGTTTTATATTTTTTTTGGACGTCATTTAACAGTTCTTTTTCTTGTTTTAAATAATGCCTACATGGCGTTCCCATATTTGGGTTTATCGTTCCCAAACATGGGAACGAAAATGCGTTCCCGAAAATGGGTACGCTTGACCATAGTTCCGCCTACTGACAATGCAAATCATGAAATAAAATGTGAATTTGAATGAGTCAAGGTTGAATACAGTTGGTGACTTACCAGTGAAATGAGGTAAAAATAGAGCGCTCTATTTAATGATCCTGCGCCATGTTGAAGAAATACCCCTTTGAGTGTGATCTTTTGTCAGTTGTTACGCAGCAAGCCAACACTTCTCTGACCAGTTAAAGAGAATTCATCAAATATTATCATACACTAGAAAAATAAAATCAAGATGTTTCTCAATCAAAGAAATCAGTTCTAAACATAAGCTAAATATTGATCCTATTTTGCCACCATCATAAAAAAAGATACTGATACCCAGCCCCCGTTCACGAGCTCCAGAATCCCTTTACCGTGATGTCACCACGGCGGTAGAATCTCCCTTCACCCATAGGCATGCATGTAAATTTCATCATCTTTCGAGCGAGGTGAAGAAAAAAAAGGATTATGTGTCATCAAAAGTTGTACCAATGTAACAATGAGTTCGCCTCATTACAATAAATGGGACTGAAACTAAAAAAATAGGACTTTATCGAGCCAAATCCAGCAATTCAAATGACCCCTTCATTTGAACATGAAGGATTTACTCTGATGACGTCACCACAGCGCCTTTATTTCCCTAGTGAACCAACTTGAGTAGTAAAGGAACCACCCTTGTGGCGCAGTTGGCAAGTGCTTTCACGTTTGGCGTGGGAGGTCCTTGGATCAAAGCTGACCTCTGGCAGCGTTTTCCTCGGCCGGCTCCTACCCAGGAGATGGCAGTAACTGGGGAGTGTTCGCTCGGTTGTGGGGATTACCGCTGTGCCAGCCAGCGCCCCCGGCCGCAGTTACACGGGCCTGATCCGCCTTTAAACAGATCCTTCGGTCCGGTGACATGTCCCGAGGGCACGGCCTCGCTTCATGTCCTGGAGCAGCCCTTTGACCTGCCGGGCCCGAGAAATCGGGATAGCCCCAGCGTGCGCACCAGTGCGGTGCCACCTGGGGTGCGTGACAGGAAGCGTGCGGTCAAGGCTGTCCCGCGTAGCGGGTGCCGAAAACGTTTCGTACCACTGCTGTGTATATACCATATAGTGTACTAACCCAGTATGAATGTGTGCTACTAACGACAAAAGCCCGGGTTGGGCAGTAAAAATATTTTTTTTAAAAACTTTAGTAGCAAAGGACTTGCTGATACCTACCCCCAATCACTTGATAAGCTAAAAATAATGCTGATCCTGCCACTCAGTCAGAAATATTTTTCTCATAGTTGAATTTCATAATTATTTATTAAACAAAAGATTGTGTTTCAGAAAAATGGGCTGATTTTATGTGGAGATGTATGTAGAGAAATTATTAATCATGGTAAGGTTATTTGTATTGTCTTTTTTAGTATGTTAACCCGCGACCTGGTGGGGGGGGGGCTATTTTTTGCCCCCCTCCAGACTTTTCGATATATCTCCAGAACCGCTGCGCCGATCGTCACCAAACTTTCAGTACCCTCCCGGACATCAATTTTACACATTGTGACCAAAATTTTTCCAAAGGCTATGATAGGTTGGCCGGAAATGACGTCAGAGTGACGTCATGTTCTGCCGTTTTCGACCCAAAAAAGGGATTCGCGGGAAGAGCTGTCAGGCCTATAGCTTTGCAAATACAGAAAAATGATTAAAAAATAAAAGCTGTAGAATCAACAGGGCTACAAAACTGCTATCTCGGATTTTTGAAATTTTTGGATTTGGACCCCCAAAAATCAAAAAATAAATTTTTTGGATATAATAATCGAAAAATCCAAAAACTTTTTTGAATTTCGCAAAAACCGGAATATATGTGATAGTCCTTACCGCCTTCCATCTACATACCAAATTTGAGATTGATACCTCTTTTTTTGGCGAAGTTATAGCGAAAAAACTGTTCAAAATTGATGACGTCAAATTTTCAAACTCAATTTTTAGCAATTCTAGACCCTGTAGCGCAAAACAAAGACCACCATTAGACTCCCCGTGACGAGCTGCATCGAATCAATACCCATTTTATGCAAAACTATCAACTTTAAAATTTGACCTTTTTTGGCCTGACCTTGACCTGACCTTGACCTGAACTTCACCAGAAAGTGACCTAAGCCGTACCTGATAGTCTTATAACCAACACCATTGAGTTGGAAATGAAAAATTGGCCATAAAACATGCATCACACAACCTTGGTAAAGTTGGGCTCATGTGACCTGACCTGTGACCCTTGGTGACCTGACCTGTGACCTGACCTGGTATTGTCAGTGAACTCTAATAGCAACATATCTCTACTAGGCAACTGACGCCCTATCGCTGATTATCGACAAAATGCGTTTTCCTCGGTGTTATAGCGCATTCCCTAGCAGACCCGTGAACGGTGAAACATTTCATCTTTGACCTGACCTGTGACGTCATCGGTGACCCCGAGGTCAATGAAATTTGGTTTCCTTGGACAAATTTGATAGGCCTTTCGAACGCCGTTTGAATTTTGCGGATCCGTCCAGTAGTTTCGGAGATACGAGGGGGGGGGCAAAAAATAGCCCCCCCCACCAGGTCGCGTTATAAACAGACCCCACCAGGGCGCGGGTTAATATTTCAGCATGTTCAGTTTTTTCAGTTTTTTTTTTCAGTATTTCAGTATGCTCTGCAGGGAGTTGAGCATTATTTCAGTTCAGGACCAATCTTTTCCTTGTTCAGTTGTTCATTAATCATGACATTTTCAGGGTGGAACAATTAGTTTTCAGGCGTTCCAAGTGGTTTTCGTGAGAATGGTACCAAAAACGATGTCCTTTTTAGATCCTTTTTACAGGACCCTATGGGAGGCAGTGCTGTCACAGGATCTTAATGCTATTGCAGCACTTGCCAAAGAATGGACTATAACTACCTTTGGACCCTCTATAGTCTATGAACTGGAGAAATTCACAAAATAAATACATGAGAAGAACGCATCCATTTAAGCTTGAAAAGTGACACCACACATCAATACTTTACTTACAATACCTTTTACACAAAACATGAGTCACACCCAACCACCTATTGAGTCAGGTAGTAACCCTATCTGACTTAAATCATCATCGGTGTTTGGTTACTTTAGGGGTAAGTTTGTCAGGACTCAGGATAGGTTAGGTTTAAGTATTTCTTCTTGTAGTGTAGGTAGCTGTTTTAGGAGTAAATGGTTGTATGATCAATTTCTTGGCTTATATATCAATATCATTTGTGACAATATGGTATGGTTTTTATTCAATTTTGAGCCCAGGGTGCAAAAGGCAACCTTTGCCCAAGAAAGCGACCTTATCGTACCTGTTCGGAGACAACAGGCAATAAATGGTCTTTTATTGCAACATTTCATCCCACAAGTGCAATTGCATTTTTATGTCATTGGCAGGGGTGTAATTTTATATCTCTTTTTGGGAGCAGATGCACCCACAATCCTGAATTATGCCCCCACAATGATGAACATGCACCCACAAGTCTTTTACAAGCGTCCCGTCCAGAGCACGGCGCCCTTCGCATGCTGTAACGGCGTCCTCCTGACCGTCTCGCGTTCTTGGATAATGTAGCGTTTTTGATCACTCGGCGCCTTTCTAAGAGAATGGTGCCCCTTTTCATGGTTTCCAGGCGCCCTCGTCACCGTCTGGCGCCCCTATGTCCCCACCAACTTCGCACTACTGACTGTTCGACGCCCTTCTGGCCTCACAGCGCCCCTGGACCACATAGCGTGTTCAATCACTCGGCGCCCTTCGAGGAGAATGGCGCCCTTTTTATGGTCTCACGGCACCCTCGTAACCGTCTGGCGCCCTCTTACATCCCCACCAACACAGCATTACTGACTGTGCGGCGCCCTTCTGGCCTCTCAGCGCCCCTGGACCACATGAATGTTTTTTATCACTCGGCGCCCTTCTAGGATAATGGCACCCTTTTTATGGTCTCACGGCAGTCGGCACCCTCGTAACCGTCTGGTGCCCCTCTAATTTTTTACGGCCTTCCGGTCACTTAACACTTTTATCGGTGTATTTGCTTAGTCCGACATGTCATTTGAAGCGCCCTTCGGCTAGCAATGCTATCAAATTTGGTGTTTCTTTAGGCTCCCACATAAAGAATATCCATTGGCCATTGCTCCCCAAAGCAGCCTGGCGCCCCTACAGCTGGACACCCACAATCATTTTAGGAAAATTACACCCGTGGTCATTTGTTATCATTTGGTATTCACGTCGACACTTCTTATGATTTTATCAACGGAGTTCACGTGATTGCACAAATTTTCGTAAGAAGTAGGCAAGGCTGCGGAGTCGATGGATTTTCGGGTGACTCCGATTCCGACCGTGACTCTGGCTTCAAAAATCGACTCCGACTCCAACTCAGACTCCGGACGGTTCTATTAAAATCCATATGATGATATTGAAGTTCATAATGGAGATATTTGTTATCTCGCCTGAAACGACCCCTTGTGCGTTCCAAGGCTTTACGTTGCAAATGGGCATTTAAAATAACATGCATAATTAAAGGGCAGGTTCTGGGGAATTCACCCGTCCTCTGCTTCTTTCGCTAAAAACGTTCGTCCAAATCAGCAAAATTGCCTTTTTTCGACAGAATCTAATTTCGAGAGCAGAATCGTCAATCAAACAGGTGCAGTGCATGCCCTTGTGCCATGCAGCGTCAACTCTGACTACGGAGTCGGAGTCGGTAAGCTTTCGGCGACTCCGACTCCGGGCAGAACTGTCGACTCCCATTCCGACTCCGCAGCCCTGGAAGTAGGTCAAGCGTAAGAAAATTCTTATGAAAATGATCGACGTGAATATGGCCCCAGGTTCATTTTCATTTTGCACACTCGTAAATATATGCTTAAGATGCCCTGAGGGTACCGGACTTGTGCTTTAAAATTTTTCAGGTCAAGGTCGGTCAGGTCATCCTAGGTCACGGAAATTTATATCACACATCGGTCACGTGACACATATTTTATGGTCCATGTAGGCCATAAATTTCGAAATCAGTGTGTTCTGTGTCATTCGAGGCCATTTTCAGCAGGACATAGTTGAGGTCAGATCACTTTCAGGTAAACAAAGTTCAAATTTTAAAGTTAAAATTTTTCAACAAAAAAGTGTCTAGCTGATGCAGTTTGAGCTCAGGAACACGACGATGGTAGTTATTTTGGTGTACGATGTCAAAAACCTACTGAAAAGTTGATTTGAATATTTGATGATGTTAGGTATTTTTACTATGAAGCGTATAACTTAGCTATTTTTGAAGGTATCGGGCTGGAATATCCTATAGTAATTAATCGATATATGTTCCATCACATACATTCCGTTTTTTTCGAAAGATCAACTTACGGGAAAATTTTCAAAAATATTTTTGATTTTTGATGTCAATTATTTTCAAAATTTTGAAAATCCGAGATTGTAGTTTGAAAGCCATGTGTATTTTAAGTCCTGTGTTGGATCTAGCTCAAAAACTAAGCTCTTGAGAACGATTGCCGTAATTCAATGTTTTGCATTAAAATCGGCCGAACATGACGTCACACTGCCGTCATTTCCGGCCGATCTATGGTAGCTACGAATTTTTGTCTGGTCACCCGATGGTACTGAAAGTTACGTGTTGATACGTCCAGCGGTTTAGCAGAAATTGCAGAAAAAACGACAAAAGGGGCTAACCACCCCCTTGGGGCGCGGGTTAACCCTCGCCGGCACAGGCTATTTTGCGTCCTTCGACGGCACAATGGTCCCGGAAAGCTGGTACCGTAGGAAAAATCGGGACCTGCTAGAAAGTCGTAAAGTGTGGCTGCTATATAAGGGCTTTTTCGGGGTGCTGATCACGAATATCGTGTTAGTTTTGATCTCAGACGATGTCTTGAAGCATTTAGACCAGGTGGGGTCAGTATGGAAAGAGCCCCCAACTAAGCGAAGCTTGTTGCGTTGACCCTGCCCTCTACCCTCCGATCGCGCTATTCCGGTTCTATGGCAGAATTTGGAGTCCAAAGTTCGTGCGCACATAGCCGCGCACGGCCGGTCTCCTCACTGACTTTGCCCGGCTACGCCTGCCACCAACCGCAACCATATCTGTCAGGAGGCTTGTAAAGGTCAAGCGCCCGTCGCGCTTCGAACCCGGACCGTTATAACCGGAAACGCGTGCTCTCACCACGCGGAGTCCAAAGGTCTACCGAGTGTGCTACGGGACCGGCTGAAATACCGGCTGAATATGAAACATGACCTTGTCTATGTCAGATTTTGAGTTTTTGCCCTCTGGAGGGGGTAAACTGTTGACCTTAGGTCAAATCAGATAACAATACCAGGAAAGTGCTTGTAAGAGCTATCGAATGGGCTTTTCCGTGGCGCTGTACTCTATTTGTTCCCAACTTATGCGCCGATTCGTGAGAAGTGGTCAAAATTGGAAACCCAATCTCGGGATGATTTTACTTTTGGTGACCTCAAGTGACCTCAGCGATGACCTGATAAAAAATGACATTCGTGATTCTGAAAGATCTTATAGCGAGCTATTTGTTGCTTTTTACCTTTTTAACCTTTTACCTTTTACTCCGCTTTTTTAAACATTATTTGCATTTTTATCACATGGGCTTGAAAAGTCAGAATGCAGGTGCTGGAGTATTTATTTGTAAAGGAGAACGCAATCTTTTCCGACCCCCACCAGACACGATTTGGTAGCAGAGTAATGACGTCAGGCGTGAAGCTTTCCCTTCACCATAGGGATTACACACAAACTGGTCAAAGTTCGAGCCTAGATTTACTAGCCTTAACATACAAAAACCGATCAAATTTTGGCATCAATAGATTCAGTGTTTCATCTTGTGTCTCAAAACGTCCATCATTTGGCCTCAAGGTGTAAAGTGTTCAAAATTGGAGTTGAAAAAGATGCTATTTGGGCACAAAATCTGGTAGCATCACGTGACTTGTTTAGAGCGGTTTGTTGATAATTTACTGATATAATTATCAATATACTGCTTAAAACATTAATTATACATTTTAGACTTTTAATACTTTTGGTAAGGCCATAACATTGCAAAACACAAAAGTTTTAGAAATAGTCACGTGGGTGTCAGGGAATGTCACAGGTGCGTCAGATTTGTGACTGGGTCAAACATCGGGTCTACCTGTATTTTTTTATAGGCATCTTGATCTTTTCAACCCACCTGGGACCAGATGGGTAACGGTCTTATTTTCAGCAATGGGAGTGGGCCAAGTGACCTGAAAGCCAAGTTTCTTGAATTTAACTTTGCATGATTTCATTGGAGCCTGATCATTTATTGGTGTCAAGTTGTTAACATGCTGCTGTTTTTGTTGCAGGTCTTCTCCCATGAGTGACGGCGTAAGCACCCTCGTGACGACCTAACAAGCTGAATGACCCGCCTACTAGTCCCAATGGCTGAGTAGAATGGCTGTCGCCTTAAGAAGGCAGCATGCCTGCCTCAGCTGGCCATCCAAGCCAGGGGAAAAGGACGAACCCGACCGCGCTCCAGTGATGCTGCTCTCTTTCTAAACATTGTAGGCCAGGTATGTGACACTGTGCTTCAGGCTTCGCACTGGAGATTTCAACTTCACTATGTGATTTACGTGCACAGTATTGTAGTTCACCAATCGAAAAGTATAAGCTGCAAACAGCTTTAAGGAATCACGATCGTCATCTTAAAATGCTTTATAGGGAGTATTTTATGTTTCGTTGTTCGTGGTTTTTGTTTTAATAAGCGTCTATCTCATTTTGTAAGGTGCTTACCTCATACCAGTAAAAGATGGTTGTGGTCTGTGTGAGTAGGGTCGATGTGCCAGTAGTCTGCCCAGGGTGGTAGAGTAGAGTTGACGTTTCCTGAACAGACCCTTTGGCGAGAGCCCGGCTCGAGGCGCCCTGGCGCTGGCATCTTTCCTGTGACCTGCAGTCATTAACAGTGGTCGTGTAAAAATACAAATGACAAAAAAAAAATCTAGCCTTGGTCAGGTTCAAAAGTGCAGGTGTAAAATGTCTGAAAGCACCTTCGCTCCCTGCCAGCCGCGAGTTCTGACCACTGATCAGACAGTTTCAGCCGTTACGGCTCCCATTTGCTTGGTAGGCGGCCTTAGCATCTTCCAGACTCTTGGGATTGTTGGTGTTGATCAGGCCTGTGAAAGCAGGGAGTGACCGTAGTCGAAACCTGACTTAATGTCTCGATGGATTGGTGGGCTGGACAGGTTGCAGCAGAAGCTTATTAGAGGTGGCGAAAGGGTTTGGAACCAGACTCGAACCAGACCCGACTTGACATTTCTAGAACCAGGCAGACCCGGTCTAAGTTAGAATCGGAACCAGTTGGACCCGTTCCCCAAATGTCAATGAATACAAACTGTTTTGTACCTATCCTAAGGTGCATCAAGTAAAACAGCTTTTTCCAACGGGGGATACTTATGAGCTGCAGTGTGCAAAAAAAAAAAAACATAACGAACAAATGCTCGTTTCTTGTCATTCACTTCATATTTTGCAATCAGGTTTAGTATCTATGCAAGTAATATGGTTTGTGGTAGGACCCTGTTGGACCTGTCAGAAAATTCCAGAAACCGTTTCGTCGGGCCCACATTTTGCCACCGCTAATGCTAATCATTTTGCTCTAAATTGTGCCTTTTTACCGATGTTTGTTTGTTATGTAGTAACCTGATTAAGTTCGGTATATGCGCAACAAGCTTTGCTTGGCTTGGACTGTTGCCTCGAAAAATGTATCCATTTGAAGGGTTTTGACTAAAGTGAACGATACATTTTGTCCATGTAAGTTGTAACTATGATCTTACATCACAACCGTAATAGAGAACGGCTCAATTGTGATTATTTGTTTTAGGCCACATTCTGACTGGAACTTGGTCATGCCGTTCCGCTTTTTTCAGATAAATAACTGTGTGATGAAGTATCCCCAGCTTGTCTCCACTCCGGCAGTGGTTAAGGTAAGACCTGGCTCATTTTTCCTGGATCATCAGTAAGGCATTATAACATTAGTGAATAATGTCAGGACATTGATCATTTTATACCATTCATTTGTGCGTTATTATTATTTAACCTTTACTAGTTTCAGTTCACCTCTCTTGAAGTATTTACATTTTTCATTGTCTTCCTAACATTGATCGACGATCTTGCCAAAGCTTGCCGGCTCACTGAGTTGGGCGACTTAGTATCCAAAATTTAGTTCCGTAAATGACCAATGGCCAAGTATCTCAGACCTTCAGTATCCGCTCTGAAGTGATCAGACGCCAGGCCAGCACTGTGTAACCCACCGATCGCAGACCACGCCGCCCGCTGTTCACATTGTGACGGCGCGCGCGTTGCTCTCACTCGGCAGGAGTGGCTGGAGGCCGAGTTGGAATGCCTCGGCATCGACTCGGCCGCCTACGCCCGCACCGTGCTCTCCCTGTTGAGCCGCGACACCATCGACCCGGCAGAGGTCATACAGTCCGGCTACGTCCTGATCGCCAACAAGGTACGCAACAACTACGCACACACCCGGCGGCAGACGCGCGCGCGCTGGCTGTACTCTCAGTGTAGTTCCTGTCGTGGACCGAGTAGCCCCTTGCTTGCGAAGGAGAAATGTATATCTGTTGGTTCCTCGCTTTGTTCATACTATTTGTGTGTGTGTGTTTTTTAGATGTGGCACTGTCAAAGAGGTTATTGAATGTTGTGACGTGTTTTTTTCTTTTTTAAGCTGAAACACGTTTAATTACATGCTCACCGCCTTTGTTTATTTCATGATTATTGTGATTTGCACCATTGCACCACTTAGACGCTGGGTTATCATGTATCTGTCCCGTTGTGTGTCGCTCACCCTTCTCCATTATCCGTGTGTGCGTGTGTGACGGTGCGTGTGTGACGGTGCGTGTGTGTGTGCGCGCGCAGGGCGGCCGCGGCGCTGGGGGCCTCGGCGGCCCGCACCCGCCCCGGACCAGGGAGGAGGAGCTGAAGCGAGCTGAGGTGATCGAGTGTCTGCGCTCGGCGTCCGAGGACCACGGCGGCATCCAGCTGCTGGTCGACCAGCTCATCAGCATGCTGAAGCAGCTGCCGGCCTCCTCGGAGCCGAGCGGGGACACGGCGTCCGACAGCAGCCGCCGGCCGGCCACCGGAGACCCGCCGCCGCCCGACGACCCCGTCCTCAGGTGAGTCCGCCACCGCACAGCGTACTGCTGCACTGCAGGGCGGTCCGGGGAACGATGCACGCTTTCGGAACGAGCGAACGAGTCGAACAGCAGCTGCAGTCTGCAGCCGTCAGATACATGTTATGCAATTTGAATGCGACTGTCAATAAATTGGCCTTGGGTTCCGAGTGCAGCTCTGATTTCCTGTACAATGTTTAGGACTTAACCCGCGCACCGACGGGGGGGGGGCGGATATCCGCCCCCCCCCCCCCTGAGGTTTTTCGCCAGTGTTCCATTTTTCAGACTTTTTGGTGGCAAATCACACCTAATGGGGAAAATACTTTCATCCCTAAAATATGAATGACCGACTTTACTTCATCTCTGAAAAAAAGAGTTCAGGTATTCCCAACAGCCAGCTTAAATGTCACTTGACAGTTGATGCACCCACATCCTTTTGTTTCACACCCTGTCAAGATTCTGACATAAAATCCTGGTTTATCCGTTGGCATACAAATTGGCATTGCACCATTTTGCAAATATACTTCGGTTATTTATTTCCTTTTTTCTCATCCTAGGATTTTTTTCATCATCGGCACACCCAACCAAAATTCAATTTTAGAACACTGTTTTTCGCGGATAACGGAAAAACCGCGGCGCGTAGCGCCGCGAAATTTGGTACGACTATCCTCTCATCAATTTTGCACATGGTGTGCCAGTTTGAACCTCCTAACTTTCAAGGTCAGGTCACCAGGTCACTTTGAATGACCCAACCTCAAGTCACTTTTTTGCAACTTTGTCACCGTGCCAGAGCTACAGTAGATGTCGGAGGCCTTTGAAAGTCGCAGGATGTTATAAGGTCATTAGTAGCTACAATTTGTATATCTCGGAATTTTGATGTCGGTGACCTAAGGTCAGGTCAATTTCGCGACCTCCCCATTATAAGTCAATGGGGGAAAAATCAATTCCCTGTTTTTACCACTAAAACGGGTCGGAATGGCCCCATATACCATACATGACTTCATATACGATCAACCTTCACTACCTTGAGGTCTGTTTTGCTGTTGGGCAGCTGTAAGGTCATGTGACGTCATCAAAGGTCACCGGCGGTTTTTTTCCAATAACTCCGTACAGGAACAAGATACAGCCGCGCGGATGGTCTCATTGTGTTCAGCTCGTCGCAAGACGCATCGAATGATATACATGATGACCTCGAGGTCACGTGACCTGAGGTCAACCTTTGACCTTGACCTTTCGAGGTCAACATATATATCATTCGATGTGGATTGACGAGAGGATCACGATGCTGCCCTTAGTTTGTTCCTATCTTGACTAATTCGAAAGTTATTCGAGAAAAACTCTCCATATCTAGCGCCGCCATTTTGACTTTTTCGACCCCTGTGACATCATCTTTGACCTGACCTGAAGATGACCTTAGTAAAAATTGTAGACCTTGTCCGTGCGTATCCGATGCCGTATACCGCTTGTCGCTATCTTGCTTCGTTCTCGAGATCTCAGGGGGGGGCGGTCATCCGCCCCCCCCCCGTCGGTGCGAAGTTGGCGCAGACCCCCGTCGGTGCGCGGGTTAAGAGAAACACCTGTCTACCAATGGACGTTAGACTCGCATGCACGTAGTGTTAATTTGTTTACATCAAGCCGGTCTAATTGACTCTCACACCAACGCTTCGCGATCCAGAAGTTGTAAGCTGGTCATATAAATAATCCTACTTAGATTCTGATTAGGATTTAATCTGACTCCTAAATATTTTATCAGTTTTCTTCTGAGTGATAAAATCGGACAGAGGTCCACGGCGCAGAGTCAGTCCTTGAGTTGTTGGTCTCCTGGTGCGCTCCCCACCGCCGGCGGCCCTGAGTGACTGACACCCGTCCACGTCCCCGTCCGGCCGGCAGATACGAGGCGGCGTTTCCGGCGCTGGGCCGCGGGTCTCCGGGAGTCATCCCGCTGACGTACTTCAGCAAGATGGGCCGGGCGGCGGCGCCGGCGGCGGCCGGCCTGTGGCGCGCCGACCTGGCGCCGGCCGCCGCCGTCTGGCCTACGACCCTGGACCACCTACGGCTGCTGCTGCCGCAGCCGTCCGAGCAAACAGCACCACTGGAGCCGGCCGGGGGCGCGCCCGCGCCGCCGACACCGCCACCCAAACCGCCCGAGCCGGCCGAGACGGCGCGCATCATCCGCCCCTCGGCCGAGACACACTTCCAGCCGATCCGGCGCGCCAGCGGCGACGACGGCGGCGAGGATTGGCCGCCGCCGGCCACCTACGACGCGCGGCTCTACATGCGCTCCGAGAGCGGCGGCCTGTACCTGGAGGATGAGGGACCGCGCTCAGCCGCCGAGCCACCACAAAAGTACATGATCTTCCGCGAGAGACCGACGCTGGCCATGACCCGTCGCGGCCTGGCGCCCAAATTCAAGCTAAGCTGCAATGAAAAGTACTGTCAGACGGACGACCCGGCGACGGCGGACGGCGCCGGCCGAGACCTGCTCCAAATATTGGTTTCCGGAGAGCAGGCGGGCGAGGCGTGTGGCGCGGCGGCGGGCGACTCGGACGACGACGACGACTCCAGCTACGAGGTGCTCTCCAGCCTGCAGCAGACGCTGCACAGCATCTACGAGGACGGCAGCGAGGCGGCGGACAGCGGCGCCGAGCCCGAGCTCGAGCCCGACCAGCCGGTCGAGCCGGCGCCGGCGCGCCGACCGTCGGCGTTCGCGCGCGTGCGCCGTCCGTCGCCGGGCCACCGGCCGCTGTACCTGCGCGGCGGCGGCGCCGACTCGCTGCTGGCGGCCGTGTACACGGGCGGCGACTGGTCGCCCGGCGACGCGGCCGTCTCCGAGCCGGCCGACCACCGGCCGCTGTACGCGCGCCAGCCGACCGGCGCGGCGGCCACCACCACCGGCGAGTTCGCCCAGCACCGGCAGCTCACGTCGGGCCGCATCAGCAACTCGGTGTACTGGCAGGGGCCGACCGAGTACCCGGCGCTGCGCTACCAGCTGGCCGGCCGCGACCGGCCCGAGGTCACCTTCTGTCGGCTGAGCGGCGACACGCACAGGTGGGTCCGGCCCGGTCGCACGTGTGCTCCACGCGGGGGAGGGGCACTGAGCGACCAGACACCTTATCAGTAGGCACGCGGTGATTTTAGGCGTGGAATTATTGCATTTTGGGCTGGGTTTAATTATCCCATTAGATGTTTATGAATTTTATCTCGACTGGAAATTGGACAAAAAAAGAGTGCATATAGGACGTGGAGGTGATAAAATACCCTTTTCAGTGCAACATAGCATACGGCCTGTTTTAGGTTTACGTTTGATTGAACGATTGCTTTGCACATTTAGGGATTTGTTATTATGGTCGTTATCTGGTTTATTTATGTCCAGCCACTTTTTACTCTAATGTTTTCCGACCTTTGCTGAGTGTGACGGTCAGTGACGCGGATTGTGTCTGTTCGGCGACAGGTCAGGGCCGCTGAAGGAGGACCCGGCCGCCGCCTGGGAGGCTGTATCGGACGTGGCCCGCTCCTCGCGGGAGGCCAGTGTCTGCAGTGACACGGTCTCGGCCGGCGCCGCCGCTGACACCACCCTGTGGCAGGCGGCCGGCGAGCGTGAGCGGCGCGACCGGTCGGCGGACCGCGCGCTCTGGGAGGCGCGCGCCGCCGCCGGCCGCCGGCGCAGCTCGGTGGACAGTGCCGTCTGGGAGCAGGAGCCGGCGGCCGGCCTGTGGGAGGCGCCGCGCGGTCTGCACGAGCCGGAGGGCGGCTCGGACCTGGGCGCGCTCTGGGAGCCGGCGGCCGGTCTGGCGGAGCCGGAAGACGGCGCCGAGCCGGCCGCGCTGTGGGAGACGCCGCGCGGCCTCGCCGAACCAGAGGACGTGTCGGAGCTGGCGGTCTGGGAGACGCGCCGCGGCCGCGCCGAACGCGAGAGCTCGGTCGAGATGACCATATGGGAAACATCTGGAGAGCAGTCGGCAGCCACCGAGGCGCCGCCGGCCAACATCTGGGAGTCGGGCTCGGCTCCGGCGTCCGGAAACACCTCAATGGACGCGCGCTGGGCTCCTCGGGAGCTCGTTCAACGGGAGAAGTCGGTGGAAGAGGTGTGCTGGGAGTTCTCTGACGACCTGTCTCAGCGAGACAACTCGGTGGAGGACCCGGCCGCGGACGCGCGCTGGCATGTGCCGCGCGGCCAGGGCGCCGGCGAGCGCAGCCTCTGGGAGTCTCCGGCCGAGCTGGCGCAGTGCGACCGCTCCATCGAGGAGGCCATCTGGGAGGCGCGCGACGAGCCAGCGCCGCGACACGACGGCTCGACCGAGAGGAGCCTCTGGGAGGCGGGCGGCGCCGCGCCGCAGGAGCCGGCGCCCTGGGGCGTGCCGGCCGGCCTGGCGCGGCAGCGGTCCGCCGAGCCGGCGCTGTGGCCGGCCGAGCCGCCGCGCTGGGAGGCCGACGAGGGCTCCGGCTGGCCCGCCTGGGACGACCCGCCGGTCGGCGCGCCCGAGCGCATCTGGCGCCGCTCGGAGCCGGCGGCCGGCCTGCCCGAGTGGGGCGGCGCGCTGCCGGCGGCGTCCGACGGCGGCGGCGGCGGCGTCGAGGAGGGTGACGAGGAGGAGATGCGCCGCCTGCTCTGGCGGCTCGGTGGGGACGACGTGCTCGCCCAGACCGGGCTCTACACGGCCGACATCGCAGACGCCGCCAGGGGCTGGGAGTTTATCGACGAGAACAACGTCAAAAACAAGATCGACGCTCATGTAAGTTATTTACCGGTGTGTAGAGGTACGAGGGTGGGAAGGAGCATGGTTGCTCGCCATTTGATGCTTGGAGTTTGGTCTGGGCCGGCATACGCCAGTGCTAGTTATCTTTGTGTGTGGATGGTGTTTTATTTGTTATTGATCGTTACGTATCGATCCATAATGTTTTCTACTGTCTAAGTGACTGTGGTGATGCTGCTTGTTTGGCTGTCACCTGCCCGCGTGTACCGCCACCTCTGAGCGGCGCGCAGAGATATGATTACGGCGCCGCCGGCTGTCCGCAGGCCGGCTCTGACGGCGGCCCGCTGTGTCCGCAGGCCGGCTCTGACGGCGGCCCGCTGGCCTCCGAGCTGGCTGACGGCGAGTCGGGCTGGCGTGTGCTGCCGGCGCTGCGTCAGCTCTCGGAGCGGCTCGGCCTGACCGAGGGCGCGCCGCTGCCCGACGGCGTGGCGCTCAAGGCCTGGACGCTGGAGGAACAGTGGCGCCGCGACGAGGGGCCACAGCGGCCGGCCCGCGACCGGCGAGTCAGGTCAGTCCGCGAGCCGCCGTGCCGCGCGCTGCTCGAGCGGCATGCTGTCAGACAGAGTGTTCAGCATATTGTCCGGGCTCCGGCCGCCGCCGGGCTCACCCGTGTTTGCTGAGTTCTCCTGCTTGTTTGGGTTTGCGTGACCTTCGATTAACCCAGACTTGGTGATGTTTTCCTTTGCTTGCACCCTACTGGTTGAGGGCGTTGGTTCTTGTGTTGTCTTTTTACAAGACGCGTATATTCAAACGTCCCCCCTCATGAGGTATGCAAAATGCCTATGAGCCATTTACCCCCTACCCGTATGGTTTTCCATGTTTTAGAAGCATTTAACAGGAGTTTTCTCGATAAGGTTGAATTGGTAATTCCAAGCCCGGGATTCACTGATCGTATTTGTTCTTTCCCAAGTGGGGAAATAGATCGAGGTTACAATAGCTAGGGACCAATGTTGGAATTGTGAATTTTGGTCCTGGTCCCGGAGAAAAAAAAATCTGTCCGGAGAACCGGCCAGCTTTTAGAACACTCACAGGAAAGTCATATGTTTGGCCTACTAAATGTGACTGTTGATAAGATGTGTTCTCTCAATGCTATAACTGCATGTTTTAGGCGTAATAATAGCAGTTTTTCATCACACAGGCTGGAAATTTAAGAGATTTCAGGAGCCGGAGTATGCATTTTTAAAGGAGAACAAAATCGTTTGGACCCGACTGGGACCAGCAAAGGACCTTATTTCTTACATTGCTAGGGACAGATCGGGATAGTCAGATAGGGGCACCAACCAAATCCTTACATACTCGTTTTTATCCAGAATGTACAAAACGTCGAGTATGATCGGTATTTTCACTGCATTTTTCTAAGTTTCGTTTCTTGATAGGGACTCAAATGGTGTACAATGATATTAATTCGTCAAGGTGTTATAAGTGTTAAGCTTGAGTATTATTGTGCTCAGTCTCTGAAATTTCCGTTTGCCGGAGTATTTGATGATAGTGTTTGCCTTCTATTGCGTGGCGCCCTCTGCGCCGGGTACGTCTATGTAGAGTCCCTGCGCCGGTAGGCCGGTCTGTCTGCCGGCCGTGCGCCCCAGGCTAGAGGGTGTCTAGAGGGAGGGTGTCTCTTGCCGTCGGACCGTGCCCACGCCGCCACCTGAGGCCACGCGCTGTCGGTTTCAGGAGGTCTGACCGCAAGCGTCCCTGTAGCTATTTTATGGAAGGCAACTGCAAGCGGAACGATTGTAAATTCTCGCACGACCTGTCCGCAATCACGTGCGTGTTTTGGGAGGAGAGCGGCTGCTTCAAGGGCGTGCACTGTCCCTTCCTCCACGGCTACCCGGCGTGAGTATCGTAACAACCCGTGCCTGCCGCGCTGTGTTCCTCCCCGTCGCCCGTACGCCTTGCTCCCACTAACTCGATCATGTTTGGACCGGTGTCGTTTCTTGGGTCTTGCTGAGACTGACCCATTGGGACGCTGTTGGCGCCATCTGTCCGGGTGTGTCCGGGTGGTGAGACGCCGTGGGCGTGATTGTCCATCAGGGCCCTGTTTCACGGTACGACGCTACAATGGGCTACTTTATTGGTGCGGCGTCTGAGACGAATTCGCCTCAGCGCTCCAGCGTTGCGAGCGTCCGAGTTTGTTGATGTTTCCTTGGAAACCCATTACACCGATACGCGTAGCGCGCTACGGTAGCGTCGTGCCGTGAAACAGGACCGGGTAATCATTTTGGCGGACTCTTATGGCTATTGTGTGTTCTGGCTTATCTTAATGGTTGGTGTTGGATCGAAAAAACTGGAAGGTGTTGGTCTTGGGAATCATTCACAGCAGGTGACGGATCTAGGCGAACTGGCTAGTTTGATGTGCAGTGATTCTTGATGTCCTGCAGTTGCTGTTCCGTGTGATGTGCGCGTGATCGCCGGTTCCACCGTGCCCGCCCATGTCTCCGAGCTGCTCCCGCGGCCACCTACCTACCTGACCTGGACTTTCGACTCCCTAGGGACGATGAGGAGGACGAGGATTCGAGCGACTCGGCCAAACGGGCCGTGCCCAAAAAGTCATTCAAACTGGAAAAAGAAGACTTTCCTTCCCTTCACAACACGAAAAAATGGCACAGAAATGATGAGGTAAGTTTTCAATTGTTTTATACCTTTCCGACGGTGATTTTTGTGCCTCCACAACGGCAAGCAACCGAATGCGATAGTCAAAATAATCATTCAATTGTGCTCTTTTTAAAAGATCGCATGCATGTGTGAATTGTATGACGTGGCTGTCCTTATCCGCTTTCCGACTGCAGCTGACCGCCGCCCTGGCAGCCCATCGTCCCTGCTGCCCAAGTGGTTTCAGTAGCTACCGACCCACCTGCAATGCCGCGCCCGGCTGACCAGTCTCTGCTCACTGCCCAGTGCCGTCCCCGGCTGACCAGCCTCTGCCCCCGCAGGATGATAACCGGAAGGTGGGCCGGCGCAACTGTCGGCGGCACAAGTCGTTCTCGGACGCCACGCTGGGCGTCGGCGGCGGCGAGCCAGAGCTGCCCCGGCCGACCATCGGCGGCCGCGGCAAGCGGCGCCGCCACCACTCCAAGAGCGAGGGCGTGCGGCCGACCGACACGGGCGCGCGCCGGCCGTGACCGCCGCTAGACGAGCAATGTTCGCCCAGACGGACCGGGCTGCGCGGGGAGGCGCGAGTAGCGCAGGGCGTGAGCGAGCGTCGGTACAGCCGTGTCTCTGAGCGTATGAGAGAGATGGATGAGAGAAAGTGAGCGAGTGAGTGAGTGTATGAATGAATGACTGAGTGAGCGAGTGAGTGCGTGCGTGAAAGAATGAATGAATGAATGAATGAGTGCGCGATTGAGTCAGGGACAGCAAACGAGTGAGAACAGTGAGCTGATGCGGCTGTGTGCGGGTCGTGAGGAGAGGAGAGTGACGGGCTCGGAGAGCGAGGACGGGAGGACGGGAGTGAGGCGGCTGAGCTGGTGGGGCGATTCGTGGGCCCGGGTGCTCGGGCGGACGGACGGCGGTCCGGCGGCCGGCCGGCCGGCGCCGCTGCTGCCCGCCCTGCCGGCCGCCGGACGGACCAGCCGCGCGCTCGGCCGCGCCCCACCAACCCGGGCCCGCTCCCCATGTATTATGTGCAAGCTTCGCTGACAAAACTATTAACTCATTGTTTTGTAGTGGGCGATCGGTTGGAATTTGTCGTCCCACCCTTATCAAGCGCGGAGTGTTCTAATCCAGAGGCCTGCGAAGTCGGAACCCCACAAAACAAAGAGCTTAACCAGTACGACCTTGTCGGCCCACACCTATACCCGCCGTGCTTGCATACACCCAGAAAGGAGTGTGCGGTCCAAAATTGTAGGTGTTTAGTGTAGACGACTGCAGGCCGAGCTGTGGGCACACCAAAGCCAGCTCTGAACGAAAGCCAGCGGCTGCTGATGCGAGGGATGAGTCAGACTGTCGCCGACCGTCACCGAGCTAGGACAAATGAACGATAGTAGATTAGCAGCAACTTTTGTCAGCCTCACGCATTGTTTTGTTCCTCCTGTTCTTCGTCTTACCAAACACGTTGTGTAAGTGTTCTAGTTTCCTTCACACCAAAGTCGGCGTCGCCGCGGCTGCGGACGCCCGTGGACGGAGACACACAAATGGAAGCCCAGTCCGACGCAAATAAACGTCAAACCTTGTCCGAACGGGTCTCTATGGGACTGCTCTGAGGGGGTACACTGGGTAATGGAGGCACGGGTTGGACACTGGACAGTGCCGAGTGGAGACCGGTTGACCTCTGGACGCTGGGCCTTTAGTGGACGGAAAAACCGCCACTGAGTGCTAATTGAACGCGGCCGGTAACTCTGGGTGACGTAGTCCATTATTTTATTCTTAATCTTATTATTTTTACCAAACATGGTCACAGAGGTTGAGCTTCAGCATTATTAGTGGCCCCAAATGCGAGGGGATCGAACTGCTCCGATTCACTTGAAGATGGAAGGATGGGAAAAGACTGGGAGGTGACGAGGGCTGGTCTTCCCAAACCTATCGATGTTCTATATATGGCTGAATGGGTACGAAGTTACGAACCACAAGGGCACTGGAGACTGGAGTAGGGCACCGTCGAACTCATAAGAGCCATGGAGACTGGAGTTTTGCGAGGAAGCGAGCATGTTAGTTATCAACCGAATAGCTTGATCAACCATCATCTCACTGCGCGGTAGATATCCTTGCCTCGACGAAGCCGCCAATAATTCAAGATTATGTGACATTTTCACGCGGAAACCGTAGCACAAAGGAGTATATTGCTCTGCACGAGCCCCCCCCCCCCCCCCCCGACACGGCGGGGAACTAGTCGAATAAAAGAAGACGCTGCGTAGCCTGCTCATCGTTATATAAGCAAGTCGATGGGCGCACTAAAGGTTTTTGAGGAGCGATACCTACGCAACGGGACTCGCATTTTTAGAATTGGACTTACATTTTCACAATGGGAAGTAACGGTCACCACAACACTAGATCCCGAACAATGCCGACAAGTGTAAAAAAACAAAACAAAAAACAGCGAGCTGCATGACGCACCATTTGTCTTTAGCGAAGTGTTGGAAGTCGCCAATTATGTTTTGATTTACTCCAAACCAGCGATATTGTACGTACAAATGTCATGCTATTTTAAGCGATGCTTTGCAAGTCTGCAGTCTCAACCGCCCTCTGACATTTCCTAATCCGGTATAAAGATCGGAACCGGTTACGCTCTTCCCGAAATCGGCCGCCGTGCCGTCCTGCACCACTCCGGCTGCAGTGAGTCGCTGTGAGCGGCAGTGAGCGGCGGTACTGTGACATCACGGTCGGTAGAGGCACACAGGGAACCGGCCGCCGGGCCGCGCCATTCCGCCGTCGCAGCCGTCATGCAGCGCACGTGGCTCGTGGTGGCGTTGCTGGGCCAGCTGGCTGCCGGGGAGCAGCCGCCGGTCGAGCTGGACTCGCCGCCGGCGCCGGCCGGCTGCAGCGCGCGGGTGGCCGAGCTCCGCTCGCGGAGCGGCGAGGTGTTCGGCGTCCGGCCGGCCGTCTCGCAGGCGGAGGCGGCCGGCGTGCTGGTCGGCGTCGGTCTGCTGGCCGCCTGTGTGGCCTTCACGTTCACGGCGATCCGACGGCACGTGTTCCACGACGCCGACAGCCTGGACACGGCGTTCGACGCCGGCGGCCGGGTGTCGGTCGGCCTCAGGGCCACCACCATCGTCTCGCAGTGGACGTGGGCCGCCTCGCTGCTGCAGTCGTGCACGGTGGCCGCCAAGTTCGGCATCAGCGGCCCGTACTGGTACGCCGCCGGCGCCACCATTCAGATCATCCTGTTCGCCGTGCTCTCCATCCAGCTCAAGACGCGCGCGCCCGGCGCCAAGACGTTCCTGCAGGTGGTGCACGCACGGTTCGGCCGGCCGGCGCACCTGGTCTACTGCGCGATGGCCGTGCTCACCAGCACGCTGGTCACGCTCATGCTGCTGCTCGGAGGCACGGCCGTGCTGCGCGCTCTGGTGGCCGACCTGAGCACCGAGATGGCGGCCATGCTGCTGGCGGCCGTGTTCGGCGGTTACACGCTAATCGGCGGCCTGGGCGCCACCTTCTACGTGTCCTACTTCAACACGGCGCTGATATTCGCGCTGTTGCTGGCGCTGGTGGTGGCCGTCTACCACGGCGAGGACGCCGTGCTCGGCAGCGCCGACCACATGTTCGAGCTGCTCTCCTGCTGGCCGGCCGCCGACGGCAACCGCGACAACAGCTTCCTCACCTTCTTCTCCAGCGGCGGACTCGTGTTCGGCATCGTCAACATCGTCGGCAACTTCGGCACCGTGTTCTGTGACCAGGCCTACTGGCAGAGCGCCGTGGCCGCGCGGCCGTCGCACGGCGTCTGGGGCTTCGTGCTGGGCGGCCTGACCTGGTTCGCCATTCCGTTCACGCTGGCCACCACCATGGGCCTGGCGTACGTGGCGCTGAGCTCGGCGCAGGCCGGCCCGCTGCTCACAGACGCCGACGTGGCCAGCGGCCTGGTGGCGCCCGTGGTGGCGCAGACGCTGCTCGGACGCGCCGGCGTGTTCGTCATGCTGCTGCTCATCCTGATGGCCGTCATGTCTACCGGCTCGGCCGAGGTGATCGCCGTCGCCTCTATCATCGTGTACGACGTGTTCCAGACGCACCTGCGCCCGTTCCGCGCGGACCTGCCGTTCGGCCACTGTCCGCTCTGCAGCCTGCCGCGACTCGACTGCGCCTCAGGACCCGACTCCGGTAAGGCGGCCTGCCGCTGCCAGCCGATGGCGAGCTGCGCCGCGTGCGCGTCCGACAGGGCCGCCCAGCGCGCCGCGCCGTTCGCCGAGAGTCCCTCGTTGCAGTGCGGCACGCACGGGGCGTACCGCGCCTACCAGCAGATGCTGCTCGGCTACAAGAGCTGGAGCGTGGTGTGCGTGTCGCTGCTGACGGTGCCGCTCTGCCTGTTCGGTGCCGCCGTCAACTTGAACTTGGAGTGGACCTACTACCTGACGGGCACGCTGGTCTCGTCGGCGGTGGCGCCGGTGGCCATGGCACTGCTCTGGGACCGCACCAGCGCCACCGGCATGCTGGGAGGCGCCCTGGGCGGCACCGCCTGCGGCCTAACCGCCTGGCTGGCCACGGCCTCGCAGCAGCCGGCCGGCCTGGCCGACTTCATGGCCAGCACCGGCCGGCAGATGCCCATGCTGGCCGGCAACCTGGCCTCCATCTGCGCCGGCGGCCTGCTGTGCGGTCTGCTCTCGCTGCGGGACAGCTGGCACCTGACGGCCGAGCAGCGCGCCGCCGCCTGGCTCGCCACGCGCAGCATCGACAACCCGCTGACGCCGTGGTCGGCGGCGCTGTCCGGCAGCGGCGGCGGCCGGCCGGCGCCCTCCGAGCTGGTGCGCCGGTTCGCCGGCGCGCGGCGCACAGCGCTGGCCGTCGGCGGCACGCTCACCGCAGTGCTGGTGGTGCTGTGGCCCGCCGCCATGACGGCCGCCCACCCGATGGACCTGGTCGGCTTCCGCGTCTGGACGGGCGTGTCGCGCGCCTGGGCCGTGCTGGCGGCGGCCTTCATCATCCTGGTGCCGCTGGCGCAGGAGACGTGGGCGGTTCGGCGCCAGTGGCGGCGGAACCGAGCGGCGAGCCGGCGCTCCCTGCACGGACACGACGGGCCGGCCGCCGCGGGCACGGACATCACCCACCTGTAGCGCGGACCGTCTAGATCAGCTGTGTTCCAATCGTATAGCTCCCGTCTGTGTCACCCTGAGTAGGAAGAACGACCCACCTAGTTAGATCAGCTGCCGTCTCAGTGTAGATTGTAGATCAATTGACGTCTGTGGCCCAATTTGGAGCGAACGGCCTGGTGTCAGCGCCAGACTCCTCCTCCCCCACATATATAGCGAGTCCATCCGAGCTCGACAACAGTTATCATATTCATGAAACCATTATGTGTAAATATAACCATAATATATCGATCAGTGCTCAAGATGGAGGGTGTTGCGGTGGAAAATATACATTGGAATTGAGAGGACAAGCCGCTGACCTTGGGTAAAATAAGCAGCGAAAGCCCGTTTTGAGCTGATTCAGTGGTAAGATCACGGAGGTTAGGTTAGATGACGTGGCTGGTGAGTGGTGCTACGAGCTCAGCTAGGTATGCCACCGCTGAGCGCGTCAGTCTTGCAGACAGACATATTTTGGAAGATGTTTTCCCGATCATAGGCATTCGTAGATCAATGCACTCCTTGCAAGGTCTGATGCTGTATTTTTGCATTGTTCACCTTGCGTGACATCATTTATGACGTCACTAGGGTCGTAAACTTTTCGTCAAAAACTCCCGTAACATTGAGATAGGAAAGCCACCAATGGACTCGAGTAGATCTGCTGAATCGAATGATATGCGACATGACCTCCTTCGACCAGCTTCGTGACCTGATGGGCTCTGACCTGACCTTGACCGGAGGTCAACATCTTAAGTTGACCTCACCCAAACAAAAGGTATACCATTCGACGCGCCTGAGCTAGGCGAACACGATGATACCAAAACCGCGGCTCTGAGGCCATTTTTGGCGAAGTTATTTACCAAAAAAACGACCTCGTGACTTGGGCCTCTTGACCTGACCTCAGAGGTCACCGGTTGACCTGAGACCTCAAAATCGGGTACCAATCGCTGCGTCTCGTAACGGCGCATACCCTCGTTTTATCCGTTAGGCTCTAGCTCCATTAGGGGGGCGAAACGACGAGGGGGGTCGTAACAATCCCCCCCCCCCCTCCGCCGGGGCGTGCCTATGTGGAAAACCAATAGGTAGGTCCGTCGAGGGTTAAAAGTGAAGCTAACTTGTCCAGTACAACTGATATGCATCATGACACGTTTGGGTCAGGCTATGAACTTGACCTGATTTGGTTTGTAAGGGAGGTTTGTCACTTCTTGTAGGTAGTCATACTCGTATATAGTTATCATTTACCGCAACAAATCGATTGGATATCAATCGATTGCCTTTAGGTATCCCGCTCCCCCTGCCCGTTTAGTGCACGATCTGCGTAATTGTCGGACGTCCGTCTTTAGTTGAAAAAATGTCTGATGACCTCTGGACTGGTCATGTCACGCTTACGTACCTGGACAATCAACGATAGAACTTCTAGTTCTTTCGATAGACCCTCTTCAAAAATTTCAAAGGTTGTCTACTGTTTCGCGCTACGATGCCGACTTTTCCAAATCTCCGGGGGAAGCGAGGCACTCCGGCTCTCCCTGTCAGCGCCAAAGTTCTCTAAATACCGTGGGCTATAGAAATCCGTCAGTGCTACGTAGATCATGTGCTCAGACCGGTTGCTGTCTGCCGGTCGCCGGCGCCAATAATCTTGCAGATAGCCAGCGCTGCTGTGCGTAGGTACGCATATCCCTATATACGGCCTTGCGCATATCAACATTTTCAACATTACTTATTAGGAAGGCCATTGCACGTTGGCACCTCGGACGCTTACATAATCCAGCCAAATTCCTGCACACACATTTCACACAATACACGAATGGAACGTGGCACGCTTGTGGCTGTTCCAAAGGTATCCGTTGATATTGATGGGCGCTAATAGCCTCGGTTGTCGGCCCAGAAGCCCAGTTTTGGTCACGATTTACGAGGCGGCGCCGGCGGTAGGTATAGGGTATATCGGCGGCGCGATCGGCCGCCTGTGTTCTGCACGCTGCGCCGAGGGCCGGCCCTCGCCGGCGGCGGTCCGGGGACAGACGGACCGCCGCCGGCCGCACCTTACGCCACTGACGGCGGCGGCCGGCCGCCAAAGCCGCCGTATTGATACCGGCACAATGGGCCGGCGTCAGGAGTGCTGTGCATCACTGTCGCAACGGGGCATCTCGCCGGCAGAGCCGACACGCGCCGCCCAATTACCAGATCCAGGGCAGTCGGGCCGGCCCTGCCCCCCCCCCCCCCATCTGTGTAGCATCGTCCCACTGAGCTGCACCCCCCGGTAGCCGAGATGACCGAGGGTGGGGCCGCCACTGGCCTATCGACTATTTAAACCGGGACACGGCCGTCCCAGACATCACACCGCCCTGGAGCTTCACAGGCCTTCCATCCGACACAGCATGGGAATCCAGGTGAGAGAAGTTCTAACTTCCAAACCCTTAGCTGACGCTCGGGAGTTCTATATGTCTCGTAATGTACCGATTTACCCTCGAAAGTGCATCCAATATGTTCACTGTCCAGGACACTCAGAGGCCAAAGCGCTCGTATCACTCGGTTCTTCCATCGTATCACTAAAATCTACAAAGCTGCGTTTAGACGTCTGCATAGACTCCAACCTGTCAGTCATGTCCTGTGCAATGTGTTCCAATTTTGCCAAGGCGAGCAAGTTTATATTTACTATGTAGCATTATATGACTACAGGAACACTCCATGTGTTCATAATAGCTCATAAGCTATTAAGTCCGTATTATTTGCCAATGTAACGCGGGATACTTTCCAAGCGACCGTCGCCCCCTGCCCGGCATCCCGTCCTCTCCAGGGATGCAGCGGGTAGCCGTGGCGCTCCCTCCGAGACCATCCACCCCGGGAGAACATCCAACAAATGACCGTTCGGCTCCGCTCCCGGTCCGTCAGCCTGCTGGCCGCCCGGTCTGGTATCAGTGACTGCCCGGCCCGAAAATCCCAGCAGCAGACCGCCCACCCCCTCGGTCGGACACCATGACTCCCGAGTCCCGGGAAAACCGGCTCCACCTGGCCTGGCACAGAACATGCAACATGTGACCCGCTCGGCAATACCGAGCCTGAGCCGAATACTCAGCTTCGCTAATCTCTGCAATCATGGACTCTGACAAATTTGAGATATGTGCCCGACGTGAGGTCGCGGAGTTTAAGGCTAACTTGCAACTTTCTGCAGCGATGAAAAGGCAAAAGTCATTCGCAATCGACCACATACAATGTCAACCGCTGCTCAGTCGTCAACAAACAGATGCCATTCCGAAACTTTTTGAAAATCCAACCCCATGAGCGTCATTTTGTGGGTGAACCTGGCTCTCAGATACGTGCATGATCGTCTCATTTAAGAAAAGATTGTAAAATACAGGTCAAATAGTTCATTGGAAAAGAGCAAGCGAAGTACAATATCTTGGATATATCCGCCCTTTCATACAAGGCCGGGAATTGCGTGCTTGATTGATTGGGACAGGTGCTGCAATGGAACCATTTATAACGAAGTAAAAATTTTCCATAGATAATGCGCCTGTCAGAACCGTAAATCGTAATACGACTATTCATAGTCGTCGTCTCACGCTTGCCTTGACCGAGTTAAATACCAATGGAGACCAATGCAGTGAGCAGCGCATCACCGACCCCTCGCCGGTCTGCATTGGAGAAAAGTGCGAACTACTCGATTCCGTCCGTGACCGTGCTGTGTGCCGCTGACCGTTCACAGACGATTCTGCTGAGCGCCGCAGTGGCTGCCGCCCTGGCCGTTGCGGCGCCCCCCACCCCGGACCCGGAGCGGTACTCGGACCCGGCGCCGGCCGAGCCGCACTACCAGTTCGAGTACTCTGTGCTGGACGCCACCGCGCTGCTCGACTTTGGCCAGCAGGAGCGGCGGGACGCGGCCCAGACTAGCGGCTCGTACCGCGTGCTGCTGCCCGACGGCCGCCGGCAGAGCGTCCGCTACACGGTGCTCGGCGCCGACGGCTACCTGGCCGACGTCACCTACGACGGTGAGCCGGCGCCGCGGTACCAGCGGCCGTACGGACCGTCCACCCGACCCCGCACCTACACCCTGCAGACGGCGACCGGGGCGCCCCTGACAGCCGCCGCCGAAACCACACCGGCCGCCGCTGAGACGACCACCGTGGCAGAATACGCCGACACTGTGGCGGTAACTGAACAGATCGAAACGACAGAGGCCGCGCCAGCAGAGGTGGCTGAAACTGACGGCCAAGAACAGGACGACGACGAGACCCACCAGGTGGCTGAGGTAGAGGGCGGAGGGTACGGCACCAAACTGGAGAGCGCCGAGCAGGCAGAGGCGCAGCCTGAGGAACCCACACCAGCGTACCGTCCCCGCCCGCAGCCTCGCTACACTCCGAGCTACTACCCCCAGTACGTGCCTCGCCACTATCCGCGCTACTACCCGCGGTACCGCCCGGCCTCCAGGGCGCGCACCTACTACACCCAGCAGCGCGAGTCGGTCCCCTCCGCCCCGAGCACACCTGCCGCCCCTGTAGTTGAAACGGTGAGCGACGAGCAGGCCCCCACTCCGGCCCCGGCCGATCAGACGTACCAGGAGGGCCCGGCGGCCACCGAGGCGGCGCTGGAGACTGACCAGGATGAGTCAGCGGCGGTCAGCGAGCCAGCGTACGGCGCCAGGCTGGCTGAGACCGAACCGGTGACGGCCGCTCCCGAGACGACCACGGCCGCTCCCGAGATAACCACGGTCTTCGAGCCGACCACGGCGGTGTACGGCGAGCGGCTCGAGGCGGCGGCGGCTGAGGGAGAGAGGGAGGAGGAGGAGGCAGAGGAGGCGGAGGCGGCAGAGCCCATCTACAGACAGGACACGCTCTGATGGGCCTAGCTACTCGTAGCGCCCTCAGCGATGCCGATGTCAATAAACAAGGTATTTCTAATAAATATTGAGAAATATTGTAAGCTGAGTTTTGTTACCTGATGACATGACCATGCGTTCATGTCCTTACTCCTTCCAAACAGTCATATGCCAAGATATGACAGCCTGCACAGCTGTGCACCTTTTCACCAGCGTCCGAACACTGCTTCTTACAAAACAATTATTATTCATCACAACAAAGGATCGAACACAGTAACGAAAAAGGGACCATAATGTCATTGCGAAATTGCGTTTTAGCGAAACAAATCAAAGTAGCACCAATAAGAAACGTCAAGAGAAGTCGTTTAAAATAGTGTCGGAAAAAAACATTATGCCGGAGTGTCAGCACACAGCATTACAATCAGTCAAGCAACAACGCGTAACAGTCCAGCTTACCAGACCTGTAACACAAACTAGCTATTCATATATTAAGCTTCAGATGACAACGAAGCATCCAGAAAAAAAGTTCTTAAAATAATCAACATTTTCCTCACAATGTCACCTGACCAAAAGTGTGTTGAGCCAAATTACGATAAGGACGAGGCCACACGAAGTAGTACATATATCACACACGACAAAACAGTCGTAGTAAAATTAGCATTTCATCAACACGCTAGGTTGCAAAAGCAGCATGACTCATCCCATACACATCGAGCAATAGGTACTCAGAGATAAATGCGGCTGCGCCGCTCAAACACCGCATCACCGAACGGCCGGCCCCATGCACCTAGCCTCCAGAGCCGACCCTGCCGCACTCAGCCCAGCTCCGCGACGGAGCACCCCACTGCGCACTCTGACACGACCGCTGGCCCTCCGTGCCACACGGCAATACGCGGCGAGACTGTTCAGCAGAGCACCGAGGGCGGTCAGTCCGGCACCGGCCGCCGTCAGAACCACTGCGCCAAGTATCACAGACTCTCCGAGCGGCTCCTGTCCAGCGAGCCCGTCCAGCTCCCGGCGGAACAGCCGGTGTCTACGTGTCCGAGACGGCAGCACCCGCGCCGCACCTACATATTTAGTAGCCGCTTCCACCACGTGTCGTCGGTGAACTGTCCCTGTTCGCGCGCGCGCGCCAGGTTCTCTCTGTAGGCGTCAAACGAGACGTACGGCTTGATGCGCTGGTCGGCGTCCAGCGAGAACGAGTACGGGTTGGTGACGGGCTCGGACGAGTTGGTGCTGCTCGAGTTGGTGGTGGAGCGGCCGGCCACGGTACCGCTGGTGGTACTGGTGGCCGACTCGGCCGCCACAGAGGCCGCGCCGCCGCCGCCGCCGCCGGCCGCCGGCCGCAGCGGGTAGCTGAAGTTGCGCACCAGCAGCGTCATGTCCTCGCAGCGCTGGCAGCGCGTGTTGCCCGAGTTGATGAAGCAGTCCTGGTGGTCGCGCGCCACCCGGTTCACCACCGTCTGCGCCACGCCCTCCAGCGTGGTCGACTTGGCGAACTGGTCCGACACGACAGGGGCGGGGGGACGCGAGCTAGTATTGCAACGGTTAAACATTAGGGTCCCATGGATGGGAGTCTGAACATTGAAAAGCGCAGTACTCGCAGTACTCCAGGATAGTTATTGCTAAGAAACAGTTGTGCAAGGTTAACCCGCGCCCTGCTGGGGGGGGGGGGTGTTTGAACACCCCCCCCCCTTGTGGTTTTTCGCGAATATCTCAAAAACGGCGGCGCTCCGCGCCGCCGTTTTTGGTACACCTTATCATACATCAATTCTACACATATTGTGAAAATTTCAGACCAAGGTCATTCAAGGTCAGGTCACCAGGTCACTTGAAGTGACCTCACCTCATAAAAACTTTCAATGTCTGTCATAGCTACACCGAAAGACCGATCGCTTTGAAACTTTCAACGATTGCTAAGGGCAATAGCATGTACAAAATGTATATCTCAGAATTTTGATATCGATGACCTAAGGTCAGGTCAATTTTGCGACCTCGCCATTATAAGTCAATGGGAGAAAATTGAAATGCGCCTCTGTTGGATGCAAGACATTATAAACACTCCCAAACACCGAATTACAAGTGTCTTAGACACACTGAACATGAAAATGGTGTCCATGACCCTTGTTTATGCCCTGAGGTCATCTTAGGTCACGAATGGTATCTAACAGTTTTTCGCAAATAACTTTTGATAGAGGCATGCTAGAGCGATGAAAACACCTTAGATGTGTTCAGCTCGACGATACGGATCGACTGATATGCAACATGACCCTTTCCGGTCAGGTCATGACCTTGACCTGAGGTCAAATTTTCAAGTTGACCTTTCAAGGTCAAGTTATAGTTCATTCGATGCGTCTTGACGAGAGGAACACGATGCCGGTAAAAGTAAGCTCGTACAAGGCTTGGGTCAAAAGTTATTGCAGAAAAACTGTTTTCGAAAAAATCGGCTATTTTTGCAGTTTTTGCCCCCTGCAGGCAAAACCGTTGACGTTAGGTCAAATCTGAGAGAATTACTCAGAAAGGGCGTTAATAGGGCTATCGAATGCGCTTTTCCGCGGCGCTGTAGCTCTATTGGTTCCCGAGTTATGCGTTGGTTTCTTGGAAATTTTCGACATTCGACCTGGAAATCGGCGAAATTTTGCCTTCAATGACCTCTGGTGACCTGACCTTTGACCTGACCAAAAAATTGACCGAAGTGATTTCGTCATTATTTTTGACGCTCTTTCGAACGCCGCCTTCCGCGTATCGCTACGTGGCCCAGGAGCCGAGTTACAAGGGGGGGTGTTCAAACACCCCCCCAGCAGGGCGTGGAAATCCAGGACCCCCAGCTGGGCGCGGGTTAAGTTAGGCCAGCTCTGTCATATCAGTAATAAGAACAAGATAAAAGGCCAGCTCTGTCATATCAGTAATAAGAACACGATAAAATAATATATTGGGCACTGAATTATCATTAATTTTCAGCTTAGAAATAAAAATAGGTAATTTTAGGGTTGACAGCTTATTTTCTAAATACTCTTCGAAGACAACCAGCATGCTGCAACGCTGGGTCCGCTTTACTTGACATATTTTTGGTGTAAAATGGAAATGTTCGCTTACCATAACAACTTTTACCTACCATAAAAGCTTAACCCAATCTGTACTAGAGTACAACAACATAAACAGTACTTTATTACTTTATTACGTCCTCTTTTTCATCACGAATGGAAACGGCAGCGGCTGATTTTGTGCCCTGCAAGTGCCCACTATTCCCTGCCGACGGTGAGTTGTGTCCTCGCTCCAACGTTCAACCCACCCTGTCCCTCAGCGCCGTGTCGCCGAACCGGCCGGCGCGGACTCACCTCCTCGACCACCAGCTGGGCCACCTCCTTGTTGACCTGCGGCTCGTCGCGCACCTCCTCCAGGGCGCGGTACAGGCCGCGCGACAGCAGCAGCAGGAACCGGCACGACTCGTCCAGCTGCACCGACACCATGTCCGGCTCGGCCAGCGCCGGCTCGGCGCAGCAGGCGCGCAGACGCTCGTCCTCCCGGTAGCCGGCCTTGAGTCGGTAGTTGCCCAGGCAGCGGGTCACCTCCTGGCCGGCCAGCTTCTCGCCCTGTCGCAGCGGCGTCACGTCCATGCCGAGCTGCTGCAGCCGGAGCAGCTCGTCCTCATTAGTCAGCGTATGGTCGGTGGTCAGCTGCAGCACCTGGCGGGACGACACGGGGCGCAGCGGTCACACAGCGGGCACGGAGGTCACCGACCGGACCCAGAGGTCAAACGATCGCCCCCAGAGGTCACAAACCAGACACAGAGGTCCAAGAACGAGCCCGGAGGTCACACCGGACCCAGGAGGTCACAAAAGGAACCCGGAGGCGACAACGGTCCCAGAGGTCATATAAAGACCTCTCAGCCCAGAGATCACACAGCGGTCGAGAACTTGTGGACTCCGACTCCAGCGGTGTTACACGCGAAAAGACCCTCCGAACGTTATCCCAAACGACAGCTACGAAAGCCGTAATGGCGGATGTAAGGACTGTTAAAACACCACAGTGCAATCGACCCATAGCAGTAGCAAAATCATAAACTGTGCGACTAGAGAAAAACCACTGCTTACTCGAGACGGGTGATGCCGCTGGTGCAGGGAACACAAGCGAGAATGCCTTTTACTACACTTACTCTCTACCGAACGGCTCAATACGGCACTACCTTATCAGGCCGTCTCATCACCGATAATCTCCGTAGTCACAGATCATCCCTACCTACCGACCGAAGGGCGGACTGACTCTCCGTCCCACCTTCAGTATTCCGTTCTCGTCGGTCTTGCAGAGCAGTGCGCGCGAGTCGCCGACGTTGGCCACGTACAGCCGGTTCTGGTGGACGACCACGATGACGGCCGTGGTACCGCCGCTGATGGCCTGGTCCAGCTGCGCCAGCTGCTGCATGGCCGCCGGGTGGTCGCGGTTCGCCTCGAACTCGGTCAGACCCTGACACAAAGGGCGAAGGGAGGGGGAGGGGGAGTGAGTACGGACACACGTACAAGAGCGGTTACTGTCAGAGTCGTCAGACGAGTATGGTCTCAGATACGGTAGTGGACACTGACCGGGAAAGGGGGTTAACTTATAAATGAGAGCGGTCACTGATTAATAGCGCGACACAAATAAAACTCGGTACAAAACTGAAAATGCTCTGGTCCACTCCACTCCACACTGGGTCTGCTATGCCGCCCTACCTCGGGGATCTCGGAGAGCAGCATGGCCCGCTGTGCCAGCGACTCGTCAATCATCTCGAAGAATCCCTTCTCCACGGCCAGAAACGCCTGCTGCAGAGCCTCCCTCACACTCTCGTCCGAGCCGCCGCGGCGAGTCAGCTGGCCGAAACTCAGCTCCGCTGTCCGGCAACATACGCGACAGCCGTCAAAACGAGCGACCCAAATCGATGCACGGAATGCAACCAGGTGGCTCAAACACCGAGAAAGAAGTTGCCTAAATTAGGTAGTCTCAATTGATAAGATCAGCCATATGTGTGAACGGTCCTGGTGTTAACTCACTCATCTGCAGCATAAAGAGCATGACAAGACAAGATCGTATTATAGTCCCGATTATATATGAACACCAGGTCTTCAGCCACGTCCGGGGGAGGGATAGGAACAGTCTCTATTCAGTCCCCCTCACCAGGCATCCTCTGGTGGGCAAAGTGCGCCGCGCGGCAGCTGTCGTGCCCGTCGAACACGCCGTACAGACACAGGTCCTTGTCGAGCTCGAAGTGAAAGCTGTAGTCCTCCTGGGAATGCTGTTGGGTGCGGTATCCGTCGCGTCGATACGCCTTGTTTGTCTCATAACCGACACCTGCCGGCGGAGGATGAACTCAGCACGGGACGCTGAAGAAACGTTAAATCAGGTCTGCTGGTTGGGGAGGTCTCGGCTAATGAACGTACCAAGCACACTTTGCTGAAGTAGGTAACCTCACAAGTCACAGACCCATATCATTCTATGTTAGTCAGATACATTTGACGTAGTGTGACAATCATACCAGAGATGTTGCAGACGGGCAGGTCGTCGGTCCAGCTGCTCTGCTGCTGTGGCAGGCTGGGTAGCGTCAGCTGAGGCTCCGAGGACGCCGTTGGAGTCGTTGCCATAGCTGCTCAATGCCTGCCAGTCAGTAGACAAAACATACAGCCAGGTGTTCAGAGGGAACTCCTAAAATGCATCTTGGCAAGATATGGGATAGCATCCACAAACCAAAGCCAAGGCCCTCACCTCCCATTGTAAAACACATGCAACAAGAGAGTGGCATTTTATGCCCCGCCCCTCTGAGTCAGCTCCGGTGGCCAGCGATTCCAAGGCAAAGCCTTGTCTACAGACTGGTTTTTGATTCACCTTTTTTGGATCGATTCAATCATTGATTCATTTGATTTTTGTTTGATTCAATCACCGTTTGATTCCTTCAAAAAATTTGGTGAATCGCAAGGCCCTAAATACAGTGAATCGATTCCTTTTGATTCAGAGAATCAAAAAACAATAAAAGGAATGATTCACGTTTGATTCAGCCAATTTTTTTGAATGATTCTTTTTTATTCCATTAAAAAATAAAATCTACAAAATATCAGGGATAGTATTGTATTTGTTGTGTTCTTTTTGTTGTCATGTAATGGCAGTAGTGTTAATATTTGCTGATAATGAACTATGTTCGTTCACTTCAATTTTTTTTTAAAGTTCATGAATCATTAATTCTTTTGATTCAATCAGCCCTGATTCCCAATGCGTTTGATTCAATCATGGCTTGTGAATCAAACAATCCTGACGGTGAATCAAACCTTTTTGATTCAACAAATTTTGTTTGATTCAATCCAATCGATTCAATCACAGATGAATCAAACACCAGTCTGCTTGTCTAGAATTTCTTTGTTGGCAAGCCTTTGTCAAATTTCTTTGTATCGCATTTCTTTGTGAACCTAAACTAACATCACATTACTTAACCTCCCACTTGTAGGGGGTCGGATGGACCTCCCTCGGTTTTTCGCGAATAACTCGCGCAAAAAGCGGCAGATCGCGACAAAACTTTCAGTATGCTCGAGTTGATCAAGTTCACACCTACTCTGAAAATGTCATGACCCTGACCCAAATGACCTTTGACCTGTGACCTATTTCTCGACCATGTTTGGCGGGAATCGCGATTCGGCGTTTCAGCTCACATTATCCCTGCATTACCAGTCTTTTTGTGATTGTAAATGTCCGAAATGATGTTGGACCCATACATTATAGTGAGTGTCAAGGTCATGTGAAGGTCAGGTCAAGGTCATTGACCTTTGATGACCTTGGTTCACTTTTTCTTAGTTTTACATGTTTCTAGGGGAAGTTTGGAGCTGATTTTGAATTTAGCAGTCCATTAGAGCATTTGCAAAGTAGTTTTAGTGCTTTGTAACATGTTATGATGCCATTAGTATTTAGTGGTGGTTGACAGTTGATACCTTCTCTGAGGGCTGTTCGGCTGCGCAGCCAAAATAAAATATGCTGCAGCACGCATGCGCAGTGAGGGCTACGTCGCCCGTTAGTCCCGCCCACACCACTGCGTCATCGCCTGTGTGCCGTCACCTACTGAAGCATACTTCGTTTTCCTGCAGCCGGAAATTTGGTGCTGCAGGAGGAGTGGCGTGGATTAAAGTTTACCGTCCAATATTTCTTATTGTAAGCGGTTTGTATGCTGCTTTTTTGTATCATTATCACTCTTTTCAGTGGCACAATGCACTTTTGACCACATCTGAATGCAATTTAACCGTTATTTGAGCGACAATCACCAGTCCACCCGTGCAACAGTTGCCACGTTTGGAATAGGCTGCAGCGACGCTCGGCCGCGGCGTGCCGACGGAGAGTGGGCAGAGCCAGGCGGTTGACGTCACCCAAGTATGACACACGCAGCACAGATCTGCATGCATTCTGGTCCCTGCAGCATGGGACCCGAACAGCCCTAATGGATAGCCAGCACTGGCGGGATGCCTACTAATTGACCTGACTAGACCTGGCCTAAATGCATGAAGCCTTCTGTGATCAAGACGATCAGCACCCTGAAAAAAACCCATAACAGCTTCACCTTAGAAAGCTCTAGCAGGTCCCGATTTTCAGGACTATTGCGTTATTGACGAGACCTGGAACTTGGAAGGTCGACCAATGACCTAGTTGGTACCTTAAAATTAGGTCTGGTATCATCGACTAACGGCTTCCTCTCGTCACGGGCAGCACGCTTGTTATTTACATGAAGCTCTAGGGGCCTGTTTCACCGGTGATAGCAGCATACTGCTATCAAATTGTGCGAGCTGACGTAATGTGATGATGTCACACTAATGATGTTTCGTGTAATCTGTGACCTTTTTCATAGCTATGTTTGGAACAGAGTTGCTGTCTCGTTGAATGTGTTTAATACATTTGTTTGATCGCATGGCCGTGAAGATGTTAGCAGCAATATTTGATGACATCACCATGATCACACAGATTGATGATGGCATGGTTTGTTGATGTTTCCATGGAAACCCAATTTGACACGTGTAATAGCAGCGTTCAGCATTCAGAGGCCAGATTTCAGGGGGGCCAACTAACCCCCTTAGGTACTTGTTAGAGGCTGTTAAACATTGCGCACACATGGGCAAGGGTTTAACTAGCCTGAAGACAAAGAAAGGTGGGCATGAAGAAATGTGTTGACAAAAAACTTACACAATCAGAAAATACCAGATATAATTTGTCTAGAGACTATGCCTTGCAGCGGTTAAGCAGTTTTTATGCCCAGTTTGTTGGTTGTTACAGGCCATATCAATAATAAGAACAAATTGAAATGTTGTTTGACCATTTATTTGGCATTGGTAAATGGTAGGAAATGTCAAGGCAATCAAAGTAAATGTATCCGACAGAAAAATAAACAAGCAAGTAACAATGCTTTAATTACTCACCTAAAATTCCGATTTAACCAGGAATTTTCTTTTCAAATCGGCTAAAAGCGGTTCAAAATGCATTCAACCTAGGCGTCGACAAAATATTCCCTATGTATGAGCAGCGCCATTCTCGCCCACAGCTAATGCTACCAAAGCATTTGGCCGTGGCTGCCAAATAAGGAAACTATTCCATTTGAAGTGATCCGTAGGCGATTCATCTCCACCATAGAAATATAAATGAATGAAAACACACCATATAAATGAAACAACCGATATTTTGTTCTTAAAAGTACAGGTATCGACTTCTTACCTTACCTTACCTTACCTTCACAGTGATCGGGAGGGAAAAGGCCACTTGGCCTGGAGATCCCGTTCTCATCGAGCTCTAGGACTAGGACAGTCTGGGCTCTGGGTAACAAGCCGGCCATGATCGTGTAAAATGGCTTCATCGTAAATCGATTAGTTTTTGAGGTATAACCGGAAATGTAAAAGTGCAAAACCTGCCGCTTAATCTCGCGAGAGCCGTAGGTACAACACGCGACATATGTATAGTAGAATGAAAAAGATGACAGCGAAACAAGCACTGTTGAGCTGAAGCCACTCCCAATCCCATACACTATGGCGATTGACAACACAGCTGTCATCATCCCACTCGCCACTAGAACTGCAAAGAAAACAACTTCTCAGATCAGCGTCACAATATATCAAGCATTTTATTCACGGAACGAGTCACGTCATGAGCTGGGATCAGTATTCAGTAGATAAGGTACGCATGCATCCTCGCACATTCTCCCAGGTGTTGTCTAGAGCCCTCGCGCCTCTGCGCGTCCCGATATGAAGTCAAAGGACCTCGGAACTTCAGGAGCCGCTTCCAGCCAGCACCCCGCTCCCGGAAGACCCCGCAGCCAACACGGCCACCGGCGTCACCGCGGAAACCGGACGGGCCGCCGCGGCGGCCGGCCGGCGTCCCAATGGAAGCCGGCCGGTTGTCAGCGATGCTGCCGCGGCTCGCGGCCACTAAACGCCACTAATCACGGTAACACGAGGCTCGACGGGCGCCCCTCGGTCGCGGCGCTCACCGCACTCACATGGTGCATTCATCACAACGCATCGTATCGCTTCGTCAGTGGTCGCATCGCAGTCGGCACGGGCGGCCCGGTCGCCGGGTTGTGCGTGCGTCCGTGCGCCAGTGGCGCGGCACTCGGCGGGCAGTCAACTCGTAACAGCACCGTCCTTTCAGACGCCACCATACAAAGCTATCGGCTAGTTTAAATAATATAGTGATTTACCCGGGTCCGAATGGCATCTACAGCGCCAAGCAGAGCCACTCTATCCGCCGTCGGCACAGCGGCGGCGGCGCGCGGCCCGGAGATATGCAGTGAGGCCGGGGGACGGCCGACGTGCCGCCCGCGGCGCTGGAATGGCGGCGGACACCGGCAGTGTGACGGGGCCGGCGCGGCGCGCCACCTCACGACTTGTGGTTGGACGTGAGCCACATGAGGCCCTCGAACAGGCCGTCGCCGGTGGTGGCGCACGCCGGCTGCACGTACCAGTTGCGGTCGTTGATGCGCGTCAGTCCGAGCTTCTCCTGAATCTCGTGTGGCTTCATGGCTGCCGGCCACAGAGGGAAAACGGTCATACGGCGGCTAAACAGGCACAGGCAGGTGGTCGGATACATCCGACGGCATCCTTCACACAACGGCATATAGTGGACGTTTTTTTTTTGTTCCTTTAAAAAATTCAGACGCGGCTCTGCGCGTCTCAATTCCTATGGCTCATCACATGTCATTGCTTAGCGAACACAATGCAGAAGGCAGAAGGCTAAGCTGTTATTCGAAGCAGGCTGGGGTAAAACGCTTGACTTTTGGTTGCATGTAGTTGCCAAAATATCAACACTGAGAGTGAAATTACCAAGAAAGACACATTTCGTTGCATTTTTCATACAGTGGAAAAATAATCCAGCTAGAACTTGTCTTGAAATAGCACAAATGACCCAATGATGCTATGACGTTCCAGTTTGATAGTAAAACGATCAGTACATCGACGCCATCGTACCCCGCCCGCGCCCGGCGCGCCGTAAATGTGGCACTGTTGCCCTGCCACTGCACTGCAGCGCCCCAATCGCTGCCCTTCCGCCGTGAGTATGACGGTGCTACATATGACGTACCGTCGGGCAGGTCCTGTTTGTTGGCGAACACCAGGATAATGGCGTCCCTCATCTCGCGGTCGTTGATGATCCGGTGCAGCTCCTGCTTGGCCTCGTCGATCCGGTCGCGGTCGGCGCAGTCCACCACGAATATCAGGCCCTGCGTGCCCGTGTAGTAGTGCCGCCACAGCGGCCGGATCTTGTCCTGGCCACCGACGTCCTGCGCAGGGAACGGCGGCGTCATGGTCCTGACTATCGCTGACACGAGACAAACATCAATCAACTGCACAACCCTGAGCCCGGAACGGTCCGGTGCAAAGCCATAACTCGGTGCAGCTCGGCAGGATAAGGAAAGGGCTGGTCAGGTGATCAGTGCGGCACACCCCAGGCCGGTGGCGCGGGCAGCGGCCGGCCGGCGGCAGGAAGCCACCCGGGCCGGCCCTGAGAGGTGGAGGGGGCGACGGACGGCGGCTCATCAGCCGACCGGACACGGTCGTTCGCGGCTCCCGGATGGGTCAAGGGACGGGGAGGGTCGGAGTCGCGGACTGGCGGGCCGGGGCGGGGGAGGGGAGCGGAGTCGGAATCACGTCGTACTGTACAAAAAAAAAAAAACAATTAAAGGTAGTGTGCCAGCTTTCCTGGACCGTATGGAGTTAATGGCCCAGATAAGGAGAACCGGATTTCTAGAACTTATCCATACCTTCAAAACTCATGGAAACGTCTTAGATTCTTCAAATTTTGAGTACCCCAGTGCGAAATTCGCCCCGACGGGTTGTCGGTCGTACCCCAACCACATTTCACACCACTATGAACAATAAATGCACACACTGAAATCGCTATTACCGATAGGCTCATCCAATCAAGTTTCGATAAACCCGTTCATCATCATCTCCTGCGGTTTCGAACACGCCTGTTAGGTGTTGCGGTAGACCGCGCCCAAAGCCAGGGCCCCGGTAACGTGAGGTAGCCGAGGCGGGGCAGCGTGCGCTGACCCAAGCCGGGGCCGCGCGTCCTCCCGGTGTCATGTGATAGCCCGGGGCTGCCCGCGGGGATGCGGTAGACCGCGTACAAAGCCGCGGCCACGGCTTGGGTTAGCGCACGCTGCCCCGACTCGGCTACCTCACGTTACCGGGGCCCTGGCTTTGGGCGTGGCTTCTGCTCATACTTTGTGGTGCGGTGGTGGTGCGTCGGACCGCGCGCTCTGACTTCGGCCAAGAAAAATGCGTCAGCTGATCATTGTCATTTCTGCCACTTTCATGTGGTGAGATGGGGTCATAACTTTAGAGACGGCTGTTTCATATCAAATATTTTACATAAAATAATATTTCAAACCATAAATTAATGTTCGACAGCCAAATAAAAGAAACAATACCAATACAGGCTTACAGTTTAAATTCGACATTGTGTTGTCTACGATTAGACAGCTGATAACTCATTCCCGTACGTCGTAACTCTATCCCCGCGTTCGATGTCTCTCGGACGGCAAAGATTCTACGCCGTCCGGCCAATCACGTTCCATAACCGCAACCGAGCCCCCGCTGACCTTGGACGGGATTGGCCGGACGGCGTAGAATCTTCGTCGTCCGAGAGACATCGAACGCGGGGTATAATGACCTTTGCTTATTGTCACATGTGCGCCGCATTTGTGATTGTTGCCGACGCCTGTTTGCAGGTCAGCCCACTACAGTTGCTATACATATCGAAAAACCGATAGACTTTTAGGCGAAAAAAGCACTATTTTAGGCCCATTTTTGATTTTTTTTTGCGATATTAGGTAAAAACAGAAGCTTCTTATCCTAGGAAAAATAAAATGGGAAATCATTCGAAGGTGGCACACTACCTTTAACGCAATGTTAGATAACGGCAGCGGCTGAAAAAGTAGCGTCAACTATCATTACATCAGTCAACGATAAAACTGATGTTTTGCTTGGTAAACATTACTAACATTTGCAAATATCTCGCATTTTATGCATTACAGAGAGCAAAAGCCGCACAAAGAAATGCTTGTACAAAAAAGTAGTAGTCATATACTCACCCAAACGTTGAATTTGACATTTTTGTACGATACTGTTTCTACGTTGAACCCAACCGTGGGTATGGTTGTGACGGAATGACCTAGTTTCAGCTTGTATAAAATAGCTGCAGATTCTGTTAAGGAAGACTACGTAGATAGCAACACAGCAAGACAGTAAGTTTACGCAACAGTCGGCTCTCGGAGCTCAGCACGGCATTGGTATAACGGAAACTGTTATAACCCTGACCACGACACAACTATGTATGCATGTCATTATCCCATAAGACTTAAGAGCATTAGACGCGTCAGACTGCCAAGCGCAGACCTGGTCCAAACCAAAACAGCTGTGCCATTGCACCAGACGGCCCGCCGTTCGCGCGAGACCAGTCGGGCATCGCGAGCTCTCCGACGGACCAACTGGTCGGCTGGTCATCTGACGGACTCCAAGTTCGAACTGGTCTCTGACTGTCGGCTGGTTAGAACCGTCCACATCCCTTCTCTCCCCCCCCCCCTCACACACACACACACATGCACTCATGCACCGCGCCCGTGACGCTCCAATCCAAAGGATACTGGTCTTTCCAGCTGCATCCAGTCCCAGCATCAGGATCCGGATCTCCTTATTGCCGAATATCTTGGACAGGAACTTGCCCATGTTGGCGGGGCGGGGGCGGGGGCGGGGGCGGGGGCAGCGGCTGACAGCGGCCTGCGGACAGACGGGGCGGGTGCAGTCAGTACGGGTGAGTCATATTACCGGGGAGCCGAGACGCTCGACGCCGCGGAAACAGACGCCAGCCACTGCTCAGACAAACGTACAAACACAGACTGGCAGATGGACGGACAGCTGGATGGGGCCGCACGGCGGCGGGGCAAGCGATGGTTCAGAGACACAGCGGTGGAAAGCCAATCCCGCACCTGAGCGGACTGGTCTAGAAGGAGGAGTGGGCCGTCAGGGACAACAGCTATCAATGGAGACTGACTTAAAGCTTCGTTGTTCGATGATCAACTGAAATATCTATCGAGCATTAACTCCGCAAAGATTCCTGAATCCTGATGAGTCTCTCACCGAGCTCCTCTGCGTTGGCAGTTATTGGGTTTGCCGTAACAAAACACAAGGCTACGAAGGCCGCAGGAAGGAAGGAAATGCCATGACTAAAGGTGGCCCATTCATTGATGGCGTTCGAGCGAGATACTGCCTTCCAAATGCTCCCAGGATATCGCGAGAACAAACAATGAATGCACCCAACAAAATATGCAGGCAAGAGTTGGTGAAATACAAAAAAAAAAAAAAAAACGATACTTCCACGAATTCAGGGTTTCAGCTTTGTATTCACCTCACGCAAGCCAAGCACGCCGTGAAGCTGCTCTCTCGGGTCTAACTCTAACAGGCTCTAACCAGGCTCTAACACCGGCACCGACCTGCCCAGCCACCGAGACGGGTCAGTTTTCGCCGCGGACGCGTCTCCAAATCGGGCCGGAGGCGGCGCGGCGGCACTCGCGGTGTCACCTGACACTCGGACTGACACGCGCCGTCAAGGTCGACCGAGCGGCTGTCGGCGCCCGCTCTCCGTGTCACACGCGGTGACCATCCCACTATCGGGCTACGATAACGGCCGCCCGCTCACGCGCTCGTACGGAGTGATCCGAGAGAAACGAGACGTAGAACATGTGACGAGACGGTCGTCTGCTCCATCTGACACCGAGCCGATAAAGGAGCGCCGCGCGGACTCGGGATTCAGTCCACAAACAACGCCGATACCGTACCAGGCCAGGAAAATGACGATAAGTAAGACAGTTTACGAATGACTTGTATCGAAATTCACCCATGTTTATAAAAACAGGCTTTTCTTCTATGATATTGGAGCTTAACTGACCTTTGTGGCAATGGTATATATTATAATAGCATCGATTATATAATCGAAGGTGGTCAACAAAGAAGGCCCACGCCCCATTGAACAAATAAATCAAGAGCCCCAACATCTTGCCTCAACATCTGATGATATTAAAAATCCAGACAAGGTCACCGGCAAAGCCATTGCAGATTACGGCCAACATCAAAGTAATCAATAAAACGAAGAAGCAAAGTACATAATCAGCGAAGTGAATTGATGGCCAATGTCACAACAAACGTCACACGGGAATGCAGGACCGAGCTTAAAAATGACAATCAGACAAATGTGAAACCGTGACATTATTTCCATCGAGGAAATACCTAGTCCATGCCGCAGCGTGCCTTGCCGTGAGCCATGGACCGTCAGCCGGACACCACGGCCGTCAGTCCGCCACCGGAGACGGACTCTACCGCACCGGTGCCGGACCCGGCGGCACGACGGGAGTCGCAAGGCGGAGAGGGCGAGGAGCCACCGGTGCGGGACCCGGCAGCCCCGCCGCCTCCAGCCTCGGCAGCCGAGGCCGCCGTTACAGAAGCGGAGGGTGCGGAGCAGGGGCCAAAGACAACCGAGTTAGGCGCATCAGCGGAACGAACAATATCCGAGACGGACCAAAGTGAAGGAGCGTCCTCTGTTCCTCAATCAGAAGTTACCGATGACGCCCCGTCAGTTCCAGAGGACAAGGGAGAGACTAGTGGTACTGGTCTCGACGAGCGTCAGTCGACGGAGACCAAGATCCCGGTGCCCACCGTCAGTGTCGATGGGCCGGCCAGCACGCCGGGGTCGCCCATCCCTGACGTGGCTGACGGTCCGATAGAGATGACGGCACGCAGCGCGCCTCCGCCGGCCGCCGCCGAGCCGGAGCGCCCCCCGGGCCGCGCCAGCAGCGCCATGGGCAGTATCGGCGTGTCACCTCTGCCGGCCATCAGTCCCGGCTTCCGGCCCTACTCGGAGACGCCGGTGTACAGCGACAGCGGGGCTGCGCCGAGCCCGCCGCCGGCCGAGCCGCCGCCGCGCTCACCCCCGGCCGACCTGCCGTGCTCGGGCGACTGGCACCAGAAGACAGTCGACGACCTGATCGCCATGGATGTGCCGGACGTGCGCATCCCGCGCTGCGTCAATACCTGGGGCGCCTGCGAGATCCGCGGCTGGCTGCGCAGCCTTGGACTCGAACAGTACGCCGAGGCCATGATGAATAACGGCATCTGTGGCCGGCGGCTGTGCCTGCTCACCGCCTCGAACCTGCCGCGCATGGGCATCACCGACTGGCGTCACATCCGCACCATCACCGGCTCGGTGCGCCGCCTGCTCTCCATCGCCGACTACGTGCCCTACGAGCGCCAGCTGGACCGGCCGCCGCCCGGGCCCATGACGCGAGCCCTCTACCTGCAGTGCGCCCGGCCGACCGGGCCGCCGCCGCCCAGCAGCCAGCGCTACACAGAGTTTTTGCGCCAGAACGGCTTTCTGGACGTGCTGCTCGAGCTGACCAACCGGCCGGTGGTGATGCTGCCGCAGCCGCAACCGGAGGCGCTCTACCGCGAGATCGCCGTGCCACCGGTGCCGTCGCTGGCCGACTCGACCAGGCCTCAGAGCGGCTCTCCGGCACTGTGACAGGCAGCAGATTGAGAGCCACTGACACACCGCGGCAGCTGCCCACAGATGGGGTTATGTGTCAACAGCTGCTCCCAGGAATGACTGGGGGAGGAATATTTGCAAAGGCTAAAAATGGGAGACGAATAAATTCAGAGTTCAGACAGGAATAAATGAGCCTGCATGAATGAGGCTAGGTCTGATGCGGTGCTGTTAATTTTTATTAGGAGCAAAGACAAACATTCAATCAGATAATCCGGCAAGATCAATAAGATATCAATATAATATTCAATAAGATATAATAAGATATAATAAGATAAATAAGATAAAAACAAGATCAATAATCAAGATCAAAACAAGATCAATAAGATAAGAATATAAGATATCAATAAGATAATCAGGCAATCAGATAAGGCAAGAGATTCAACAAAAATTTTGTATCATCTTAGCTTGTTGTCATTAGTGGCTTCTGGGTAAGCAAAAGACCTAAAGCTAGCTATGAAATAACTTAAGCTGTTATTTGTTTTACGACATCTTTACCCAGGTAAGGTTAAAATCTATACTTGTTTAGCTCTCAGCTGGGTTTGAATAATCATATTAATGTTTTGTATATTTAGGCATACTTTGCTTAACCTTTGACAACAGAACCATCATCTGTCATTTTGAAATGTAGGCAGCCCCTTCTGCCAAAAGAATAGATAAGCATGCCAAAATATACAGAACACTGATATACTTGTTGTATCCTTTGACTTAATTGCCCTCTATCTAGTCTCCTGCTTCAGGCCAGATGTTAAATCATTCTACTTCAACACATTTGTAATTGTGTCTTACTATCCTTTCCCCCACATATTCAAGTGGATCCTGGATGTTTATACCTTATATATCAAGATACATTCCAAAATTTAAAGCTATATCCTTGCAAGTGACAGAGTGGCAACTTAATGTATGTGACATCTCCCCAAGGCTAGATACCTGCCATTGTACTTGCAGTAGCATAAGCAGCTGAAATTCTACAAATGGGATCATCCAAGTTGGGATATTTAGGGCAATTGTTCCTTCCACAGTGTTCAGAATTGTCAAAATTGTTGTCAGGAGGGAATATATACCGAAACATTTTTTTCTTCAAAATTTACCAAGCTTTTAGGGGAATAAGGACCCAAGAGTGTCAAATGCCCTCCTGGATCAGACAATGGCTTCGTATGAACAGCTATATTACTCTTCACAACTGGACAAACAATGGAAGGGCACAATGTATAACACCTCCTTCCCCTCAAATTCCATTATCTACCTATATCCTCACAAGCTTGATGAGAGGATTCCCAGGCTAAGTGGCCTTGCTTAACTTGATAAGCAAGGCCACAGAAAGGCTAGAATGTAAGGTAGGTACAAGGCAATAAAATATGGGGCGGTGTCACTAGGACTTCTGCACAGTGCACAGCTCAAGTGTGATGTAATGCTGTAAATAGGAACATCATGAATTGAAATGGTGTTAATGAAAAAATATGAGACATTGAAGCTGTATTTCTTTCATTTTAATGTATATCAACCTTTAAAAGAATCCCAAAGGATGATATTTGTCAAGCGCTTTCCTCATGATCTGTTCACATCTTATTCACACAGCTACATCAACCCTTAAAACTGAACCTGTTTCAGGAACATTGTTGCCTGCAGGAAATGATCTGAATAGGGCCATAGGCAAGAAAGGGCTGGTTGCACGCAACCATAGGAAAATCCGAACTGACTATGAGCTGTTGGAACTTAATATAAATGATATCAGTCGAAAAGATGTTGGCAATATGTTCAGTGCCCATCTAGAAAGTGATACAAGCCCGCCTCATGCAGGTCTGAATTCGCTGATGTCAAACTGCCAAGATATTGTCTAATAACTCTTGTGCATGGGTGTGATGTGTGCAGAGTGTACAGGGTGTTGCAGGTAAATTGGGAATTTTCAGACCTAATTTCAACATGCTATTAATACGGTGAATAAAAACACAAAAAGTTGAAACTTCGCACGTGTATTGTGTCATGTACGCACAGCCTTGACACTCGATGTGACCGCCGTCGGCGTCCCGCACCCCCTCGAGACGGCGCCGGAAAGCGGAGCACGCGCGCCGGGCCTCGTCCTGGTCAATGGTGCTGACTGCCTTCCTGATGGCCTTCTTCAGGTCAGAAGCGTTGGCAGGAGTGGTCGAGTTGGACTTTTGTTCTACCACGCCCCACATCCAAAAGTCGCATGGATTCAAGTCAGGCGAGTTGGAGGGCCATATGTCCTTGGGTACATATAGGGGGATCCTCTGGCTCAGGAAATCTTGCACCCTCTGGGAAGCATGTGCTGGGGCGGAGTCTTGCACCAGCATGACTTTGCTCAGGTCATAGTATTTCATCATCCAGGGGATGAGAGACTCCTTCAGGATGGTCAAATACGCGTCAGTGTCGATCATCACACCAGCAGGTATGAAATGGGGCGGCATTATGCGGCCATCACTTGCGACGGCCCCGAACACCATTACTGATGCCGGATTTTTGCCTTTATCACGGGGGCCACTTCATCAGGGCTGTAGGCGATAGCCCGCGAGTTCCTGCGGTTGGCGACCTCTTCTACGATGAACTTTTTCTCATCGACAAATACTCTGACGTCACTCCCGAGGTGCTTGAGGAGATTGAGGACCTTCGGTGCCCTCTCCCTTCGTATCGCTCTTGCTGGTTCGGTCAGGAGGCTTCGTCGTTTTCTGGTAAACGACTTCATCCCGAGGTCCTCTCTCACGGCTCTGCTGATGGTGCTCTTGCTCACGTGACGGGCACGCGCAAGCTTGTTCATCGAGGTCCTCGGTTTGGCCTGTATCGAGCGTTTCAAGCCGCTCAGGAATGTTGGTGTCCGTTTTCGGTCACTGCGAGGTGTGTGAGAACGTCGAGCGACATCCCCTCCAGCTCCTACAGTCGCGATAGTTCGGTACACGGTAGACTTTGGGTACCCAGTTAAACTTATTATGTCCTTCGCGCTCTGTCCGGCGCGAACTAACTCACCAATCGTTTCCCTCCGACGCTGCTCCATGACTGCGCGATATGTTAGGATTAAAATTTCAATATCAAATGAAAAACAATTGTTGAAATTATATTGTGTCAAATTTCCATGATGTTCCTCCGCATAACAAATTTTTTGTAAGGTCATGAACATAGTCCCAATTTATCTGCAACACCCTGTATGTTGATGTGTATGTTGGCGATATTATTATGTTGACTGAATTTGTCATGCCATAGATAACATGAATCTATGGTCATGATTCATGTAGATTAGATAACATGAATCTATGGTCATGATTCATGTAGGGGGCATTCCATGTCAACCGGGACAACCAAAATCGGTCACCTCTGCGATTTTGTTCAAACTTGGTATACTTATTGCCTATTGGGTGAAACCTCTGAGGGTGAAAGGATTTTGTCATATGCCCTCGGGCTACAGAGATACAAGCCGCTAAACTTCTGCTTTTTTAGCAGAATTGGACGTGTACTGTAATCTTGAAAGATCTATAGCTTCAACATTTTTGAAGCTATTAATTTCAAACAAACTGGAACGTATACATCAGGAATTATACTAGCAAAATTTGGCAGTTTTAACATATTTTGAAAATTCTGAATTTATTTTATTTTGAATTAATTTCTTAAAATATAATTTGTGAAAAATGGGTACCCTTCGATTTTGCTCAAATTTAGATATTGTCTTCCACTACACGTAAGGCACACGTGCTGAGAAAATTAGAGTGGGCCAACAATAACTTTGGATGATATAGCAACAAGTAGTGCAACGTAGCACGGGCGGTGAAAGGGGCGGATCTCGCCAACCCCACCTGTTTTTCGCCAATAACTCACGTCATAATTATCATATTAACGTCAAAATTTCAGTATCTGTCCAGAATTGAATTGCTAATTCTCCCGTGCAAGCAATCGGTAAATCGGTCTACAAATTTTCTAGTAATAGCAGTGTAAAGTCAAACATCCTGCCGGAGCGGCGCGGCGGCCGGCGCTGGCCGTTGCCGCCTGAATGGTAGACTGTGCCGGCGCGGGACGGTTCCATCTTTGCACCGCGCTTCTTACCGATGATTATGGTCGATTCGTGTCAAATTTTGTGTGAAGGCTTAAAAATGTACATGCAATCTAATGGTCAAATACATGCGAAAATCAACCGGTAAAAATTGAATTATTAGGGTGCAAACACAATCTGTGAATGAAACGTTTTCGCGTCGGCCGATCCCCGCCTCTGCCGGCGACATCTTACTCTTAGCAGGCCAATAACTGCCAAATTCATGGTTAGATTAGCTAGAGATTCTCATAACACTACAAATGTCGTATAAAGGAAGAAATAGGAAAATCGGCCATTAACTCTTAGAGCTATGGGCGTATAAACGCAAAATAGTCACCATAGCAAATTTGATCACGTTTAACCTCATTTGATCTTGAAGATATTGATCTAGGGCTATGAAATTGGCACACGATAAAGTTCCCCACCTACAATTCAAATTCCGTTTTTTTATACCCTTTTTGACTAAACGGGGCCTTTCTCCCCTAGCGCTGGGAGAGTCAGGCGTATTTCCTTTTTGCAACCAAAGAGAGGCGCTGCCCGGAGAATGCTCAATTGCATCATTAAAAAAAACTGGCTTACAGCTCAGCGATGACCAGCTATCTTCGTGGCTTAGTAGTTAGTGTGCCGAGTGTACCCACCTCGTAATCTATAGGTCGCTGGCTCGCGGCCGGTCAGCCTCAAGTGTTTTAACACGCGTTCATTTTTGTTTTATAGTGTTCGTATCTAAGTAGCATTTCGCCAGCCGGCAACTGCCGTGAGGGCTATACATATTTACGCGTGTTGGATTAGATCAGGTCAGGTCAGGTTAGGTTTGCTTTGGTTTGATTAAGGTAGAAAGAACCATCTCCGCGTAGCGCCTCTCCTTGGCTGCTAAAACGAAACGCGCGAGTGCCAGACATTACAAAGTCCAAAAGACAGTTACGTAGACGTCGGCCCATTCTGAAATTTGCATATGAAGTAGCTAATGTATGGGAGAATAAAATATGTAAAAATCAGCAAAATCGAAGGGTACCCATTTTTCAGAATTTCAAAATTTATTTTTTGAATTTTAATTATGCTGACTAATTAGTTAATGACGTCCATATTTTGATCCTCAAATTAAAGCCTGATCTATTCCCTCCATTTCAAACTTTGTCGCGCGGTGATATGTCTAAAACTTTAAAAGTTATGACGCTTTAAAGATGATAATGTGCCTTGTCGAAGTCAATGTTTGATGACGTATATCTCGGAAAAGTGACGTCATATCTTGACAAAAAAAATGTCTCCTTTCTTTTCACATATACATGAGTAGGTTCACAAAGTTTCGCAAAAATCGGAGGAGGTGAGGTTCAAAATCGTCATTTTTTGTCCCACTTGACGTGGAATGCCCCGTAGATAACATGAATCTCAGTTGGGGAAACTACGAGGCGAATGTCAAAAAATGGATTGGTCAATAAATGGACTTTTGATGACCATATATGGGCATAAATGCAGCCCCCACTACTAAGGGTGAAAAACGGTATAACAAGCCGGTACTTGCGGTATCGCGTCCACTTATTGGAGAGAAAAGGCTTCCATTTTTCACTAGGAATTGGTGTGATTTGATTGAATTCGGCGAATTGACTCGAAAATGGCGATAGGAAAACGGCTTTTCTGCAGGTTCTGGGCGTCACAATCAGCTGGCCATTCAATAAATGGATTGGTTTTATGAAAGAAAATTGTTAAAAGATTTAATTTAATTACAATGAACAAAAATATTTAATTCTAAAATAATAACTTAACTACAATTAGAAAAACCATATACAAAATAAAAAAAATGACATTTTTAAACCACGGTACTGCTTACATTTTTTGGCGCGTCTGTTTCAATCCGCCGTATTTGCCAATCACGGTTTGACCTTGTGTTGTAACTCTGCGATTTAGAGCCGCCAGTTAATTATGCACCGGGTGAGTGTAGGCCTTGTGTGGTTAAAAAACATTCTTATGCCTTATTTTTTCATTTGAATGCTGAAATTCATTGAAAAGATGAAGTTGTCTGATTTTATGACCATATATGGTCATCGCCCCGCCCACTCCAGCCGCTGATTGGCTAATCCAATTTTTGTTTGGCTCCTCGTAGTTTCCCCAACTGATCTATGGTCATGATTCATGCATAACATGATTCATGTTATCTATGGTCATGCATATGTACTGACTTGGTGCGAAATAAATATTATTATTATTATTATTATTATTATTATTATTATTATTGTAATAATGATAACTATGGCCTGGCAAGGTAGGTATTACCTGGCAATGGCATCAAAACCTGATCCAAAATTCAAAATTGTTCATATATAGCACTCAATTACTAAGGAGCAAAATACCATCAAACTGAAAATAGAAAGGTAATGCAGTCACGATTGTCGATTGATCATGATCACAGACACACGAGTCAAGATTGAACCAAGATCGCATTGCACTCACAGCTGTTCAAATGTCGACCTGGACCGCAAAGTACCTATTAGGGATGTCTGCACATTCTAAAAAACCTCCTTTCCACATTAATATGATCTTAATGCTATACGTTAACTATAACACATTCATTCCATTCTATCCGATAGCCATACACTTTTACAGCGGAAATTATAACGGGGCGGATCGGGGAAAGAGACAGATTTGGTTCTTGTCAAGGTTGATATTCAAATGTTTGGCATTAAGTCAAAATATGACGTCATCAAAACTCAAAAGTCTACTCATCGATACGACAAGACCATGGACTTCGTATGTATGTATGTATGTATGTATGTATGTATTGACACCAAAAGCCTTCCACATATGGCGTGGCGATTACGGCTTCATCCATGACAAGGCCATCTCATGCCATCCAAAGAGACTCAGAAGTCGGAAAAGACACGAACACTACTACTGGGCTACTGGTACTGGGGCTCGCGCATTTTGGAGGCTGGAGGACTGATTTTCGCAGCTTTCGAACGCCATTGATGTATGGGGCATTCCACGTCAAATCGAACAAAAATCGGCTGTTTTGCACCTTACCATCAGCGATTTCATTATGAATTTGTGAGCGAGTTCCTGTGTGGCCCTGGACATTACATTGATGTTTTTTTGCACATTCTGACCACAGGTCTTCTAAATATAGGGCATCAAATTTTTACAAAATGTTGCATCTTTATATTTTTGAACGACCATAACTTTGGTTGTACTTGTTTGATTTGAATGAAATAAACCTTACTGTTTAGGTAATTTCTTAAGCATTTGTTTAGAATTGCACCTACTTAAATATATGACCTTGAAATTTGCTTAACTCTGTTCTTAAGCACAAATATTGAAATAGCAAAAAACACGTCACCTTCGATTTGGCTCATTTTCATATATTTTATTGCCTACCATATTCTTAACAACCTGTGAAAAAATTAGAGTGGGCCATTCATAACTTTTGAAGAAAATTGCACATATGCAAACGTATGTTAGCACGCGCAGTGGAGGGGGAAGAGCGAATTTCGCCCACCCCTCCTGTTTTTCGCCAATATCTCATAAGATTAATGCGAAATTAATTATGGCTACCTGTCAAGAATTGAATTGGACATCTCATCGTGCAAGCAATAAGAAAATCGGTTCACAACTGTTCTAGTAATAGCGGTGTAAAGTGAACATCCTGTCGCCGCAGCGACGCGGCGACTCGGCAGCCGGCGCCGACCGCTACGTGCCGCCTGAATTGTAGACTGTGCCGGGACGGAACGGAACGGTTCCGTCTTTACATCGCGCTCCCTACCGCTGATTACGTTCGATTCGCGTCAAATTTTGTGAGAAGACTAAGAAATGTACAGGCAATCTTATGGTGAAAGAGTTTTGAAAATCGGTTGGTAAACAATTGAAATATGAACGTGTAAACACAAAATTGTGATTGCTGTACGTCTTTACATCGCGCTCCCTACCGCTGATTACGTTCGATTCGCGTCAAATTTTGTGAGAAGACTAAGAAATGTACAGGCAATCTTATGGTGAAAGAGTTTTGAAAATCGGTTGGTAAACAATTGAAATATGAACGTGTAAACACAAAATTGTGATTGCTGCGTTTCCAGCATCGGCCGAGCCCGCCTCAGCCGGCGACATGTTACTCTTAGCAGGCCTCTAACTGCCATATTTATTATTGGATTAGCTAGAAATTCCCCATACATACTAAAAAATGTATGTTCTTTCGTATAGTGAAGATCAAAAGACGTGAAGATATCGTTGCGTGATAATGTTTTCGTTGAATTTACTTCATGATGCATTTCCACACGGCTCAAAATTCACCGCAAAATACCGTTTGCCTGAAACACTTTTACTATGGAACGTGAATGCTTGACTACGATGACTATGCATTTCCATTCTCGCAGAGTTTGGGATATCACTAATCAGCAATCATTCATTTCAGAAAGTGTACACAAGCAAGCATGTCTTGACTCTGTCTTTCAAGGTCACGCGCGGTTGCGTGATGTTGATGCATGAAAACGGCGTTTGCCGCGAAAGTTATGAATGGCCCACTCCAATTTTTTCACAGATGGTTAGGAACATTGTGACGGACATAATATGTAAAAATTACCCAAATCGAAGGTGACGTGTTTTTTGCTATTTAAATTTTTCTGTTTTAATTCAAGGTCAAATGCATTTCAAGGTCGCTTCAATTTAATTTTATAATTAAAAATCAAAGCCTTATCAATTGCCTATAAGACCCTGTTAATATCATTTTGATACCAGAAAAGGAACCAGAGTTATAGCCATTTAAAAAATTGATATGTGGCATTTTTCGCTATATTCGATGACCTATATCTCAGCGATACGTTATCAAATTTCGAAAATATTATACGTAACTCAGTTTTGAACCATGCCCAGTCTGCCTACAAATTTTCAGAAAAATCGAAGGGGATGACGGATTTCGGTGTTTGATTTGACGTGGAATGCCCCGTATTTAGTATTTACCATATTTACCATATCAGAATTTACGCAGATTGTTAGATAAATTTGATAAATGCTTAAATAATGCAAAATTTCTTTTACATATGTTCATCTAAGCATAAAACCGTTTTAGATTAAGTAAATATCAAGCTGTGGAAAACTTCCATTTTCTTTTGAACTGAACCAAAGACAAATTAGTGGTTGGTTGCCTTATAGGCACGAGTGAACTTTGTCGGCGAACGTAGCGCCTGCGCCAAAGTGCTCGTCGCATTTTATCCGCGTCGCATTCTCTCTGTTTCGCGCGCGTCTGGCCGGCGGCGTGGCGTGTTTTAATTATTTCTGGTTTTGTTCTTGTATGATCACCTGTTTCTGCAGTCACTTAAGATATATCATTTTTTGACACAGGTCGATGATCACTTACAACCATCTTAGCAACATGAATGGTCGCAGAGACAGGTGAGGAATCGAGCGGCGAGCCCCGGTGCGATGCGATCTAATTCAGTTTGATTTCATTTTGAATTCAATTTCAGGTAATTTTTCTCCTGTACATGTGTGTCAGATCTAATTTTTTTATGTGGGCGAGGATGGATGACATGATTATTATTAATATAACGAGGCTTGAAATGATCTCACGCATGTCAAAGTGTTTTTATTTTAGGCAAAATAAATATCTAAAACAGTAAAACAAGCTTTCGGCATTACGCCATCATCAAGTTTAGCCGAAAGCCGAAAGCTTGTTTTACTGTTTTAGATATTTATTTTGCCTAAAATAAAAACACTTTGACATGCGTGAGATCATTTCAAGCCTCGTTAGATCTAATTTTTATTCATGAACTGGATCAATACTCATCATGCATTTTTGGTTGTGCACATGTTCAACAGTGCCAGACTGGAAATAACACACGTTATGCCAAATATGTCCTGTGTAGTGGCGGGATTGCGCCGAAAATTTCAGCGCACGTCCGGCGTAACTTCGCATGCGCCGAATTCAGCGCATGGCGGCGGACGAATTTTTTGGTGCAGGGCGGTCGCATGATTTTTTAGCGAATGACGGTCACCGAATTTATGCAGTACGCTGGTCAATCTAGCAGCAGATTTGCCCCGCGGGCGGCTCTGGAGAGGTTTCAGGACGGAGACCTCCCCACCCCGGTCGTCTCGTGCTTGAACTGGTGAGCCGCTCGAACTCAGCAGAGAAGCGGCTGCCCAGGTGAGGCCTCAACCCTCGGCGTGGAGATAGGTATGGAAGACCTTGTTGAACATCGCCAAGCTTCGTTAAGCAATACTGCAGTGGGTTCCTGCCCACTGCGGTATCAAGGGGAATGAGAGCGTGGACGACCTGGCAAAACAGACTGCCGCCCTGCCCTCAAACGCCCACTCGCTGACTAGGGCGGTTCACTGTGCGGCCTCGCATCAATGGCGCGACAACTGCTCAGAATCACTATTCAAGCCACTCCTCGGGAGCACGTCGCCGCTCCCTATCCCCGGAGCGGACCGAGAGGATGCCGTTTCGGTGCACCAGATGAGGGCGGGCCACTGGAGCCGCTCGCTCCAATACGGCACCGAATCGGCTGTCTCCACTCCGCGGCGTGCTAGCAATGCCCAGACAAGCGGTGCCCCGCGGCGCTCTGCGCCGTGTGCCGAGAAGAGGGTGATGTGCCGGAGCACATGCTGCTCCGCTGCCCGGCCCTCGCGGCCACTCCCACCAGCCTCGAACACACTGCTCCGGCGCTCCGCCGATAGTAACATCGGCACAAATTTGTAGCCCCGGAACTCACGGCTCTAGCTTTGTTTCACGGCATGAAGCTAGAGTGCACTAAGACTATTGAGGTATTGGGTTTCTGTGGAAATGAAAAACTCATTCGGAAACTCAAACATGGGAGAGCATACAAGGCCCCGGAATACTGTCTGGTTCATATAGCCTTGATCGGTAGATGTGCACATGTGCTTTATATAAAAAGGGCTTAATTTTCGCACAAATAGGCACCTAATTTTTGGCGCAAATCACACAGAAATTTCAGCGCAAAATCGCTTGCGCCGAATTTCGGCGCAAGAGGGTCTCACGGGCGTCCGGCGTAGTGTATGGATGATTTCCAGTCTGGCAACAGTGTTCAGTTTGAGTTCAGTATCTGTCTTTTTTTTTTGCTGCATCTTGGTGACAAGCAGAGGGGTGTTCACGGGCACCGCACACTGCTGCGTGCGGTGTGTGCAGCAGGCGTGGGGTGGGGTGGGTAGGGGATGGGTAGGCGGTTCTGACGTCACGGCTGCGTGCGGTGGACGGTCCGCTGTGGCCAGTCCCGACCGGCCACAGCGATCGCTGTGTGCGGTGACGGAAGGCTGGCGTAGGGACGCAGTGGGCGGAGCTTGGAGGCTGTGTGCGGTCCGACCGCACATAGGGCCCGTGAACAGCCCTCAGGTGTAGCTTGTCGATGCCTCCATATTTTGATTCCATTAAGCTAGTTTGACCAACTGATTTAGTGATTTGTGTTGGATGCAAAAGCCAAGCTGCTATGCGCCTAAAGACAAGTGACACCCAAAATTCTCATGAATATTCTGGAGTGGGTCGATACAGCTTGGTCGACCCAAACTCTGAATCCGGTTCCGACTCCTAGTCCTGGCTCATTACTTACCACCAGGGTTGCGGAGTCGATCGATTTTCAGGCAACAGACTCCGGCTCCGGCTTCCAAAATCGACTGCGACTCCGACTCCAGCTCAGACTCAAGACGTTATTCTTAAAATCCTAGCGATGATGTCTTTTATTTTGCCTGACATGATCCTTGGAGCGTTCCTAAGCCTTACATTGCAATAAAATGCCTTATAAATAATGGCAGAACCCGCGAGTTGCTGGGTTAAACGGGTTAAACGCCCCCACTTTTTCCGCCGCACTATAGCATATGACAAAGTTTAGAAAAATTGGTTGGAATATTTTTGAGATACCGTAAAACGGGGTGTTAACCCTCGCCGGCGGGGGGGGGGGGGGGTGATGCAACCCCCCTAAGGTTTTTCGCGAATAACTCGCATAAAAAGCGGCCGATCGCGACGAAACTTTCAGTACCCTCGCATTGACCAATTTTACACCTACCCTGAAAATTTCATGACCCTGACCCAAATGACCTTTGACCTGTAAACTTCTTTCCGAGACCATGTTTGGCCGGAATCGCGATTCGGCGTATGTCGGCTCGCATTAGCGGCGCGTTTGCAAGCTTTTCGTGGTTTCAAACGTTCAAACATGTGATTTGATGTTGCTCCCATGCATTAGGGTGGATGTCAAGGTCACCCGAAGGTCAGGCCATTGACCTTTGGTGACCTCGGTTCACTTTTTCGAGTTTTACATGTTTCTAGGCTAGTTTTTGGAGCTGATTTCGAATTTAGCAACCATTTGAACATTTACGAAGTAGTTTTAGTGCCTTCGTAGCATGTTACGAAGCTGTCAGAGGCGGTTGACACGTATTACGAATACCCATCACGGCCCCTACCGGTTGACCTGACCTGACCTGACCCGACCTGGTCTAAATGCTTAAAGACATTATCTCTGATCAAAACTAACACGATATTCGTGGTCAGCACCCCGGAAAACCCCATAGCAGCCACACTTTACGACTTTCTAACAGGTCCCGATTTTCCCGATTTTCGGGTCATTGACCTGACCTGGGAGGTCACCCGATGACCTAGGACCTTAAAATTGGATATCATCGGCTTCCTCTCGTGACGGGCAGCACGCTTGTTTTTTCCGCGAAGCTCTAGCTCAATCAGGGGCCAAACGCGAGGGGGCGGTCCTACCAACCAACCCCCCCCCCCTTGTGCCGTCGAAGGACGCAAAATGGCCTGTGCCGACAGTTTTGAGGTGTTTTGTTGTATAACTCAAGAAGGGTTGGAGATAGAAGCATCAAAATGTCAGCATTTGATGTGAAATTTGGCGCTTAAAGGGACCCTCCCACCTTAACATTAGATTTGAGTTGAGATAGCCAAAATGGGGTCCCTGGCTCACAATTACCGGTTTCGGCACTCACAACATCGAGAAATGCCTTAAATCGGAAATATTGAATTTCAAAATTGCAGCATTTTGATTCAGAGGGGCTAATGCTTAGGAATACCCCTCTGAATGTGTGACGTCAGCGCAAATATCTAACGATTTTTAAATGTTTGACTAAAACGTTTTGTAGCACGCGGTGGTATATGCTATTTGCGCGCAACATCTGCCGCAAACGCCGCACTTCTAAAATAAAGTCGCTAGGGACAGCGGAGATCCAAAAAAAGTAAACAAAAGTAAAAGTCTAATATCTTGAAAACCGGTGAATATTTTTCGGTGAAATTTTGTAGATATTCGTTTTCGCTCTTTCTGAACCGAGCGACATCACTTTTATGCCAATTCATAAACTTTTTTGAAGGTGGGAGGGTCCCTTTAACATGCCTGCTATATTAAAGTTTTAAAATATATGCCTGCATATTTTTAATCCTTTTTCATCACTGTCCCTTAGCAGCCCAGTGTGGAGTATTAAGGGACACCTATATTATTCCAAGAAATGGTCATCAAATGCCCGCAATTCGGGTGTGAAAGGGCACACAATTTATTGAAATGTTTTGCATATTCAATCACAAAAATAAGTCAGGTTCATTCACCACTAATGGCCTTTTTAGCCAATTACCTACAGCCTATTTTTGCCTATTACCTGCCTAAGCCTATTTTTAGCCTACATGTAATGCAGTTTACTTTTCTGGAAAATGTGATAATTATAAGGTAACCAGAACCAAAAAGTACCCTTCTGTCATCAACAAAAAACCATTTTGAAGCTACTATGAACGTCAAAGCCCTTGAGACCCCACTTTTTTGCGATAATTTTTAAATGCGTCAACTTTCGCTGACAATATTCTGGCAATGTATGTTTCAGAACCTGCCGAAACTTTTATTACTAAGGTATTTTGACGCCAAACGATTATGGAAGGTACTTTTCATTCACTCGTAATGCTTAGGTCAATTCAGGCCCGGGCAGAGGCTTGCGCTCGGCCACACTCGAGTCCCGCCACCAGCGCCATCTGCTCTAAATGCCATCTACCAGCGCCCGCTACCGCTACCAGCTACCGCCCACCATCAAGCCTGAATGGAGCGAGAGACGCGAGTGACCGGTCGCCGGGCAAGGAGCGCCGGAGGGGTAGGGCGGAGCTTAGCGCTGACGTCATTACGTGGCTCCGCCCAATGAGCGCGTAGCCTCTACCCAAACAGCAGATTTGTTCCATGAAATTTAACATTACGAGTGAATGAGAAGTACCTTTCATAATCGTTTGGCGTCAAAATACCTTAATAATAAAAGTTTCGGCAGGTTCTGAAACACACATTGCCAGAATATTGTCAACGAGAGTTGACGCATTAAAAAATTATCGCAAAAAAGTGGGGTCTCAAGGGGTTTGACGTCCATAGTAGTCACTCGTCATTATGTTGCCCTCTATGTTTTGGCCTTTTTATGATGACATCACATTTACCTACATCAGTCTTCATTGACCCATCATTGTAAAAGAGAGTGTTAAGGTAGTTTTGAGGTGTTTGCTTTATAACTTAAGATGTGTTAGATATAAAAGCATGAACTTGCCAGCATTTTATGTGGAATTTGGTACTTTATGAAATTATGTTTAGCCTACTATTTTTTTATTTTTTCTTCCCTGTTCCTTAGCACCCAACATCCACCTAAAAATATGCATGTGTCCGGAAAAGAGGAAGAGGATGATGAATGAATGGGTGGATTTGTGTAAGTTTTTCAGGAGACATGTGCAATACATGTGACAATACAACTATGCATTCATTTTCCCTGTACACCTACTAGTTTATGTGGTACACACAGGGTTTTAGAGATGTTTCAATTTTGTAAAAATGTAGCATGATTTTCAAAACGATTTTTCAACCAAATCACTTGCATGAAAAACCATTCCATTTTATCCCATAGTCAAGAGCAAAACAGTGCCAACTACCACACTGAAGTTTTTATTTAAACTTCTCAAATTAGGAACTTAATATGACTCAAAGTTTTTCCCACGCAACTGTCCCTTAGCACCCCACGGCCACTGTCCCTTAAAGGAAATAGTTCACATTTTAACATGGGTTTTGAACTGGAATAGCAGTTCTGTAGCTTGGGCTGAGACGAGCATAAATCAGGAGCTTTTACAGCCCAACGATCACCCTAGGCAAAGATATTCTATTTCTCGTCGTCTTGCGTTGAGGATGTGTGCCTTGCATATATTCGCATCCAGTATGAAACGAGCATGGGTCCCGAAAATTCTTCAGAAACTAGAGAAATTATCTACGAGAACTCTAGAGAAATTCGCTCCAGTGAGGCGCTCCGCATGCTCCAGTAACAAAAGCACGAGCAGATCGCCCAAATGCCGGTGGCCGCGATAATTTCTCTAGTTTGTGAAGAATTTTCGGGACCCATGCTCTTTTCATACTGGATCGCGTGTGCCTTACAGAAACTGAAAAGTTCTTCCTATATCAAAAATATAGAAAATAATCTTTTGTTGTAAAAAGGTTTTATTTTCTTTGCTGATCATTTTGAACATAAAAAATCACAAATCCATTGCAAAAAAAATAATTTCGTGAAAGTGAACTATTTCCTTTAACCCGCGCCCCAGTGGCGGTCTCAGCCCAAGTCTCAGCCAACTTCGCCTTTTTTTGGCCAACTTCGCCCTAGTGGGAGGGGGGGGGGGCATATGTTACCACCCACCTCTAACTAAAAAACTAAAAGGGCTAGAAAGACGCGGTAAAAAGCAGTCGATAGCTCTCAATGTGTACGTTTGAAAGTATTTCGGTCATTTTTCATCTTAGAGCAATATTGGGGTCACTGGAGTCATCAAAGGTCAAAATTTGCCAAATGTAATTATATTTTTTTCAGAAAACATGCATTTATCTCAGGAACTATGATAGCTAAAAAAACGCATGAAAAAGCAATCGATAGCTTTTGAACTCTTCTTTTGATAAGGTCATCATCAAAATTGACCTCAGGTCAACGGTTTAGCCTCCAGAGGGCAAAAACTCCAAAAATAGCTGTTTTACGAAAAGTGTTTTTCGACAATAACTTTTGACTAACAAAATCCACGACATTTCTATTGCCAGAATCGTGTTCCTCTCACCGAGACGCGTCGAATGAACTATAATTTGACCTTGAAAGGTCAACTTGAAAATTTGACCTCAGGTCAAGGTCATGACCTGACCGGAAAAGGTCATGTTGCATATCATTTGATGTATCTCAACAAGACAAACACAATGAGGCCATCCCCAGCGTTCTATCTCTTTCCAATCTAGAGTTATTGGCAAAAATCTGTTTGTAGCCTCAAATGACCTCGGATTTATTGAACTTTCTAGAGGCTATCAGCAAAAAGACACATTGGTCGTCACGGATGGTCCAAATCATTGTGATTCTGAAATATTTGGACTGTTCCTATGCGTACACACGGATCTAAAGGCATTTTCATTTTTCTCCATTGACTTATAATGGTAAGGTCACGCCACTGCAGTGGCGTGACCTTAGGTCACGGATATAAAAAAATCCGAGATATACAAATTATAGGCGCCCATAACATCATACATATGTCCCCCCCCCCCACACACACACTGGGGCGAAGGGCTAAAGGGACCCTCCCACCTTCAAAAAAGTTAATGAATTGGCATAAAAGTGATGTCCCTTGGTTCGGAAAGATCAAAAATCAAATATCAATATCTACCAAATTTCACCGAAAAATATTCACTGGTTATTTCAAGATATTATGCTTTTACTTTTGTTTACTTTTTGGGATCTCCGCTGTTCCTAGCGGCTTATTTGGAAGCAATACTTTGGCAGCCTTGAAGTGCGGCAGACGTTGCGCGCAAGGCAGTGTATACCACCACGTGTTAATGATGGTTTTAGTCTAAGATTTAAAAATCGTTAGATCTCCCCTGACGTCACAGATTCTAAGGGGGCATTCCAATGCATTTAGCCCCTTAGAATCCGAAAACTGCAAGTTTGAAATTCCATATCTCCGAATTGAAGTACTCATCTGAAGCGTCTCGTCGCGTTCTTTCGTTTGCCGCCTCGTACGTTTCGCTGCGCCTATTGGTTCTCGAGTTATCAGCTGGGGGCGTTTAACGCTCCCTCCCCCCCCCCCCCCCCAGCAAACGGCGGGTGGCGAAATACCCTAGCAATTGCCGGGTTTTAAGAAGCAGGTTCCGGAGAGTTCGCCTTCTTCTGCTTCTTTTGCTGAAAATTCTCGTCCAAAACAGGAGTAGGTACCTATGATCTTTTTTCGACAAAATCTTATATCGAAAGTTCAATGAGCGTAGGATCGCCAAGTAACCAGGTGCAGGGCATGACGTTGCTCCATGGAGCATTAACCCGCGCACCGACGGGGGGGGGGATGACCGCCCCCCTCCCTGAGGTTTTTCGTGAATAGCGGGAAAACCGTGGCTCGTAGCGCCGCGAAATTTAGCATGACTTTCCCCTAATCAATTTTACACATCGTGTGCAAGTTTGAACCTCCTACCTTTCAAGGTCAGGTCACCTCGAATGACCCAACCTCAAATCACTTTTTTGCAACGTTGTCACCGTGTCAGAGCTACAGTAGATGACGGAGGCCTTTGAATGTCGCAGGATATAATGAGCTCATTGATAGCTACAATTTGTTTATCTCGGAATTTTGATATCGATTAACTAAGATCAGGTCAATTTCTTGACCTGTCCATTATAAGTCAATGGGGGAAATCAGTTTTCCACTAAAACGCGTCGGAATGACCCAATTTACAATGAATGACTTCATACACGATCAACCTTAACTACCTTGAGGCCTTTTTTGCTGTTGGGCAATTGTAAGGTCATGTGACACCATCAAGGGTCACCAAAGGTTTTTGGCTAATAACTCCGTCCAGGAACGAGATACAGCCGCGCGGATGGTCTCATTGTGTTCAGCTCGTCAAGGCGCATCGAATGATATGCATGATGACCTTGGGGTCAGGTGACCTGAGGTCAACCTTTGACCTTGACCCTTCGAGGTAAGCAAAACTATGATTCTATGCGGTTTGACGAGAGGATCACGGTGGTATCGTTAGTTTGCTCCTAGCTGGGCTACTTCGAAAGATATTCGAGAAAAAACTATTCATTTCTAGCGCGGCCATTTTGACATTTTTGACCCCTGTGACGTCATCTTTGACCTGACCTGAAAATGACTTAGTAAAAATTGTAGATCTTGTCAGTGCGTACCCCATGCCGTTTACCGCTTGTCGCTATCTTGCTTCGTTTTCGAGATCTCAAGGGGGGAGGCGGTCAACCGCCCTTCCCCGTCTGTTCTAACTTGGCGCAGATCCCGGTCGGTGCGCGGGTTAACTCTGACCCCGGAGTCGGAGTCGGTAAGATTTTGGCGAATCCGACTCCAGGCAGGACTGTCTACTTCGGGCGACTCCGACTCAGACTCCGCAGCCCTGCTTACCACCACTGTGAGCGAGTCTGTCTCGGCCTCCGCAACCCTGTCTTTTGATCCTGGATGTTCTTGACACAGGGCGAATGCGACCCGTAGGCGTTGATCTCGAATCCGAATTACATGTTACTCTATGCAATGATACTGAGGCTAAATGACACTGAGATCGTTCAATATGGAAGCATTGAAACCCAGGAGCCGCGGACGGACGCAAGCTCTATGAGTGACCCAGTGCTCTTTGAGTGACCTAGTGTCTTTTGGCAAAGAGGTGTTATACTCGTTATTATCGCACCAACACGGTCTCCCTTGCTTACCAGCTGCCATGCTTACGACGCGCCGACACTAATTGTCGTGTCCCTGATAGTCTAACCCGCTCCCCCCGAATGCCGACAGGTCCCCGCTGCGCGATCGGGAGGGCATGCGGAACGACCGTGACTCTCGCGGTGACCGGGACCGCGGACCACGCCGGTTCGGCGGCGACCGCGACCGCGACCGCTCCGGACCGCCGCCGCGGGACCGGCCCCCTGCCGGCGGCGCTGGCAGGTACGCTCGGCGCCTCGCTCGGAAGCCTCTCCCGGCCGGGCTGCGGACGGGAACCAGTGCAGAGGCCGACCCGATCATGGATATACTATTGTGCCAGTGTTGATGCTCCTCACGAAATGGATTATTTTTGTCATCTTTATGAACGAGATATGAAATCCCCAATGACATCGGTGTCAAATTCGTCAGTTCCCCACTGTGACTAATGACAATGTCATTTTCAGGCGTGGACGTCCGGAGCGGCGCGTCTACGTTTCAAACATTCCATTCGACTTCCGCTGGCAGGAACTGAAGGACCTTTTCCGGCATGAAGGTAAGGATTTTGGTTATTGTTTCAGCCCGACACTGATCCGACATATCTTAGTCTGACGTATTACGGTCGCCAGCCTGTTCTGTGCAGTCTGAATGATTTATCGCAGACCCATGCCCGATTTAACTTTGCCCCTGGTGTCGCCAGTGGGCGAGGTCTCTTATGTCGAGGTGTTTACCGACGATACCGGCAAGTCGCGCGGCTGTGGCATCATCGAGTTCGACTCCAACGAGCTGGTCGACATTGCCTTGGAGAAGATGCACCGCTACGATCTCAACGGTCGCAAGATTGTCGTCAAGGAGGTGAGGTTATTACCAAACAGAGAATAAAGCAATTTTTTTCGATTTTCGATGTTTCTCGTTAGTAGTTCAATGTTTTTGGTGTGCACAGGATGTCTCTAGTTGTTTAAAATGCAATAGCACTTATCTTGCATGTTGATGGTGTACGATCACAACGGTATTCGAAATATATGAAGGCATCAACAGCTGTCGTGTTCCCTTTGTTAATTTAGTGATCACCACTGGCCTGCTACCCAGTGGGAGGTGAAGCCCAATGACACCCAATGCCTGCTGCGGTGTCGCCCGTCTGTGACAGCTGGACGCGGTGCGTCGACAGGACTTTGGCGTGGAGCGCGACCGGTACGGGCGCATCCTGCGCGACGGCGTGCCGCACGGCGACATCGGCGTGGGCGGCCGCGGCGGCCACCCGCGCGCCGGAGACATGGGCAGGGACGGCCGGCGCGGCTTCCTCGGCGACGGGCCGCCGTCCGGCCCGGCCGTGCCGCCAGAGGCCAAGTACACCAACACATACGGCCTCAACGTCAGCTTCCTGGAGAGCCTCGGCATCGACGGCCCGCTCGTCAACCGGGTGTTCGTGGCTAACGTGAGTCCGGGCTGGGGCCGGCACCCGGGAGCGTATTCGCCAATTGTATTACACGAATCGGCCCATCAACTAGCGACATCTCTAGTGCGACGTCATAGCCATCCGCCGCGACAATGCATGCATTGAGGCTAGATTTGAGTTGAGACTAGTTTTGCATTGTATATGGCTATCAGGCATGTATGTGTCGCCGTAGCCGAGTGGTTAGAGTCTCGGTGTGATGGACGACAGGTCGGTGGATCGATTCTTGCTTCAGCGGTTCTTTTCTCTTAAAAAGAAGTCGGTCGTAGACGCGCATTTTTGGCCCCTACGTTCGCACGCCAATATCGTACGCCCAATAAATCTCTGACAAGTGTTCATCTGATTAAGGAATAAGTTGCAAAAGAACTGCAGTTGCAGTCTATACCTGAACTACCAATTTTGTTACGGCACTGTCGATATTCGTCAAAGTCGGAAGAGCTATTATGAAACACACTCGAATGACAACGGATTCCTGTATTATTTCATCGATCAGATAAGACATGTATAGAGATAAATTGATGACAGCCCGCCGTGAGCATGCAACTTAACAACCAGTCCCAAGTTATCTTCACAAACGTCTAATATAAATCTTTTGACTTTAACTAGATTCCAAGTAAGAGGACTTAGGTATCCCCCTGGCGGCTGAAATGTAAAAGTTATAGTTAGGGCATAGCTCCTATAGATGACGCTCTGACGGCTGGAAACTGATTATCTCGTCCCGTGATTACGCTAACAGCTATGCCGAACTTTTTTGTGCATGGTGATTCTTACACGAAAAGCTATCTAATAGCCTGCTTACCAGCGTGCGATTTTTACTTTTCATCTTAGGTTTCGCTACTTTTAGGTACTTTACCTTGCCAAGTGTGAAGTGCCCACCTACTTTCAAAAGGTCAGCGCCGCCCCTGTCAATGCTGCGTGCTATCACCCATTGGCAGTGAGAAATATTGATCAATGAATGGCCATCGCCCAGCACCATTTGTCTTTCCATTGGCTACGTTCGCATAGTATGCACTATGCATTAGTGATGTCAATCACAGAAAATCAGAACACCGCTACCAAACCAAATACAAACAAAGACCATTGGAAAATACCGAAACCGAACCAATCGGTTGGACTGCAAATATCTACCTTATGCAACATATTCATTAGAAGAATGCCTACGTCTGATTTCTTAGGTGCACGCCGTTACAAATGTATAAAAAACGCACAATGACAGATGACACGAAAATCGAAGTCGCCGAGTGGATTCGAACCACCTACCTCTGAATCACCAGTCCGATACTCTAACCACTTCGCCACGGCGATAACGTACCCCATGTAGCTTAAATGTCAATAAGTTAAAACCTAGCTTCAATAGACGCCACCAGGGCGAGGACCGAAAGTATGACGCCACGCTGACGTCACTCAGGAGGCAAGCCATTGGTTGGCCGATTCGTGTAATACAATTGGCGAATACGCCACCCGGGAGCGCCATTTGCACTGCCTGCTGTGCAGGGCGTCTGTCTTATACTGTAACTCTTAAATGTTCACTTTCTAATAATATCCGCCGATGGCTATTCTTAGTTGTTGTTGTTTTTTTTTTTTTGTATGCATGGTAGTTCTGAAACTTACACAACTACGTTTTTTCTCACGCTTGATCATCTCGTCTCCTTTTAGTAGGTAATCTGACGCGCAATATATCTACTTCACAGTTGATCTACAGCGTGGACGAGAAGCAGCTAAAGGAGGTGTTCGGCCTGGCCGGCAAGGTGGTCTCCGTGTCCATCAACAAGGACCGCGAGGGCAACAGCAAGGGCCACGGCGTGGTTGAGTTCGAACACCCCGTGGAGGCGGTGCAGGCCATCTCTATGCTCAACAACCAGATGTATATGGACCGCGTCATCAGGTCAGTCGGTGGCCGCCCGGCCGAGTCGCTACCACATTTGGGGAAGGTCACGGCGCGGTCAGCAGGCACGGGTCATTGTTTTACGGGCTGTTTTGTGCGTCTGATTTACTCTGGTAGCTGGTTTCTTCTCTTCTGGAGTTTGACAAAACTTTCGAAATGCCGTGATGTCTTTGAGGCCGTGGCGCCTGGCCCAGCTCAATGGGGGCGGGCCGGGCCGACGGTCGTGCTGTTGCTCGTCCGTTGTATCAGTCTGGTGAGCGGCGTGCTGCTCCTGGCTCGCAGCCTGTCAGCGGCACCCCTCCATTGTTGGCCGAGTGTCTGACCCTCCCCCGTCGTGCGGCAGCGTGCGGATGGACCGGGTGGCCGAGCGTAAGGACCGCGACACCGGCCCGGCGCTGCCGCCGGGACTGTCCGGACTCGGCCTCGGACTCGGCTCCAACGGAAAACCCCTCGCCGACGTGGCCAGCAAACTCGGTGAGAACCGGAATCTTGTATACCACGCCTGTCATGACTGCAAATGTTATGCCATGTGATGGTGCTTATGTAAATGTGTGAATTTAAGTTTGTTTGATTGTGAAACGTTATTCGTGGTCAGCGCGCCGTTAAGTAGAAGTCGGTGTGCTTAAAACCTCAGCGATCAAATTAACGAAAGCTTTATGTAATTTTCTGTTTGTTAATAAGCATGCCAGTTTTTGTCAGAATAGGCGATCTGGTGACTCGTATGAAAGATTGTTGTGAATTTCTGTACCTGCCTATTTGGTGGTGCCTTGTGCAACTGTGTTTGCTGGACTGCCAAAATACAGCTCCAACATGACCGATAACGGGCCGACCCTGTCGTCCCGTTTCCCACTGTCGGTGGCCGCTCGGTCTGCCCTTTCCCCAAGTGACACGGCTGCTCCTAGTCTCTTCGTCTGTTCCCGCAGAGGCGCAACAGCAGCAGATGGCCGTGCCGGCGCCGGCGCCGGCCGCCGCTCAGCTGGGTGGCCTGGGCGGCCTGACCAACCTCACCGCCGCCAACGGGGCGGCCGCGCTCGGCCTGATGGGCGCTGCGCCCGGAGCCGCTGCCGCAGGTGAGCAGACCGTCACACCGGAACAGGGGCACACGCAGGGGTCCGGGGAGCTGGGCCTTACAACAGGGGCTCAAAGACACTCCACGGACTTTGTAGCAAGCTGAAGTGTGTTGGATGCTATCATTTTTACGTTACAAATCAGCGTGGCTATAGACATCGTAGTCATGCTGACACTGCTGCGTGGCATCATTTGAGTCGGGTCGCTGACCGGCTTACGATGTGCGCCTGGTCTGTGACCTGCTGATGGTGTGCGCCGGGTCTGTGACCGACTGACGATGTGCGCCTGGGTCGGGGATCGTCCGACAGTGGTCGCAGGTCGTCTGACAGTGTGTCGGCGCCCGCAGGGTTCCCGGTCGGTGTGCCGATGGTGAGCGCCGCCGGCGGTGTCGGACTCGGCGCACTGGGCGGCCTCACCTCTCTGGGGGCCACCGGCGGCCTGGGCCAGCTGGGCGCCGCCTCTCAGCTCGGCCAGCTGCCGCAGCCGGGCCTGTCGCAGCTCGGCGGCGGACTGCCGGCCGCCGCCACCGCCCCCGCCGGCGGATTCGGCGGCGGCGACGACCTGCGCGGCATGGGCGGTCGCGGCGGCGGCCTGGACCGGGGCGGCGACCCGGGCCGCTCGGGCCGGCCCAGCTACGGCGGCGGTGGCGGCTTCGGCTCGTCCGACTACAACAGCGGCTCGTCGCGCAACTTCTCCGACTCCATCATCGTCAGTAACGTGAGTACCGGCCGGTGAGCGGCGGACGGCGAGCGGCGCGGCGCCGCGCACACCCAGCTGCAGCGCGGCCGGCGGCTGGCCCGGGAGCAGTCCGCCGCCTCTCTGCTCTGCTGTGTGATGGGCAGCGTCGCCAGCTCCGGGCCCCTCACTCAGTATCTTTGAACTCGTTGGACGACTACCTCCGTGCCGCGCTCAAAGTTCAGCGCATCTGGTGCTCTCGTTTTTCGATTAGTGCTTTCGTTCATTATCATGTTTGTCGTCCCATAGTTTCTAGGTTCTCCCATTGCCATGGCTTCCATCCCATTATCAGGTACTTCGGAAGGCGTTCTTTACTGGGCTGGTCTTCCTTCTTTTGTGGATATGTCTTGTGTGAAAAATTCGCAACTATTCAACTGTTGGCGGGCTGATCTTAGCTATATCTTTGTCTTCCAGCTTTGATTGCCGGGCTGTCCAGGCTGGCGATGGACGAGCTTGATGACATTCCAACTCCACAGGCACATAACATTTACAACGCTCGGTTGGCCAGCTTTGTCAGCTTAATCAGCTCGACATCCTGCCTTTGTGTTTTGTTCTATATCTAGTGTTCTTCGACCCCATGTGTCAAAAAAAGTATCCTTCCGATCATTTACTTAGTGTATAACTAAAAAAAAAAAAAGAATGCGACCTATGCATCTGCTGTAATCACCCATAATGAGTGGTAATTATTATTTGTACAATGTTTCTTCCGTTGGTATCTGCGAAAATAATGGATGGGTGATGTCTAGTTGATCCATGATATCCTTGATCGTGATGAGGTATCAGGATTTTCATAACGTGGCAATTTTCCTATGCTCCCCTGCCCGCTCACAGGCTACTTCCCAAGAATAAGCGGCTACTCATCTCCACTAATTGTGAGGTCAAAAAGAATTATACGAACGCTCGATGCCATTCAACGCAGGCTGCTACGATGTGTCCTTGGATTACTGGTTTTCTGCAATTTGCGATTCGACGATGGTCTGCATCGTGTTTTTTTTTTCCTTAAATCGCCTTGTTTTGGCTCGACTCCTAAGCCACCAGTTATAACTTTAATAGTGTGCATTCCATGCTAAGGCGTAATTATTGGCTCTTGTTTTCGGTCTCTTTCATGGTTCACATGTAATGTCAAGAACGTGTTTGTGTTGCGGTGAGAACTTTATAATTTATCATTTTGCAGAGGTTGACACCATTAACACAGTTGGAAAATTCCTTTCGTCATTTCCCGCCCTCCGCTCGATAAACTGTGACGTCCAGGCGGCATGCGCTCTGAAAAACTCCGGTCGGCTGGTACGCTAACTCGATGTCAATCGCTTCCTCATTCGTCCTCATTCATGACCGTGTCTTTAAGGGGCCTTCAGTCAGGCCAGGCTTAGGAAGTGTCCAGTCTCCTCAGTCGCACAGTTGCACTGTCTCGGAGTCGCACAGTCTCGGGACTGGTGTCAATCTAGGAATCTCAGAGGTCCATATGCGCTAGAGTTGCAAAGTTTCCCTACCGCATTACCGGCATGCCGGTAATTCTTCACTACCGCAGGTTTTTTTGTGGTATCTGGCATGTCTTGCCGGTAGCATGCCGGTATTTTTGGTTTTGCACAAAAAAAATATTAGTATATGATTCAAACTTTGGACACTAAGAGGAAAATGTGGCATCTCTTGTAGGGGTAAACTGGAATTAACAATGCAGGTTTTTTAGTATGCCGGTAATTTGGTGGTGTTTTTGCTTTGGGCGTGGTAGCATGCCGGTATCCCCAAAAAAATTTGTGGGGCGGGGCGGTGCCGGTAGCAGCCTTTGGGGGAAACTTTGCAACTCTAATATGCGCCCATTCGGATCGTCGGCGTCTCGAACGGGAGCAGTCCAGCATGTTAGAATGCCAAAAGTAAAAATTACTTCACCCGAGCCATCTTAAATCAGCAACAGCTCTAAACAATACATCATTCAGTTCCATTTGTAAGCTAATGCCAGCATTTTATTTTCACTTTTTTTTGTCATTTGCACATCGTTGCTGAGTCAGAACAATACAAACTTGAGATGATTAAAACATCGATATGTAGTATAAATCGTTCTCTTCCTAAGAGCATTCTTCAAAGTTCCTTCTGATGCAGTCGTCACTCTGAGCATACTGCACACTACTGGCTCATATGAGAACATTTTGCATTTTCCCCCTTATGCTTTTTGTTTTCTTACTTTTTTAGCCTTGATTGCCATAATTTTGAGCATTCAATGAAATTGACCATTTTTTGATGATGCATCGTTAAACCCAATCATGCGAAGTGAACGAAGCGATATCAAAATTTAATGCCTGAGTAACATGTCACCTTTCCAGTGAAAATACACTAAACGATTTACCGGATAGGTTAGAGTGACACTAAAAAAAAAAAAAAAAAAAAAAAACAGAAAGTTGGAATATGACTTTGCTAATTTGTGTGTTACGAATTACGATATCCTCAACCTCAACGAATATGCACCCAAACTGTCTCTGGATGAAATTGTTGGGGTAGCCCTCGCCCTCGACCTTGACTGTGGACATCGCTGTGCGCTAGAATCCGGAAAATTAAGGAAGATAATAATGTGTGGATACAATATGATGAGGCCTCACTTGGCATCTGCAATCCGTCAAAGTCTGGGCCTTCGCCTGCAGTATCGCTCCATCCAATCCCTCACAGCTCCGATCGTGGCCCTCACACGACTGTCAAGCCTGCCACAGACTTGGGCGGCCTGCTTGTTTGTTGAACTCTCTAAAGGACGCCCCCGGAAATGAAGTCTCAGGGACTCGAGCCTGTATTACTGGGAGGCCAGCGCCCCGTCGACCAGGGGATGTCCAGGTTATCGCAGCACCGCGTCTGGACTCGGCTGGACGTTTGATCACGAGCTCGATCCTGTAGATAGAGCTACGGCTTCCCTCCAGCTTCCCGAACCATCCACAGCTTCGCAAATCTTCGTGCCAAGGGTCCATCTCTCGTCAAGATCTTCGTCATAGTAGCTCGGAGGCATGACGTCCCTTTCATTGAAGATCATCTGCCTCAGCTAGTCCTTGTTTCCATTCCCCACCTTGATTCGATGCTGCCTTTTTTTTCTCGTGAGTCGAGAGTTCATCCCCATTCTCTGTCGACTTTCAGTAACTTTGCATGGTCGCACGCGGTTTAATTCGGGTTTTGAAATAAGTCCAATAATCTCCTGAAGCGTACGTTTTCAATGAAGGGCAGCAATAGTTGCATTGTGGAGACCGAACACTGACGGTTTTAGCGTTTATTTTATTGTCACTTGAAGATAGTATAGGTTAGAAGCCATCCAGGAAATCAGACTGCTATATAAGAAACGATTTTCGTTTCATACCAGGTACAAGTTGTTCCGGATTCTAGCGCACGCCCCTGTACTCCACATGCCATGCTCAGGTCGGGCTACATCGTCTATTTCTGCATATCCCAGCAGGATAGAGGAGCTTGGTCCTTGCTCTGCCCGAATTCCAGGTTATCTGCCGTCGAGTGATGTTCGCTCTGCCTGTAGTGACGTTTCCGGCTGTGTTGTCGGCCTGTTCGGCAGTGGGTGTACGCCGGTGGCGGAGCGGCGGTCTGACGGGCCTCTGTGTGTTGTCTCCCTGCAGCTGGACCCGGGATTCACGTGGCAGATGCTGCGCGACCATTTCCGAGAGGCGGGCGAGGTACGCTACGCCGACATGAAGGGCAAGGGCGTCGGCGTGGTGCGCTTCTCCAGTCCGCATGAGGCGCAGCGGGCCATCAGCCTGATGGACGGCTCGCGCTGTGACGGCCGCACCATCGACGTCCGCTCCTACTGAGCCCCCGGCCCGCCGCGCATCAACTGCCGCCCACGGGCGGCCCATCACCTGCGGATTTTACTGAAGCTTTGCGATTCTCGCTGAAGAGGCGCTCTTCCTGAGCGGGGTGGGTTTCCTCTGACGCGCTGTATAGAGACCTCTCGCCGGCTGGCGGGCCGACCTGGCGACCCAGCGCTGCCAGCGGCGTGGCAGCGGGGAGGCGCCGGGACCGGTCGGCCGGAACGGGAACTTGCTCGCTCCTCGAGCTCAGCCGTCGGTGTTTTCGGCGCCCGCTCGGGACTCTCTGTCTGTCTGTGTCTGCTAGCGTCCGTCTGCGTTTCTGACTGGCGTCCAGCGGTCTGGCGTCTCCACCACATTGGCAGCCGGCGGCGTCTGAGCGGCGCGGCACCGGCCGACCGCCAGCGGCGTCTGCCACCGGGCTCCAGCGGCAGTCGGAGGCCGCCGGCTGTCGGCAGCGTTCATGTATCACCCGGTGTTCATTTAGCGCAGAGACGTACAAATACATAAAATGCCTCGGCACCTGCGTATGTCATCGGCGGGAGTTGTTTCTGCAGGGGAGACTTCGGAGTGCTCGGCGGCCAGTCGAAACCAGAGTCGATCTCCAGGACACCGCGCTTATGTTCAGACTGACAAACTCTTGGAGCGTCCACGGTAAGGCTGTCTTTCATCAGCGTGACCGAATAGCAAATGCGATAAGGAAGTTCTCGTTAAATAGGTGTCTCTAGCCGATGAGTGTTTGATATTCACGAAACATCTGTAGTGGTGAATGCTTAGGCATGGGAGGATTTTACTATTGTTTGTGCTAGATGCAGCCTGATTGTGCATTCGGAATGCCTTTCAAGTGGCTTCCATTATGTTTGTTTGTATAAGGTCAAACTGCTGCGAAATCACCAAGGTTCTAAGCAAAAAGTGCAATAGGTTTTGTGATTAATGTATTTATACACTTCTCACCTGGTCTTGGGCCGTCTGGTTCCATCTACGGTTTAAATTGGTGAAGTAACTTGCGGTTAAAAGATGCAAGAATGGCAATGTACAGAAGAGTACCGAACAGTTGATGGTTCAAAGCGGACATCTCTTCACTGCTGTGCTTCTGAACGCGGAATATGGTAAACGACCTGTCATATCTGTGAAACACGAATCCAAGATGACGCTGCGAAGACAAATCTTCAGGCATCCATATCCTTGATATCTTTGTTGTACGCTTTATCGCTCGTAGTCGCAAAATTTGTTCATATCTCTTTGCCCTTTCACTCATTCCTTTCATCTTTTCCACTATTTGATCGATATAAAGTAAAACGTTCTTCGTGCATTTTGTAGGTAAAATAATGTGTTTAATTGTTTACTTGCTTTCCATTGGGTGTTCCTTGCAAAGTGGTTAACTCTGGTAAGTTTTTGGTTCGTATAGGAAATACCTACGTCCTTCGCCGCAATATTTAATATATTGGACTGATGGCACCAACTAGTTAGCTAAAAACTTGAATAATCAGCTTGAAAAAATTAGTCTTTTTGAAGGTTCTCAATGTTCTGTGCCAGCTATCTTGTTAGTGAAGTTCCGCACAGTCGTTTATTTCCCCGTGGCTGCATGCTCTAACAGTGGATTGCTTTGCTACACGTAAGCAGTAACAGCTTGGCAAATGCGACAGGAGCGCGAACATTGTGATTGGGATGGAAAGACGGTATGCCTGAGCTGGTGATATGGATGTTTGAAATGGGAGCCGCCGTCTTATTTTGGTCCCAGTCCACTCAACGCCATGCGTTGTGCTATTTGCGTTGATATAAAACTGCTGAGACCAGCAGCCTCTCAGCTGCGCATATTTCGATTAGGCTTTTTAGTTCGGATGTCGCGCTGAACGGCAGACAGGCCGCGATCAGCAGTATGAGTCACGCCGTCGCTGGACCGAAGACAGCATGCTGCCTGGAGTCGTCTGTTGGATTCCGCCATCGAGTCCGACCTCCGCGCCGCGGCGAGGCCTCCTCTGTTCGCCCGGTTACTGGGAGTTCAGGCATCGTTCGTCCCTTCGCGGCGCCGGCAGCCCTCTCTGCAAAGGCTATACCACTGGTAAGACGACTGTGGGCCGCCTCGAGCGGACTTTGTTGTGTTTTCTGTGTTCGTTTCACTACGATAGTTGGCCGATTGCTTTATCCCGTTTGTACATTTTGCTGGTAGCTCTTCGGTGTGGGTGTTTGCTCATATTATATATACTTCGTGCCTAATGTCCGGTTCAGGTTGGGTCTAATTCACGCTCTTTAAGCTCCATAGTTTTGCTGCGAAATTAGTTAACTTCGAGTATAATCTGCGCATTTCCGATATCCATACTACGTCGCCGGGAGAGATCGCGACAGCGGACTGAGATGACTGGAAATTTATATCCCTACGCTTCCCTTTGCCCTTGCTGTTCGTGTTGTTTATATTTGTTTTATCACACCTTTCGTAGCGTCCGTCCTCCTTCAGTCCAGAAAACGGCTCCGTTCCTTCATCTGCGTATTCTGAGCAACAAAGTAAAAATACAAGAAAATACACTTGTTACGGAGCGAGCGAAGCGAGCGTAGTCTTTCCTTAGATTAACGGAAATTTCTGAGTATGAGCGGCCGGCCGTGGTCACGCTTTTGCGAGGCTTATATCTCAGCAACCACTTGACCGATTTACACGCGGTAATTTTTGTAGGGTAGCTTCATTCCTTCTACCAAGTATTGGACTATTCCCGATGCATGTGGGTGACCCCTTATGCACGTGCCACGTGCAAAACGAAGAGGTGTCAGTTTTGTAATTGTTGCAATATCTCGGTAACTACTTGGCCGATTGCGCTGAAAGTTGGCATGTAGGTAGGCACCCACTAGGCACTGCATATACATGTGCCAGAGTTGGGGTGCTGCTGCACGTGCGCACGTGCAGGGGTCGTTTCCAGATCTCGGGAACGGCTGGACCGATTGCGCTCAAATTTGGTACACGGTTAGGGACCGGTTAGTAGGGTGCCGTGCACAAGTCAGTTGGGACCCATTTTGCACGTGCGCACGTGCAGGGTGCCGCTTCCAGATCTCGAGAACGGCTGGGCCGATTGTGCCCAAATTTGGCACATCGCTAGAGACCAGTTAGTAGGGTGCCGTGCACAAGTCAGTTGGAGGTACCCCCTCGCAATTTCGCACGTGCAAGGCCCACCCTCTCGCTCGCTCCGTTAGTCGCCCCAAAAGGCGTTATACTGGTTCTCTATCGTACTGCTCGCTGGTTTTCCTCTGTGATTGTTGATGTACTGATCGGTGTGTCTTTCTTCCCTTTCAACACATACGCATTCGCCTTCCTTTTGACCGCTCTATGACTTGTGCTGTCAGCTACTCGTACTTAGAAGCTGTGAACTATGCACATATTTGGTTCTGATGTGTGGCACGTCTCACCAAGGTGCTCTCCTAACGGCGAGACTGACGGGGTGCACTGATCGCCGGGGAGGGCGCCCGCTGACGGGGCTGATCGGGTGCAGTGTATCGCCGGGAGTTCGCTCTGCGCCCGCTGACGGGGCTGATCGGGTGCAGTTGTGTCGCCAGGGGAGGGCGCCCGCTGACGGGGCTGATCGGGTGCAGTGTATCGCCGGGAGTTCGCTCTGCGCCCGCTGACGGGGCTGATGGGTTGCAGTGTATCGCCGGGAGGGAGCGCTCTGCGCCCGCTGACTGGGCTGATCGGGTGCAGTTGTGTCGCCAGGGGAGGGCGCCCGCTGACGGGGCTGATCGGGTGCAGTGCATCTCCGGAAAGGGAGCCTGCTGACGGGGCTGATCGGGTGCAGTGTGTCACCGGGAAGGGAGCCTGCTGACGGGGCTGATCGGGTGCAGCGTGTCGCCAGGGGAGGGCGCCCGCTGACGGGGCTGATCGGGTGCAGTGTGTCACCGGGAGGGAGCGCTCTGCGCCCGCTGACGGGGCTGATCGGGTGCAGTGTGTCGCCAGGGGAGGGCGCCCGCTGACGGGGCTGATCGGGTGCAGTGTATCGCCGGGAGGGAGCGCTCTGCGCCCGCTGACGGGGCTGATCGGGTGCAGTTGTGTCGCCAGGGGAGGGCGCCCGCTGACGGGGCTGATCGGGTGCAGTGCATCTCCGGGGAGGGAGCCTGCTGACGGGGCTGATCGGGTGCAGTGTGTCACCGGGAAGGGAGCCCGCTGACGGGGCTGATCGGGTGCAGTGTGTCGCCAGGGGAGGGCGCCCGCTGACGGGGCTGATCGGGTGCAGTGTATCGCCGGGAGGGAGCGCTCTGCGCCCGCTGACGGGGCTGATCGGGTGCAGTTGTGTCGCCAGGGGAGGGCGCCCGCTGACGGGGCTGATCGGGTGCAGTGCATCTCCGGGGAGGGCGCCCGCTGACGGGGCTGATCGGGTGCAGTGTACCGCCGGGACGGGAGGGAGCGCTCTGCGCCCGCTGCCGGCGCGGCTGTGACGGCTCCGTCCCGCACTGCGCCCTCAGTCAGTGGTCGGGTGTCCGGGGGCGCCGGGTGCCCGCCGCAGGACGGCGCTCGGGGCGCCGGCCACCAGTCTGGCGTGGTCGCATCCTCGCGCCGCGGTCGGCCCCGGCGGCTGTCCCGACCCGCCCGTGGTCACCTCCGCCGTCCGTCAGCGCAGTTGGCCGCCGCTCTCCCCATCTACCGACTCTCCCGCCAGCGCTGGTAAGTGAGTCCCACCGACCCGCCCTCCAGTGAGCCGACCGGTGACTACCTACGGTGAGTGACTCAGATCGACTCGCCGTTCAGTGAACTCGGCTGTACGGTCCACGTCGTTCACATTCAGAGGGACTAACGGACCATCATATCATGACTCCTTTGTTTATGATAGGTGTGTAACATGTGATGACGTATGATTGATATTTTCCACTTATTTCATTCTCATTCATTTCCGATCTCCTTAAATTATAGGAGAATCGGTCGACGGTTGCATTCTACACGCATTTTCTTCGTTCCGGTAGGTTTCAAAGGCTGTTGTCCCTGGTTTTGCCGGGCGGCTATATTGACCCACAATTGACTCGCTCCATATTTTCAGCAGTGGTGTCTCTGAAAGTGTTCGGCAACATCCGCCTCCAGCTATTTTTTTTTGCGATATGGGAGGCGATGTATTGACTGTCCGCGCCACTGAGAGCTTGAGTAGCGCTGAGTGGGCTCACAGGCCTCCTGAGCACATCTTCAGGTCACTAATCAGCTGCCACCACCGACAAGCTTCGTCCATGTAGCGGTGCACCGACAATGCCCAGCGTCCACACTCCTAGCCTGTATACAGGTGGTGCTCCAGTCGCCGGCTTTCCCCGTTTCGACTCGGTTCTCTGGAGTCCTGTTATGTTAGAAAGGAGCTGCTCGGATGGGTTGTGCATTTGACGTACGCATTTCAGCCGCGGCGGTTTTTCCTTTGGGAACATTTGGAAACAGACACCTTCGCAATTGCTCAGCGGCGGCTGAAAAATAAATAAATAAATAACATTACTCCGCTATGTGACGGAGCTGAAAATGTCGAACCGTCTCCGGACACGAGTCGGCTCTGGTCACGTCAGGTTTCCACGGGTTACTGGATCATCTCTAGGTGCACGCTCCTCTCCGCCAAGAACCAGTCGCATCAGCAACAAAATGACGCCGTGTCTTCTCGTCCTGACAGAGGTAAATACGCCGACCCCAGCGGTGGTCGGCTTCTGCTTTTCTGCTTGCGATGTGAAGTCTGCCGATAATCAACGTTCAAAATGTCCGGTCGCTAGGGAATAGCTCGCTGAATAATCCGGGCGCTGGGTAGCTGATATTTGACTCTCGATGCTTTCGACCGACTTAAGATGCGGGCTAATGGTTGAATGCATTTAATAATTAATCACAAACATGCGCATTTATCGCTAATGTTAAATCATCACCCATCAGTATTGCCATTTCATCTTCGGGGAGCTAGACGCCCACATCGGTTAATTCCTTTTCCTGAAAATGTATCACGTTTTCAGAGTGCGAGCACTGCCGATCAATCGGCGTGGTGTCAGCCGTGCCTTCAGCCGTGCCCCTCGTACCCTGTACTGTACCTCTGCGTGGCCTGTCGTGGACGCCCCGTGTGACCGGCTGCCCGGCTTTACAGGGCGTCCAGCGGCCGTAGCGGGCCGCGTCTGGAGCCGGCGGCCGTCGTCGGGGCCGGAGGATCTGGCCGCGGCCGGGCGGAGGGCGGCACGCGCCCGCACCCACTCTGTGATACGGCTGTGAGACCAGCTGCCGGGACGGGCAGCGATACTCAGTGATCGGTAGCAACAAACTGTGCTTTACAACGGAACTGTGCGGGTTGGTGGATCCATGATTTGTGATGTGTTTTGTGAATGCTTGTTCATTTCCGTTCTTAACCTAGATACGCATTGATACTGCGGAAGTTTCGGGGCGTTGTAGCTCGGAAGTCACGTTTTTCCATCATCATCATCATCAAACCCTGAGAACAAAAAGCCATACAAATACTAATATGTATTCTTTGGATATAAAATTCGCAAGTTCACAACAACTCTTGTTTATAAATCGCCCATGACCAGAGCAGCCTCGATAGTACAAAATGCCCCACCTACGGGCGTATCCACCCACTCGACACCTGCCTGATCGGCCCAGGCCTACAGACACCTACAGAGGAACAAAACACTGTCAGTGGAACGGACCGAACACAGTCGAGAGAAGGCGCACGTCACCACTCGATAAAATTTTCCAACTTCTAATCATAAAAGTTATTCAGAGAAAACAACATCTGGCAGTTGGACTACCTGTTAAGTACCATTTCCTAGCACCCAGTTTTCCACAGGGATCTCGTATTGCAGTGTCTGATGGGCCCGCGCAGCATGCTTCGGAAATGAGCGCGTGTCTGAAATGTGTGTGTGTGTGTGGGGGGGAGGGATTCGAGTCCAACCAAGTCATCAATCGTCTTGCGATTCCATCCCCGACCTCCTGTAAGTATCGGCATGATCTACGCCTATCAGGAGGCCCCACAAATTATCCGTTATAACAACACGCACTATGGAGGGATGTCGCATCGGCACACGAATGTGCCTGAAATAACGTCCGAACTGTCCTACCCCTCACTCTCCCGGCGCCAGCAGCCAGTGCAGTCAACAGTCGGCACTAACCATCCCGAATGCCACACTCTACACGCCCCACCCGGTATAAAATCACACAACCGCCACCACGCCCCACGGCACACACGGGAATACTTCTGGGCAACGTGACGCGAACATTGCACACGAACGAGTCTTGAGAACAGCCCGGCCGCACCGAGCGGAAACACAGCGCGCTGCCAGCTCAGACCTCGGCCGGCAGCTGGGAGGGAGGCAATCTCACACAGAGTATTGCGGTCCTGGCTGGGGCGCGGCCGGCCGCTGGGACGGAGCAGGTGTTGTCCCGGACGGGCGGGCGGGACCGCGGCGTAGACCGGCCGCCTCAGTCGCCCAGGTCCGAGTCCCGGTCACCGACGATATAGAGGAACTGGAAGGCCAGCGCCAGCAGCCCGGTGCCGATCAGGTCTCCCAGCTGGGGACAGACGCGGGGGAGGGGTCAGCGCTCGGTGCCACAAGCTCCCGGGCAGGGAACTGGCGGATAATAACTGCAAAACTGACGGGACACTAATTGCGGGACTGGCGGAGAAGGGCCGCGGGACTGAGGAGACGCGACCAATAATACAGACGCTGTGTTACCCCGCCTTAGAAGGGCTGCTGACTTAGGATAGCCCACCGACCGTCATCCGCACGACAGCCTGTCTGTCCAGGTAGCACGTACCGCCGTCAGGTAGGGGATGGCCGAGTTGTCCGGGTCCACGCCCTGCTTCCACATCCAGTTGACCATGCAGTGCGCGGCGTACAGCAGCACCAGAACCTGAGGAGACACGGCGCGCCGCCCCGCGTCAGGTGCAGCCAGGCGCCGGAGCGACTGGGTATCGCGGGCGCTGAGCGGCTGCACGCCGTGAAAGACGGCTCCGTAACGGACAGAGCTGAAACGCTATACGAATGTTTAAAGAAAAAAATGTACTCGAAATACACGCGGATGCATATGTAATAACACCAACAAGGGAACGATCGTGAGCGATGGGAATAGCTGAGGGAGCCAACTGGCTGGTTAAAAAAAAAACGAAAGATCGATATGGAATAAAATGTTTATCTACTTCAAATGGCGCACGATACGAAAACTATGCGGTGATGGTCAACACTCATCGTTCCAATCAGGCCCGAAATGTCTTAATTCGTGACCGAGCGGTATAGCAGAGTGGAGCCGCCGGCACTCGGGCTTTCTGCAGCCGCGCCGTGCAGTAGCGTACACCGGTGACCCACCGCGTTTGTAGGTACGGCTGCCCGGCGGCAGGCGCGCGTCTCACCTGCAGTAGCGCGGCGCAGTTGTACACCACGAGGAAGGTGGGCGTTAGCGACGTGTGGCCCGCCCGCAGATAGCTGATACTATAGCAGAACACCAGGTGACCGGGCACCACCATACCGAGCAGAACCCGCGCCGTCCGCGAGTGGCCGCCTGGCGACAGAACGGGCGGTCACAATACTAAAGGTCGCCACCAGATGTCACACCGAGCAGCACCCGCGCCGTCCGCGAGTGGCCGCCTGCCGACATAGGGAGCGGCTACAGTACTAAAGGACGACACCAGATGTCACACCGAGCAGCACCCGCGCCGTCCGCGAGTGGCCGCCTGGCGACACAACGGGCAGTTACAGTAACTAAAGGTCACCAGCAGATGTCAAACCGAGCAGCACCCGCGCCGTCCGCGAGTAGCCGCCTGCCGACATAGGGAGCGGTTATAACACTTTATTTTTTTTCGTTTTGTTGGGTTAGGCTCTTTCTGTCTAACGATATTATTTCAGAGGCGGAAGGATGATAGGAATTATAGGGGGAGACATAATGGTTTGGCCTTTACTCACTATACCCTGGGTTTTGGCCGCCACCTTGGTGCGCCGCGGGGGCCGAGACACGCGGACAGGTCACTCAGCCCTGCTAAAGGTCACCGCCCCCGGCAACGGGCCTGCTTTTTGGGGAGCTCCCCGCATGGGATAAAGGTGACCGTCCAGCCCCGGATCAGGTAGTTGAGGTGTGGAGAGGGATTTGAGTATCCTGAGGATGGAGATGGCGGAACGGACTGGAGGGTTATAGCGCCTAGCGGCACAGCTTATGTAGGTAACGAGTAGGATTAATAGGCCGTGAGAGGTTTCCTCCTGATACGTCTGAGGTGGCGCGGGCGCCTATTGTAGTGTTACCAACCGGTGACGTCAGGTAGCATTCACGCCGTCCGCGCTGGGCAACAGAACAACCGCAGTAGCGTCTGTCTGTCACCGCCAGGCGGCATACTAAGCGACACCCACACGGTCCCTACAGGACACGAACAATCGAATTGTTACTAAGCCGGTTCGCACTTGAGGCAGGACGTTTAAGCCCACACATGTGGCCCACACATAGTGTTTGTGACGGAAAGCACGCGTTGATGTCGCGACACAAGTGGTACACTGTGCCAACACAGGTCGCGCCAGCTGTCACCGAGTCGTTGACTTTGCCCCCCTCATCACCCTTCGTCGAGCCGACAGGGAACGGAGAGCATGTGAGCAGGAAAGAGAATCCCCCTCTCCCCTCCCATTGCACAGTGGGGATTTTTCCGATCTAGCACGTATTTATTCGTAGAGGGCAAACCATAGGTAGAATTGTAGCCAGATTGTGCACAGATGTTGGCTGGTGTGTCCTGGTGAGAATTTTACCTGTAAATGTGCATAATCAACATAGTATAGGGGGTTCAATTGGACCCCCCGCTCAGCCTTTTGGCCCCTGATCAAGCTAGAGCTTCGCGGAAAAGTCAAGCGTGCTGCCTATGACGAAATTAGGCCGAATATATCCAATTTCAAAGTCCAAGGTCATAAGCTGACTTTCCAAGTCAGTTTAATGACCCAACTAAAGTTGGGAAATCGGACCTCTTGAAACTTCGCAAAGTTAGGGTGTTACGGGGTATTTTGGGGTGCTGATCACGAATTTCATGTTAGTTTTGATCACAGACGATGTCTTTATGCATTTAGGCCAGGTCGGGTCAGGTCAGGTTAGATCAATTAGTAGGCGTCCTGCCGGCCATCCATAGAAGTGTCACCTACTACTGATAGCTTCGTAACATGGAACGAAGGCACTAGAACTACTTCGTAAATATTCAAATGGCTGCTAAAATCGAAATCAGCACCAAAAACTACCCTAGAAACAAGTAAAACTCGAAAAAGTGAACCAAGGTCATCAAAAGGTCAATGACCTTGACTTGACCTTCACGTGACCTTGACACCCACCATTATGCATGGCACCAACATCATTTCACATATTTGAACGTTTAAAACCACAAAAAGACTGGAAACCGCGGATAATGTGAGCTGGCATACGCCGAATCGCGATTCCGGCCAAACATGGTCTCGAGAAATATGCCACAGGTCAAAGGTCAGTTGGGTCAGAGTCATGAAATTTTTAGGTTAGATGTAAAATTGATGATCTCGAGGGTACCGAAAGTTTCGGCGCGATCGGCCGCTTTTTGCGCGAGTAATTTGCGGAAAACCATGGGGTTTTATCCGACCCCTTCCCCCTCCCCCTCCCCACAAGTGCGATGGTTAATAAGGTTACGGTATGTATAATTTACGCTTGTCATCCTATTCCTAATGAATGTGTCTCAGAAAATATGCATCATATAAATCACGAAGTAAAATTATTCGCCTATGTCCGGAACATACCTATATCGTGCTGTTTGCCGTAGCGTTCCTCGAGTGGGGTGTTAAGATACTCTAATGTGAATATTCCGTGTTCAGGCAAGTTTCGGCAGCCAAACTAGGCGTTGTCTTGTGCAGAAGAAAGTGGCGAATTCGATAGGATATATTTCGGAGTGGAAAAGTGTGGAGAACATTGCTGATTTCCTACATTTATTTAGAATACCATTAGTTCAATATGGTGTCTGTAAGGGTTTTTTGTAAAGGGCATTTTTGTGACCTTAGTAAGGTTGTGGCATACTTTCTGTTTGCCATTCCATTCCTAATAAAGGTGCCTTTCAGACGATATGCAACTTTAAGACCTCGCAAGATTAAAACCAACAGGACAGGACAATGAAATTGAGCTATACTTTCGGGCCTTGCTGAGCCCATTGAGTAATCACGCATGAGTGTGAACTTTGGGCGCATTTTTCCTAGTTTTGCTGTGGACATACAGATAAAACAATGCCATATATGAAAAATTCAGACATTTCTTAGCCCTACTGACACAAAAAATAAACAAAAATCCAAAAAAATATTTTTTGAATTAATAGGCGCTAGATCGGAAAATCCCCACTGTGCATTGGTGCGGCAAACGGCCGCCAACGGCGTCTACCTCCCCCCCCCCCCCCCCGCTGCAGCTTACCGGTGCGGCAGAAGGCGGCCCACGGCGTCAGGCACACCTCTCCCCCCCCCCCAACTCACCGGTACGACAGAAGGCGGCCCACGGCGTCAGGCACACCTCGTGGCCGTCGGCCCGATGGTGGCCGGCGTGCGGCGGCTGGCCCGGCCGGCCCGAGCGGTGCAGGTCGGTCGAGATGCGGCTCGCCTGCACGGCCACCAGGTTCCCGCCCACGCCGTTGATAACCGGCTGGAACACGGCCACGCCCTCGTACGCCGACACGGCAAAATCGAGGATCAGGCCTCCGGCGCTGCGGGGAGGGGAGGGTCCGTAAGACACAGACATCTCACTGGGGAGTGAGGAGGCCCGGCTTTCAAACAACAGCCACAGGCGCTACAATATGTTCGGCAATGTATGTACGTACGAGCTTGGTCCGATGAGAGCAATTAATTTGGAAAGAAAAAAAAATTCTGTATGGCTTGAGCTGAGCTACAAAGCACAACATTGTTTAACTATCGCGCTGTCCTCTGTCAAAAGCAAACCATGTCGGGCCTTGGGTTCATCTGATCAACTCCCCAACAGCCATGCACATGCCGACAGCAGTGCAGTGTTCCGGCGAATCAATGGCCGGCCAATCACAGGTCGTTGTGTGTTGTCCGGCCGTCGGGCCGTCGCTCGCAGCTCGCCGTGATAATGATCGGCACGTGAGATCGATCAGACGGGGCACAGCCGGCCGGCAGACGGCGGGTCGCGGCGCGACGACACCGCCTGACCCCCAGTGCAGCTGCGGACTGCACACGGAGAGAGGCCGAGACAGAGATAGGTACGGAGAGAGGCCGAGCTCTCCCCGGGGTCGGTACGGAGAGAGGCCGAGCTCTGCCCCGGGGTCGGTACGGACTACGGAGAGAGGCCGAGCTCTCCCAGGGGTCAGTACGGAGAGAGGCCGAGCTCTGCCCCGGGGTTGGTACGGACAGAGGCCGAGCTCTCCCCAGGGTCGGTACGGAGAGAGGCCGAGCTCTCCCCAGGGTCAGTACGGAGAGAGGCCGAGCTCTGCCCCGGGGTCAGTACGGAGAGAGGCCGAGCTCTGTCCCGGGGTTGGTACGGAGAGAGGCCGAGCTCTGCTCAGGGTCGGTACGGAGAGAGGCCGAGCTCTGCCCCGGGGTCAGTACGGAGAGAGGCCGAGCTCTGCTCAGGGTCGGTACGGAGAGAGGCCGAGCTCTGCCCCGGGGTCAGTACGGAGAGAGGCCGAGCTCTGCTCAGGGTCGGTACGGAGATGGCTCAGTGAGCTCTCTCATTAGGTGGTGGGTAGGTACAGACTTGATGAACCCTTCCTATGGACTGGAACGGAGACAGGATGAGCTCTCCACTGGGGGCTGATGAAGAGAAAATGAATGAATTTCTCTAGAAACCGGCAGGAAGACAGACTAAATGATTTCTTCCTAGCGGCGAGCCCTCCAATGGGGGCTTATATAGAGCCAGGCTGAATGAATTCCGCGGGAGCTAGCGCGGAGACGTGCTGAACGATTTGTCCCTTGGGGTGAACTCTCCCCTGGGGGCTTACGCAGAGTCAGACTGATTGAATCCCCCGCCGAGGATTGACACGGATATGAACTGAATGATTCCTCCCTGGCGGTTGAGACAAAAAAGCCCAAATGAGAATCCCTCCGGGAACTGGCGTATACACAGGCTCAGTGAACCCCCCATGCGAGTGGCTTAACCTCTCTTTCACTGACACAGTGCGGCGCCGCCCTTCCACCTGAGGCCACACGGCCCTCCGGGCTGACCGGCACGCCGGGCCGTCGGGTCGCCGGAATTTTCTGGCGTCACAGCGGATATCGAACTGCCGGCCGCCAGCCGAACGACATGACATAATGACCTATACATTATGGTAACTGGCTATACTGAACGAAATTACGGATAATCAGCTCTTATCAGCCGCCAGGACTTTCGACAAAGGAAATATCTGTTCTGCAATGGGACCGTGTGAACGCTGCTCAGGAACCCAGCGAGTCCGGCGGCGCTAACCATTCTGTACGGGGTCCGGCGGTCAGACCTCCGTTAATGGAGGCCACGTCTAGTCCATGGTGCTGTGTGCAGTGCACTGCTGATGATACTGTCTGTACTCGTAGGAAGTTTACCTGATATATTGTTCACACAGCTGATCGCTCTGTCTGCGCTGACGGGTAGGGTAGTTAGCTCACCTGCTGATGAGCATGGCCGTGATGACGGGCGTCCAGCCCTCCATCAGCACGATGCGCGTGTACTGGTTGCGGTGTGACACCCACGCGAACACGGGAATCAGCAGCAGGTACACAACTATAATGGTGGGCGCCAGCCACGGGTCCGGCCCTGCGCAAAGGAAAAGCCGTCAGCGGCGATCCGGCATCACTGGCGACTCCAGTGATATTCAAACGAGTCTCTATCTAGTCACAGGTATTCCAAGAACACTTCAGACCAAAACGTATCACTTCATTACGTTTACATAGTGGAGTAAATAGGTCTTTTTTCATCGAATATTTAAACGACAAGTTGACTGAGCTATAAAAGCCCCGTTGGTGTGCATAACCCGTTCCCAGACATCCGATCGCTCAATGCCGGATGATGGAGTAAAGTTAAAGGAAGGTGAGCCGACGCTCACCGGTGTCCCCACACACCCCCTGGCGCTCACCGATGGCCCCACACGCCCCCCCCCCCTGGCGCTCACCGATGGCCCCACACGCCCTCCCTGGCGCTCACCGATGGCCCCACACGCCTCCCCTGGCGCTCACCGATGGCCCCACACGCCCCCCTGGCGCTCACCGATGGCCCCACACGCCTCCCCTGGCGCTCACCGATGGCCCCACACGCCTCCCCTGGCGCTCACCGGTGGCCCCACACGCCCCCCTGGCGCTCACCGATGGCCCCACACGCCCCCCTGGCGCTCACCGATGGCCCCACACGCCTCCCCTGGCGCTCACCGATGGCGCGGTAGAGCAGCGAGGCGATCCAGGCGAGCAGCGCCAGCGTCACCAGGTCGCCCATGCTGGCCGCGATCGGCGTGGCCACGTTGTCCGGGTTGATGTTGAACCGCTGCGAGCCCACGATCACGGCAATCATCACCGTGCCTGTTAGGTACCGCAGCAACACGTCAGCGGCCGGCGCGTCAGCCCGAGTCATCAGAGGATCAGTACGTCACATCCCGCCACACTTATCACCTCGTATCAGAGCAGCGCTGTACCCGCGTTACATCAACACTCGGTAAGTTTTCCAAAGGGCTGTGTGAGTGTCCTTACGTCACAGCAACAGCCCTACACAACCATCGGGGGATTTCGGGTTAGTCGCCAGCCAGCCACACATCAGCTGCGCCTACTCCCATCTCATTGGTGCGTTAAAGCTTCAACATTTCATCCAATGCCGACCCTCCCATTTTACCTAATGTATGAACGATCCGACCGACCGCTTAGACCGTGAGACCGCGAGGCGGGAGGGAGGGTATGCGGTTTCGTCGACCAGCGAACGGCCCTCCCACCGACGGCGATTCCCTCAGCCCCCCCCCCCCCGCCCCTCAGCGGGGTGAGAGGTGACTCGTACCGAGGATGAGCGAAGCCAGCGAGGCGGTGACCACGCTGCTGGCACACAGCAGCAGCGTGTGGTGGATGTCCAGCTCGCCGTCCGGGATCCAGCCCATCACCACGGCCGCCGTGGACGCCAGAAAACCCACCACGATCGCCTGGCACTGCGGGCAGAACGGCATAGACGGAACTGCAGCGGTCCACAAACACCACTGCCGCGCGCAGGAGTGGCAGGACACAATACACACCAAACTGCCGTGGAAAAACGACGTACACGCCACAACTAAGAGCTACGAAGTCTAAAGCAAGATTAAATATAGCACGGAACACTCGCACCGGAACACACATGGAAAATGCCTTACGTATTTGAGCATTGAGGTGAAGTAAATTGGCCTCCATTGGTCATGAAGCATTGACCTTTGTAAATCAAAGGATACCTACATCTAAAACAAAAAAGAAAATGCCTTAAAGATGATTTAAATCATGTTTAAAATCATTTTCATTCGGTTTAAAATGCGAAATTCCGGTCAAAATAGCACATGGTCACTTTTACCGCCCGGGAATCGTCATCGGTGATAATAGGTCAGCGATGGGTGCAGTGGCACCAATAGAACACTGGCGCGCAGCCCGGTATGACAGGACACGAAACGGTTCGGCCTAACATACACCTCCGGCACGCTACAGGTGCGGTACGTGTCCTCGGCCTCGCCGGCCCGCTCCCAGTCTACCGAACAACTCCTTTATCGGAGCGGAGATCCGCCCGACAAACGCCAGTCGCGAGCACCGACCGGCGGCCGGCCAGCCCACCCGGCAGACCGGTGTGCCAGTTTTCCTTATAGCTTCAACAGGGACTGTGGACGGACGACAGCACTGAATGGTTCCTACGCCGCCTGGCAAACTGAGTGTGATCCCACACCGTCCAGCAAACTAGGATAGCTGCCGCTGCCCGAAATACCACGAGTTTACCACGAGTTTGTACCCACGAGCATCCCTGATTGTGGGTGTGACCCTTAGCAGTCCACTGACCGACATACCCACCGACAGTGACAACAAAAGACTCGAAAACACCGATATACATTCCCGGGTTCCGGCCGCTTGGCGAGGCGGTAAACACAGCCGTTTAGACACAGTCCCACACAGACAGGCGCACCGACTAACCGAGCGGGCCCACAGTCCACGGGTCCCACGCACCTGTATGAGGCCCATGTTGCAGAGCAGCAGGCTCCACATGGCGCCCGGCTCGTCCATACGGCCCAGGTTGGCGTGGGTGCTGAGCCGGGAGGCCAGCGTCATCTCCAGGTTCCCCTTGAGGCCGAGCAGCGCCGGCACCAGGATAAACACCTCGGTCACCTCGGTGAACACCCTCCAGTGCTGCCGGTAGGCGGTCAGTGCGAGCGTCAGACCGAGGCGGGGGCGCGAGCGCAGGGACGAGACGGACCAGGGGAGACGACACAGACAAGGGCAGGACGAAACGAGCCAGGGGCACGGGCGAGCGTCAGACCGGGGTAGAGATACGGGCACAGGGGTGAGACCGAGCCTGGGTGGGACAGCCCGACGACACACGGACATCGGGCGGGATGAGACCAGACGGGGCAATGAGGACAGGGGAGGGGTCAGCCGGGGCGGACAGGATGCAGAAGAGACAGACCAGCGACACGCGTGCCATACGTCGGCCGGATGTGCGTGGTAAACAACACGGACTATCTGCTGAGGGCGGCGGTCCCCCGTAAATAAACACAGCGCACGTGGGGCATGTGCTATACCAGACAGACTGGGAAGTGGGAGGGGACGCAGATCAGTAGGTGAACAGACGTCAACACCTTCCGAGCACGGGACGCATTTGGCCCGATAACGGTACAAAGATAAACGGGATATGCTCAGTGAACTATTTAGGCACGCCGGAAGAGATAAATACGATCTGATTCCGTATAGGTATACGCTGACTAATATGCTGCGATACAGTATTGATACCGAATACCGCGTAACACACTTAACTGGCATACGGCTAACCAGCGCACAAAGCGCATGTAATACAGCACCACTGCAGTTCACTGGATGTTGAAGACCCAGCTCGACGATCGTTTGCAAGCGTAATGCACTGCGTCAACAAATACGCGCAGAACGTATCAATTCGCTATCTTGTTTCTCAAGGAGATGAACCATGGCCCGGATACCGTTTCGGTTCACATTGTCATAATTTCGAAATAGCCCTGGAGGGATTGTCCCGGGCTTCCCAACGTGGCTCAGCAGTGAGCAGCACACGCTGGATCTCCGTGCCACAAATGATGAGAACTGATGTCCCTGACTCCCGAGCCACGACTCTTACACATAGTTCCCGGGCCCAGCTGGCAGTCGGTCTTAGTGGCGCGACACGCGGTGCAGTCCGCTGAAGTTTCATCGACGGAGCTAAGCACGGCAGGGCCGAAACGGATCATTTTTGTTCCTCCGCTACGTCGGCTACATGGACTTCACCAACCGAATATATGTAGTTGGAATCGGGCATATAATCTCCTAAAACTACCATAACATACGTGTGTTTTGAATTTTGAGGCAGTATTCGTGTTCGCCATTTTTTCCTTGTCCGAATTCATGGCTGCTGAAACCCGCGACTGCACGAACTTTGTCCACAGAGCCACAGTCACGGTGTATAGGTACAACCACCAGCGATGGGCGTCCGTCACCGTGCATCGATTACACCCTGACCGGAGCGCGACCCGAGCGGCCCTCTGCGCCGCTCCTATTGTCGCCGGATTTTCTCGACGGCCCCTCTCGGGACGCCGGCGGCTCCTCCAGACATCGACCAAGTCGCGGCCGGAGCAGATCCCCGCAGACCGGCGGTCAGTCTGACCTCCCACCGGCCCCCACCAGCCGTCTAATCGATACCCCTTCCTGCGACACGTTAATGAGCCCCCGTCCGAGCACCCGAGCTCCTCGGACTCTGTCACATGCAGCCTACCCCGCACCTACGGTACCCAAAACCCTCCGACCAGAGCCGAGCCCAGTCTGACCAGCCCGGGGCTGTCCGTGACTGCACCGACAGCCATCTGGCGCCGTTTGCCAGATAGTAACCAGCCCTTGTCACCACACGGTCTCACTCTGCCAGCGCTACCACCGTCACCCAGGGAGTAAGTAATGCCAGCGGCCTGGCAGCCGTCCGACAAGTTGCTGCACCATTCTGCACAGAGCACGGCCGGCGGCCCTGTCGAGCCGCGCGTTCCACCTACAGTGCCGGCCTGCGCGACCCACTTCACACATACATAGTGTGGCACCCAGCCAACCCGGCCAAACAGGCCTTAGGCACACGTCTATGGCACTCACCCAACCCGGTTCTGCAGAACATGTCCTGACCGCGTCGGACTCACGCTGGCACCAAAGTCCCGGCCGGGCCCACCCGTACGGCGGACCAGCGCCGCGTCGAACCCACCTGTACGACATCAAGCACGATGCCGGCGCCGACCATGCCGAAGCCGGCCACCAAGTACGGGAAGAACACCTGGACGCCGATCGAGAACCAGCTCTCCTCGGCGGCCGGCCGCGGCGCCTTGCGCACCTCCACCAGGCCGTCCTCCGAGTCCAGCGTGGACTCGAGCGTCAGCGGCACCTCGTCCTCGGCCAGCGAGGACATCTCCAGCGCCGGTGAGGGCGTCATGGCGGCCGCGGCAGCCCGGTGCCGGGGTCGCGCCGCCTCACCCACTGCAGCCATGGTCGGACCGCGCCTGCCACAGGAGCACAATCGGTCACTTAGCTGCTGCTGACCAACAGAAATGGTCACACATGGCAGTTGGCACCAGCAATGCAGAGGCACAAAGCTGCCACACACAGGAAGAAAAGGGTGAGGGATGTTTGGGGGGGGGGGGGCATCTATAGTATTTCATGACTCTTAACAGCTCTTGTCAAGAGCATTTCAAAACATGCCAGTATGCATAAATCGAAAAAGTTCAATTTACCATGACCCTAATTAGTACAGCCCACTGCTAAAGTAATGTAGGGTTTTACCAATCTCAACGGTTGGCTTTGACTGGCGATTGTTTAATGCGGAGTGATCGAAAAGAAGATGTAAATAGCTAAAGTTGTAGCTGCAAGGGTGACGATACATATAAGCATCATTCAAAGTTTCATTGTAGTCTGGCTAATCGTTCCTAAGCTTCAGAAGCAGAACATACCCATGACTGAAAACCCACATTACTTCTGCTGTGGACATTACCTATGGCATTTAACTACCAGTCAAAAAACCAGTAAGGTAAAGATTAGCCGTCATCTTTCAGCATCTTCCCTTTGAAAAATGGCATCTCACCTTTTCCTTCAAACAGCAAAAAAAAAAAGATTAGGCATGTAGGTACATATGCATTACAATTTTCCAGCTGCTCAATTACAAATCTTTTATTGTTAAAAAGCAGATGCTGAAATATCAATAAATAGGCCCTTTCAATCTGATCAAAATTGAAATAAGCTGGAGCTGAGACTGGAATATTTGACTCCTTATCCAACTGGATTGTGAATCCGAAACCAGTAAAAATTAAGGTGCCACTTACCATGAATTCTGTTGTCGTCTATAACTAGAATTTCACACAAATTACAATTAATTCACTATCGCCTGTCAATTGATGTGATGAAGGAAGTGTTCCAAATCCTTCAAATAAGAGCACCAACCACTTTCAGCCACAGGATAAAAAAGGTAGTCCAGAAGAATGTTACTGGTAGTTGATGTCGGTTCAACTGAAGAAATTCCAGAAGATACTAACTAAATCACAGAACTTAATACATTAGAGCGACGTAAAGACCTTCCCCATCAACACTCCAATACGAACTGACGTCGACTCGTAAACGAAACTGCTGCGCCATATATAACGAAATAAAGTGCTGCCATATGTTCCCTAATTTTTGTTCACTGAACCTTCGTTTGTGGAGGAAAACTAGGCCAAAGGATCTCTGGAATCTGGACCAAATCATGGAAGGTATCAGGGGTGGAGAATTAGGGGTTTTTGGGGTGCTCGAGCACCCCCTAAAATTCAAAAGTCACCATATCATAGTGCTTCAGGGGTGCTTAAATTATGTCTAAGACACACATTGCTTCGCGTAAGTCGCAAGGAGAATAATGTTGCTGGGAAAACGTACCTAAAATGTGCTTTTCTACGCAAGGATTCGACGCTTCCATTCGCCAGGCGGTAGAAAAGCACCCCCTGGGATTTTGACAATTATCCGCCCCTGGAAGGTATAATACCACGGAAATTTGTTTTTGATACCCCGATCATATTCCTGGTACTTGGAAGTCTTTGTTAACTTTATCATAATCTTCTTCAGCCATGCTCAATTATATGCGAGTGCATATTCGACGATATCGTCGTTGGGACTCGGCCCAGGCCCCAGGCAAAGATGAAGAGCACGGCAAAGCTAGACTCGAAAGCTTAACCATTGGGCTAAATGGTCAAAAAGGGGTTTGGCCGAATGAATGAGCCTGTACAATACGAATCGTCACGCTCCGGGATCAATAAACGACCTGAGAGCTTCTGGCAATGAACATAACTGATTCGAAACATCAACACTTACCGGAAATCTTCCGCGGTACCGGGCGAATCGCTGGCCGGAATACGAATGCTGAGGAGGTCGGCGCGGTCGGGTCGCAGGCCGGCCGCAGGCATCTGACGCGGGTCGGCGCCCGGGGCCAAACGGTCCGCCCTGGAGTCGATCCAAGAGGGGCGGCTGCCCGCTGCGGCCGCGGCCATTCCGCCGGACAGTAACTCTAAGGAAGACGCCCCCAAAGCGGACAGGTAGGTACCGAGCACGCAACGCGGAAAGTCGGCCCGCCGTATACCGGTGCGGCCGCCCGGAGACCCCGGCACCGCGACGAAGGTCATCGCGTGCTCCTGCTACACCTCCCGCCGCACGTCAGCAGTGACAGCTCGTGACGTGGGAGCCGATCACCGGGGCCACCCGTCGACCGTTTACCCCGCACACCGTCCGCGCCGCGCCACAGCTGGCACCTACGCGTGCGAGAGCAGGTGTCTTAAAACCAAAACAAACGACTCCTACGGGCCGGGCCCAACTTCCGGCCATATCCACGTGCAACCTTTCTCGGGCGGCATGTTTCTGCCACGGCAGTGACGGCCGACGGGCGCCCAGCCAGTGTCGGTGGTACCGGCGCTGACAGGTCACAAATCTGCCACCGGTGTCGGCCTGTGTTTAGTTCCCGGCTGCGATAACAAACTGGTCGGCCGGGACAGACACAGCCGGCCGGCCGGAATGGAAACACAGCACCGACCGGTACACAACTCCCGACCCGTCCGGTCCGCCGGCGGCGCGCGGCTGGAACCGGCGCGGAGCACTGTACAGCCCCCGACAGGGAGAGCGGGCGCAGTACATAGCCCGACAGCGACAGGAACAGAGGGCTCAGCCGCGTGACGGGGACCTCCTCACACAGCTCGCAGCCCCCCCCCCCCCACTGATGGAAGCACACAGCTATCCCGCGCCGACCCGTAGACGGAACAGATCTGCGCCGCAGTCATCAGAGGTTTATTGAAAACGGACTAGCATGTTGGCCGCCCAGTCGTCCTGGCCGGTGGGTCAGCGCCGTCCGGTGTGCTCCCGGCCCGGGTATCCTATCGAGATGTTCGGCTGGTGCCCATGTTTCAGTGGGTGAGTCCCGGTGGGACGCGCACTCTCACCAGACGGGGCCGTCCGTGAGCCCAGTTTGATCGTCCCGGCGACCGGCGGCCCGCCAACCAGACCACGCTCTCAACGCATCCACTGGCACGCACATACACACACGCTCCTGCAACCAAGTTTGGCACCGAACGTCCAACACAAGCCATTTGTACACAATATTAAGCGAGATTGCAATGGAACGCCGGACGCGCAACACGTGAATAGCAACATAAACGACCGCGACCAATCACAGATGGTGTTGACTAACGTAAAAGCGCGACAGTGCCCGCCGCTCGACTCGCACACGTAACATGGTTGTACCGCCTGAGGCAGACACAGGGGCGGCGGCCGGGACCATTCGATTCGCACCATCAGAACACAGCGCAGAGCGAGTCGTCCACTCCCTGGGAGCGGTTACCCATGTCAGCCGTCAGCCTGCCATCCGCTGTGTCTCAGCAGCACGAATACGAATGCTCCCACTACATATGATGAAGCATGTTCATGTCATTTGTTTCTCTCCGCGGGGTGCGGAACAACCAGACACACATAAACAAACGAGCCCGGGCGCACTCGCATACACACGCGCCCACATCAGCGCCAGTAAATTGCACTTGTAACAAACAGCGCGCGCGACGCATTCAGTGATTATGACGCGCGCCCCAAACACACCGGTCTACCGGCAGCGGCCGCGCGGGCCGCCGACCCAGCGCCGCTCCGTTGGCCCCGCCCGTCATCCCGTACCTATGGCAGAGAGACACGCATCTCTAAAAATACGGGCGCCGCGGCGGCAGAGCTCATCGAGTGACCGCCGGCCCGTCCCCACCGACAGGTGCGACAGGGGCACCCAGCGCCGCGTCTCCGCTGGTACAGCCGCAGCTCTGCCCTTCCTCCGCCGCACGGCCCCGTGCGCGCCCCGTCCATGTAAAAGTCGCAGCTTTACCGTCCCTTTAAACGGCTCAATGCGTGGCTCGTTGATTAAAGCCACGGCCATGGCCGTCCCCCAACACAGCCCTGTGAGCGGCCGGCTGGTAAAAGCCGCATCTCTGTCGTCCTCCGCCGTTCGCTGGTACAGGCCGCCGCTCTGCCGTCTTCCCACACAGCCCTGTGCGCGGCTCGCTGGTAATACGTCGGCCGCCGGCCGCCAGTCGGTCGCCACCGCACCGTTCAGCGCGGAGGAGTCCGCCGCGCACCTCCCCGCCCGGGCGGCGTCTCATCCGCCCGGCCGGCCGGTCGGACCGCCAGCCGCGCCGGCCGGCCTCTCCGATACTACTCCGGCTCCTCCCGAGCACTCGTCATGCGTGCTTACAGCCGGACCACGACTTTGGGTTGAGGCAGGGCTTGTTCTTGCGGCGCCGGACGGGTCCGTTGGCAGCGGTGGCGTCCCCGCCTCCGGTCCTTGCCGCCTCGCGCTCTGCGACACAACACAGACGGTCAGCGGACTGCGACAAACATATTACATACGCACACCGCCAGAGCTGGACAAACACTGGCGGCGACAGACCTACACAGAACGTACACCGCGGGGAGCGCCGAAACACTTTCACGATCCACACTTTCCTGCGCGTCCGGTCAGAAAAGTGTGAGAGGGATTATAGGAGTATACGTTCATCTAGGCAGTCGACGACAGCAACTCATCAGAGCGATAGGTAAATAAATCGAAACATAAACATGCTTATAAGCATCTCATTAACCCTAGCTTACCCCGACAAAGGGATCAAAAGGCATAAAAAACGCAGCACAGGACCCATGACTCCAAGGTTGAGCTACGACCCCAAATTACTAGAGCATTGGTCGGGGCTTATCCAATTACAGCCCATTGAGTCGACTAAACCGGGGCTAATCCAAGTCTCACTGATCAATGCAATTCATATCCCCTGACAAACTCCCACACGCCAATGCAATTCGCCGTCCCCAATCGCATCGCAGTTACCAGTCATCCGTGATATTGCTATCAGATCTACGGTAATTTACTATCGGTCTGTTTGCGGCGCATTCCGCGCACATTCAGCAGGTCCGTTCCAAGCAGTACGAATAATTCCGACAGCGGACTGGCTGTGAGTCAGCCCCGTCGGTGACGCATACTCTCAGCGTGAGTGTTCGAGACGGCGACCTACGCCCCGCTGACCATTGACCCGATCCCGCCGACGGACCGGCCACACTGACCGACGGACACACGGACCGACCCCTGGCGACGGACAGGCTGCGCTGACCAACCCAGGTTTATCCATTGACCCGATCCCGCCGACGGACCGGCCACTCTGACCGACGGACACACGGACCGACCCCTGCCGACCGACAGGCCGCACTGACCGACCCCTGCTGACCGACAGGCTGCGCTGACCGACCCCTGCTGACCGACAGGCTGCGCTGACCGACCCGCACACCGCCCACTGACCGACTCGACTGTCCAATGTCCAATCACCGCTGACCGACCCGGGTTGTCCACTGACTGTTCAGCGGCCGCCCACTGACCGTCCACTGATCGACCCCTGACCGCCCACTGACCGCTCCGCCGGCACCCACTGACTGCTCCGCCGCCACCCACTGACTGCTCCGCCGGCACCCACTGACTGCTCCGCCGCCACCCACTGACTGCTCCGCCGGCACCCACTGACTGCTCCGCCGCCACCCACTGACTGCTCCGCCGGCACCCACTGACTGCTCCGCCGCCACCCACTGACTGCTCCGCCGCCACCCACTGACTGCTCCGCCGCCACCCACTGACTGCTCCGCCGCCACCCACTGACCGTTGAGCTGGCGCTCGGTGATGTACTCCTCGCTGCCGCTTTGGTCGTCGTCCGTGCCGAAGTGCATGTCGCGGATGTAGGGCAGCACGGTGAGCTCGTGGCACTCGCTGCCGTTGCGCGGCGGCACGGGCACACACTCGGTGGTCGGCGGCTGCTTCTTGCGCACCCAGCTGGCAACGGGGTGAGATGGGGAGGGTCAGAGAGGGGTGGAGGGAGGGGGCTGTTAAGCGATCCATCAGAGAGTGAGCACGTCACTCGGCATGCTGCACACGGCTGATCCAGTGACTGATACGATAAACACAACCAGTCCGAGGATTAATGTGGTGTCAACTGTGGGCGTGGCAGGCTTCATGGAGCTACAAACACCACCCCACCGTCAACCCACATTGAAATAACAACACGCCGACAACGTAGCGTAGCTGAGTGACTCGTAATGTTAGCTAACGCAGCAGCGGTCTGCGGTAAACCTTCAATCGTGCGCTGTTTCACAGCTCACCACAACCCGGCACGATATGGTAGCGGTCTATGGCTGTCTGTATACTGACTCGTGCTGCTGTATCTCGAAGATGCCGAGCCGCTTTTCGGGCTCCTTGTGCAGCATGCCGCGCAGCAGCGAGGCCAGCGAGGGGCCAACCATATCGGGAATGTCGAACTCGGCCTTGGCGATGTTGTCGAACAGTTTGAACACCGTCTCACCCTCGAACGGGTACTGGCCAGTCACAAAGTTGTACCTGAGAAACAGAACAGACAATGCCGCTTCATGTGTTGGACCACAACGATTCGGAAGAACGCATTCCGCCCATTTTTTTATGCGCGTTAAAGCTGCTCAACGGGAAAACAAGCATCAAACACGTAAATCATAGGGCCAATTGCTTGCCAATTTACCATTATCACTGACATATCGTAGCTATCGGAAAATGGTATGAACCCACGTTGCAGCGGACTAAAGGTTGACTTTTTAGCCCCCAATATGGTGAGCGGATGAGTGACAAGACTCCATGGGGACATCGAGACAATGAGGAAGAGAGGTGCGGTAATGCACTACGTAGATAGGGGCTGCGACAGAGGAGCCGAGTAAGCTAGCTATGGTGGAAACACGACACCAGTAACGCGAGCCTGTAGTGAACTATGCTGCCGACGTGTGCCACCGGTAACACGAGCCCGTCGCGTCCCGGCTGTTGGGGGGGGGATGAGGGGGGGGGGGGGCACTCACAGTGTGACGCCGCTGCTCCACACGTCCACCTTGAAGCCGGGGAACGCATCGCTGCCGCTGGCTATCTCGGGCGGCTGGAACGCCGGCGAGCCCTGGCTGACCGAGATCTCGTCCGAGCGCCGAAACCGGTCCAGCTCCTGCGGGACGCACCGAGAGTGAGGGCCAGCGCCACGCCGCGACGACGGTCTTCATACGCCACAGGTAATAATAAAACGGAAACGGTTGATACGGCATAATCATATGCCATAAGTTACATAATTCACCTTCCCGTGCGACGGAAGTCCTGCACCACCGATGTGAATAGCACTTTTCTCCCCGACACGTGCCACTCGAGTGTTGGTGAACAGAGGCACAGCACCTGTGGTGCTTTGGTCTCCATGCCAGCTATCCCTGGAAATGACTCTCAGCTTCTTTTTATCGCAGCCCTTTCTTTTATGAATTATCGTCGGCTTGAAATAATTCATCTCTACTTTCTCCACAAAATGAAAAAGTATGGTTTTAGAAGAAAACGATATTGCTATGCATGTGGCCAACACACCAAGCCAGCGAGTCCGAAAATTTAATTTTTATGCGGGGATGAAAATGATTGGGCTTAGCATTCGCCCTGGTGTAGCGGGACTTACTTGTTACTCATCTACGATGGTGGGAAAAGCTTTTGGCCACTCTCCATTATTTTTTACATGGGAAGTACAATCGCGTCACATAACGCCGCGAACTTTATTCTTATAACAGAGTTCAGTGCTTATAACGCACCAATTTTGCATATCAAGATAAAATATTGAGCCCAGCCCATACTTTATCGGCGCAAAATGACCACCATTGTCCACGTTGTCTAAATGACCGTTGTCAAAACGGCCAAAATGACCAACGTTGCGCCCATAACGGTAGACAGCTTGCTTTACCGTTATACTGGTAAAGCAAGCTGTCTAAGCTGCCGTCGATCCTAAAGCTCACTGTCGCCCTGAGACCCCAGCCGGCCGCAGGTCAGGGGCTGTGGGGACCACGTTATCAGCGACCTTTTCATGATGCAGTAAGAAACGACAGTGAGATATAACAGAGACCTTGCTCATGCTTTTCACGTTAATAGACGGCCATTAAGAAAATCATGATTCTTCATGAACAAAGATCGCTTCACTACTACACAACACATTCCCTGTCTTGGTCCACGCCAGTTCTGTGCGCCTTTCCAGTTCGCCGGAGCCGCATAAGCCCTGCATTGAGCGTGCCCCATCAACCCCTCCTTCCCCACCCCCATTCGTCGGGCCCGCGCTGGGTGAACGGCGCAAACCGCAAAGGCTGACCCGATCCAGAGCGCGGCGGTAACGGGGAGGGTGGGAAGCAACGGCAAGGACGGGCAGTCAGCAGGCAGACACGACCAGACGAGACGGCAGATCAGAGGGCAGACACGACCAGACGAGACGGCAGATCAGAGGGCAGACACGACCAGACGAGACGGCAGATCAGAGGGCAGACACGACCAGACGAGGCGGCAGATCAGAGGGCAGACACGACCAGACGAGACGGCAGACACGACCAGACGAGACGGCAGGTCAGAGGGCAGACACGACCAGACGAGACGGCAGGTCAGAGGGCAGACACGACCAGACGAGACGGCAGATCAGAGGGCAGACACGACCAGACGAGACGGCAGGTCAGAGGGCAGACACGACCAGACGAGACGGCAGGTCAGAGGGCAGACACGACCAGACGAGACAGCAGATCAGAGGGCAGACACGACCAGACGAGACGGCAGGTCAGAGGACAGACACGACCAGGCGAGACGGCAGATCAGAGGACAGACACGACCAGGCGAGACGGCAGATCAGAGGGCAGACACGACCAGACGAGACGGCAGGTCAGCGAGCAGACACGACCAGACGAGACGGCAGGTCAGAGGGCAGACACGACCAGACGAGACGGCAGATCAGAGGGCAGACACGACCAGACGAGACGGCAGACACGACCAGACGAGACGGCAGACACGACCAGACGAGACGGCAGACACGACCAGACGAGACGGCAGATCAGAGGGCAGACACGACCAGACGAGACGGCAGACACGACCAGACGAGACGGCAGGGTCAGAGGGGAACACAAGAGGTGACACGGCCATCCGTCGCTGTCGGTCATGCGGGTGTCCGTCCGGAAATTGCGATACGTGCGAGCGCCACGACAGACGGTGATCCCCGTGGATTACCGTCCGTCTGCGTTATACAGGCGAACGAGACAGCATGGCGACCACCGCGGCGTCGCTCTCTGACTGCCAGCTGCAACTGCAACTTTTCGCTGCGAACTGCAACATTTGCTGACCAAAAACAACGACATTTTCTAAATGAATCAGGCATACGATTCACTTCATACCGTTCGTTACAACAGAGCCAAGTACAGGAAAACACTTCACTTCAACTTGGCGTTTGGCATTGATCAACAGGGAGGCTTGGTAGGTATAACAATGTAAGCAATCCCGATTGTAATTATGGTGTCGGATATCTGCGTGTCTTGACTTCTAATAGCCAAAGCCTATTCACATGTTACTTAAGAAATTTGACAACAATCATGTCAAATATAAGAGATAGAGGGCACAATTATTACAAATTATCGACATTTATGAAGTTGCAGTGGCTGAACGGAGACGTCGCCCACGAGGTCATTCACGCCAACAATTATAGTTGTTAGCATCGACACATGCAGCTAGACCAGATATTCACCCATTGTGGCGGTGACGATGTCAAACACTTATCAATTATTAGCATCATTGATAGCAATTGGCCAATAATTAAGAAAATTAACTATCTGGACAACATCGAAGTCCGATATCCACGTCCTATCTCGGTAATGTAGGCAGCTTATTAGAATCCGAACTTTTCCCTGCCAGGCTGCCGATGTCCGCCGCGCCAATTGAAGACAGGTGCCAACTTATTCCGCGGTACCGAGGCCAGGACGCACCACTACCCACCTACCCCAGCCGTACCGAGGTCAGATACCCACTTATCCAGGCGGTACCGATGTCAGACACCAATCTACCATAACAGTACCGAGGCCAGATACCCACATATCCCAGCGTTACCGAGGCCAAAACACCTACATACGACGGCGGCAGCGACGCCAGATCCCCACATACCTCTGCGGTGCCCAGGTCGGAGATCTTGAGCGTCATATCGGCCGTGAGCAGCAGATTGGCCGGTTTGATATCGTTGTGCACAACAGCCTGACTGTGCAGGTACTCCAGACCCGTTATCAGCTGCACAAAGTACCTGCCAGCACGCCGCCACGCACAGTGCCGGTCAGAAGAGCGATCGGCCGCAACCGTCCGCGACCGCCAGCTATACTGGGGAAACAGGTGTTCAGCCGGCCATAGGAACGACTTAACACCCCGTCATACCCGTGCGAGGTAACGATATTGGAAATGTAGGCATGTTACGATATTAGTTCTAAGCGTGCGGCGAAGAATGGTATCGAGCCCGTGGTCGCGCTGCTTACCTGTGAGCCTGCCAGACAGGAAATCGCTTCTCGTGCGCGCGATCCAGCATCTCCTTGAGCTGACACACACAGAACTCGAGGATCATGTAGATCTTCTGCTTCTCGTCATTATGCAGCACGTCAAACAGCCGTAAAATGTTGGGATGCCGTAGCCGCTTCAGCAGACGAATTTCCCTAAAAAGGGTGGAATGTTCACGTTAACCGAAATTGCGTTGTTACTCGGCGTTCTTGTTATACAAATACCAGCAAACTGGCTTTGTAGTAACCGTTAAAAAAAAAAAAAACTGGAGACATCGAAGCAACATTGGCATTGTTTCACCGAACATAGATACACGGTGTGGACTGTATGTGGAACGAGTCTCATCTTATTTGCCTACGAACGAACGACCTAAATTTGATAGCGTCCGCGGTCAAACCAACACGCATTCAGCACACACGAGTTCTCTAATAAAGTACGATACGCATTACGTAAGGTGCTATCTGCAGGTAATAAAACGCTGTATTGGCCAACGTTAGCATCGGGACACCATTTCGGGTGTGATAAACACGACTGATCCGACTGATCCCAGACGAGTTCATTCCGCCAGGCTGAGCAGCTGGTCATGCCAGAAGGTCGACAAGAATGCAATGCAAGGGGAGAGATATATGCTGACACAAAATCCTTTTATGAGTTGTAGAAAAGAGTTCATCTTCGAAATTTTAGTCGAGCCATTAATATTCTAACAAATAGTACCTAAATGCAGCTCTTTGTGGGTGAATTTGTTGGTACCTAAAATACGATGACTGTCGCAAAAATGAAAACAAAACTGTTTCAACATGGCATCTCTAGTTCCTTTGACCCACCGTTTATGCATAAAATACCTTTGTTTATCTCACCTTTGCAGATTTTGTTCGCCGTTCATTTTTCGCCTGAGTTTCCTTCGCTTGAATATTTTCACAGCTCTCCGTTCTAACGTATCCTTGTCCATGCACTCCTTCACCTTTCCATACGAGCCCTCGCCCAGGAGATCGCCGAAAATGTAGCGACCCACCACCTTCCAGCGTTTGCGTTTGTTCCGGTAGATGATTTCGGTGGAGGGGACGCGCGTGAAGACGGCCATCTCGCCGCCGTCGTCGTCCCAGAGGTCATCCTCGCCGTCGAACGGTGCGCCGAGCACACCCACAGGCTGCGGCTCCGGCTCCGGCTCCGGCGGCGGCACGTGGTTCGAGGCCGCCGCCGCCTCCGGGGCCGCCGAGCTGGGCCCGCTGCCGCCCTGGGTGGATGCCATGTCTGCTGCACCTGGAGAAGACAGCTTTATCATCAACAAAGCAGACTTAACCCAGAAATACGATTCGTGCTGATAAGTCTTAAAGATATTCCCACAGACACAGCTTTTCCCTCCATTTCCTTGTATTCCTTCTTTCCAAGGAGCTTCCTACAAGTAAAGCACACAATACTGTGATAGCCCTGCCACCAACTCATCAGCATGCATTTCACTTCATGCTAAATAAAAAGGAACATAGATATTTTTCCAGCTACACCATGCACACATATGGTCAGTCAGAAGGATCATACTTAGACCTACATTCAATGGTACCAATCCTGTCACACATTTCTTTTGTTGATAATAAGTACCTACCCAACTAACATATATTACCAATACCCACCTAATTCAGCTAGTCCAATAATGCTTGAATCAAAGTAATAATAAGAGTACCAATATAATAACTGGTTATGGTCATTTAACTCACAGGTAAACTGCTTGGCCAATTCTGAATAAGAATGCAAGGTGAGTTAGAAATGTAATAAGCAACAGCAGCAGACAGGATATGCAAACATAATCCATAGATGAATCCAGGATAGGTAGCTATGTCTTAAGTGAGAGTCAAGTATGATACAAGGACTAGCCTAAAACATGAGAGATAAATGTGAACCTTAACCCTCGCCCGCACATGGGGGGGGGGGGGGGTGGTGGTTGCCACCCCCCCCCCCCAGGCAGTCTTTCTGCTCTGCACTCAACATTTTTAGAGCTAGAAGGCTGATTTTTCGTATAGCTGCTCGTCTATCCTTTCTTGATGTCCACCGAAAATTTCAAGTTTCTGTGATTTTTGGTTTCGGAGATATGACCTTGTTTTTCAGGTCATGTCATGACCCAAATGGCCAATTCTCAACATCTTGCGTTTGCCATGGGCCTTGTGAGCTTTTGACACCCTGATTTCGGCCTTTTTTGCCAGTCTTACCTCCCACCTATCATGGAACATGTTGTTCGACGATGTACAGGGGTCAAGGTCAGGGTCAAGGTCAACCTAGGTCATCTAAGATAATTGCGTTTTAGGCAAGCTGAATTTACTTTTTTTGAAGTTTTTTGACTGCATTTTTGGTAAAAGCTTCTCAGATCATGATTTCATGTGATTTGGACCCAAAAACAATCGGTGCACACATCAGTATACACACAGACACACACAGACATACAAACACATATAATTGACCTTGACCTAACTTGACCTGAAATGACCTCAGCAGCAAAATTCTGGTCGGATAGTGTGACAAAGAGGTTCTAGCTGGCTTGGCACCAGAAAACAGCATCGTCATCGGTATTTGATAAGCAGCGCACTTGATATCCAACGGTGACCCAAAACAGCAACATTTTTTAGTTTGACCTGACCTGGAAGGTCAATGACTGACCTGAGAAGGTAAAACTGGGTATCATTGGATTCGTCTCTTCCCAAAGAATCTTTTTGGTCTTTACTGCTAAGCTCTATCTCCAACAGGAACGAAATGGTGCGGGGGGGGGGGGTGGCAACCACCCCCCCCCCATGTGCGTTCTAGGATGGGAAAATGGCATGTGCGGGCGAGGGTTAAGCACCTATATAGTCCTTAATAATAAGCATGCCAATTTTAGATAGCTATGATATGGAAGCATTCCAAGACTAGGTTGGGTTGGTATAATCTAAAGTCACTATTCTAGTGCTTACTCAATCTTTCTGGCAGTTAGGCTGCTGACAATTTATTTAATTTTTTTTTTTGCAAGCTTCTAGAAAAAAACATAAGTCCCTCCATAAAAACAGTTCCTAGGTACCTACCTACATACAACATTATCAACTCTGCTTATATTTAACAGCAATAATTGCAAAAGACATCCATCCATGTACCTTATGACTAGTGCTAAGATAAAAAGGCAATTTTAATAGAACAAAAATACCTTAAGCTTCACTTCTGTTATCAAACAAACAAAATGGCCACTTGACCTGTAGAGTCCAGTCTCAATACGCTACCATAATGGAATCATTGAACCAGAACATGCATTGGACATAAACTGTTGTCCTATTTTCAAAATGAACTTACTATATTACATATGAAAACTTCATCAGTTTCCTGGGAATTGGGTCACTCTAGGGCGGCCTCAGTGACAGTGAACACAGCCTAAGCCTCAGTGGTGTTTCGCAGATGATAGCAACACGCTGCTATTACACGTGTCAAATTGGGTTTCCATGGAGATTGAGATGTCAACAAGCCCATTGCTCCAACACTACCACAAGTGTGACGTCAGCTCGCAAAATGGAATAGCAGCACACCTACAGTAGCAGTGTGCTGTGAAACACCGCCCTGTAAAGTTAAATAATTTTCACCCTCCTCATTCTGTTGATATTGTTTCAATACTGCAGTTATGCATAACTATGCCAAAAAGCCTAAAGGTACATTACCGAAAAATATGGTTAAATATTACCTACCTAACATCTCACTTGGTATCACTTATTGGCTTACCTGATACCTAAGATTTGATCCCTCAACTAAGCATGCCAACTCAAATTTTTACATGCTTAATGTAAACAAGGAAAAGCCTAATTAATATCAATTCGTGTCTTCAAACGTTAAATTACCAAGAAAACGAAGACACAGTAGGGATGCAATTGCCCCCCGTGATGCTCAATTACAATGCGCGATGCGATGCGGCGGAAACTCACAACATCCGCTTTTGACGCTGACGCGTTATTTTCGCTATCATGCTGAGGACTGTTGTTGAATAAAATCTGACAAACCTAGCGGCACATTCTGGACTACTGTAATTATTTTCAGTTTTAGTGCAAACCCTTTATAATTTAGGAAAATCTATTTTTCAAATAAAATAAATATGATTCAAAAAGTAGCAAAAAATTGTTAACATCAACTTTATGATAAAATAGTTAAATCTAATTTTTTTGGTGTTCTTTTTATTACCAATACGCTAGTACATATTACTGACAGCTGATCAAGGAGTTTTCCTCGTATGTGATTCGTCATTTCTGAGCTCAAGCAAGGAACCGGAATAACAAAGAACACGCTATGTGAAGCCATTTTGCCACGCTGAAATATGCTCTATCTTATGCAGGGAAAAGCAAGGGGAAAAGCAAGAGAGCAAAGCGCGGCGTGTGGTTTACGTGCCGGTTGGGCCGCTGGGGTGATTGTTTTCCAATTTCTGGTAGTACGGAGACATTTTAGATTTTCCAATTTTGTCATTGCCTAGTGGCAACCGGAGGGTTCCACAAACGCAGTAAGTTTTTCGTCCATTGTGCATGCGTGCCATTTACCTGTGCAATTTACAAGTTGAAGTGTTAGTGGAAGTGCCGTTGATTTGCAGGTTCCTGCTAAGCAGAGTCCAAACCTCTGTTCGCACCCCGTTTATTTATCAGCAGGCCACGAGCATGCTGCTACTTCTTGGCTCCTCATTGTTCGAATTCAAGTGGTCTATTTGTTAGACCAATGAGAGGCCAAGAAGTGCCAGCAATAACTTCCTTATATGGGGAAAACCGACAGTACGCCGATATAAAAACAGCAACCGAACAGGGCCCAGACTGCTAAGCGTGGATATACGGTCGATCAGCTGTAGAGTCTTGGGTGGGAGCTCTTCACTTTTCCACCCAGGTTGAGGTCGACACATAATATTGATATGCCCTACATTACAGCTAATCTGCACTGCATTGTGTATTTGTCCAGTGTGTCCGCAGCAACAAGATATTGAGAGTGCAGTGCTTTGCAGTCTGGGAATCAGGATACAAGTAGACTTGAATGCTGTATATATGTACATATTAGTGAACTTTTTTTAGGAATGTCATGAAATTCATGTATCATTTGAAAAAGCACTTCATTGTGAACATTTTATACCTTACCTTTACCTTACCCTTAGGTACCTTAGAAGTTTGTGGAATTTTGAGGCCAAGGGTGTTTATCTTGTTTATTGGACCCAATCATTACTTTGAACTCACTCTGTTTCTATTGATCAAAGACTGATGAATATTGGATGTATTTCTAGTGGGAGTCAATGAGGATTTGAATGCATTAATAGGTAGTAGGTGCAGATACAACAGAGGAAGGCAGGCCTTTCCAACTGCTGATTGCTCTGACTCCCAGAAAGTTCTTCCTTGCTCTTGATCAAGATCCCTTCCCCAGAATTAGCTCTCAGCTAGAGCAGCTTTCTCCAAACAAAGTGTTCTGCATCAGTTTAATCACCCTGATGCTCAAACCTATTGAATACTACCCACCTTGACCTACTCTAGATTGAAATGCTAGCACACTTAGGCATGTATAGCTGCTGCCCACCATTTTTTTTTATTTTTTAGAATAAGCACAAGTGCTTTTTTACACAGTAGTGAATTACCTACTTCAAGTGACCATGTTGTATAGCCCTTTATAATACATCACTGTTATTGTTGTAATAGGTACTGGCATCATTTAAATTCCAAGCTCAGGGAGAATATTGATCTTGTTTAAATTCAAGCTTGCACAGAGGACACTGTCAGAACTTTTGCATCTGTCATCAAGTTTCTGTCTGGCCCTGCAGTAAAATCAAACAACTCTCCCATAATGGTCTACTCTGCAACCTCAATGTTACACGGATAGATTAATTAATTCAAGCCAGTGAATGGCCAAAGGGCATGCGAGATAACAAATGCAGCACAAATGGCAACAATGAATGAGTGTTGTGCTGATTGCAGTATGCATGCACCCAGCATAAGATACAATAAGAAGTCATCTGACATCTTATCACACAGCCAAGCAAGGAACAATGCTGATGCTCACAAATTCATCATGAATTATGTGTGAGGGAACCAATATTTCAGTGAATGGCCAAGCAGCTTGGAGGAATGTCTTCCAAACATGGATCTTTGCCCACTAGTTCACCAGAGCAAATCGCCTTATGACACTGAAGAGACCACCAGCAGTGTGTTTGTGCTTGGATCAAGATTGGTTGGAAGCCACCGCTGAGCTGTGCTTTGCTGGTTTTGCAGACAAGAGTGGAGCCGAAGCAGCGACCGCCATGGACACTGAGCCGCTGGACGTGGACCCGGAGCTGGACTATGAGGACGGCCTGCTGGGCGACGACAACGACAGCCCGCCGCCGGCCGGCGACCACGAGCTGGAGGACGGTGAGCTGGATGACTCGGGCTCTGAGCAGGAGGCGGCACCCGCCGGCCGGCCCGCCGCGCCGCCGGAGCCGCTGACTGAGGAGGCCCGCCGGCGGCGCGCCGAACGGTTCGGCGGGATGCTGGATGCCGAACCTCCAACCGAAGAGGCCCGTCGGCGGCGCGTTGAGCGATTTGGTGAGATGCAAGATGCGGAACCTCCAACGGCAGAGACCCGCCGGCGCCGGGCGGAGAGATTTGGCGACATGCTGGACATGGATGCAGAACCTGTTACCGAAGAGGCCCGTCGACGCCGCGCCGAGCGGTTTGGTGAGACGCTGGCGCCGGCGGACCCGCCGGGCCTGCCGCCGGCCGAGCAGGCGCGCCGCAGTGCCCTGTACGCCAGTCTGGGTCTGAGTGAGCCCGTGGACGGCCCGGTCCAATGGCGGCCAGAGGCGGTGCACGTGCGCGGCACGGGAACCATGACCACTGGTGACGTCATGGACTATTTTTACCGGTTCCGGCCGGCTCACGTGGAGTGGGTGACGGACGGTGCGTGTAACGTGGTCTGGATGGACGATGTGGGTCCGGTGCGCGCCCTGCTCGAGCTCAGCTCACCGATCGCGCCTCCCGGAGCCGAGAGGCCGGCGGCGGCGGCAGTGGAGGAGGACCCGGATGCGCTCCTGGTCGGTCTGGACACGATGGACTCGGACGCTCCGCCGCCGCCAGCCGCCGACACCCACATGCGGGAAGCTGGTGAGGAGGAGGCCGTCGACCCGGCTGACATCAAGACGCCGATTCCGCCGGGCCGGTGGCGCCTGGGCGTGCCGCACCGGCTCACCGACAGCCTATTCCTGCGGTTCGCCACGCGCGGCGACCGCCGGCTGCCGGGCGCCGAGCAGAGCCGCTCCGGACATGTGAAGCTGCTGGGGGATCCGAGCCACCCGGCCGGCGTGGCCGGCATTATCACAGAGCGGCGGCGGCGCGAGCTGCGCGGCGAGCCCGTCCAGGAGGCGCCGCCGCCGCCCGGCAAGGTTAATCCGTGGGGAGGCATCGCCGCCAGCTGGGCTACTGCCGAGGCTGTGCGCCGGCCTGTGAGGGATTACGACCACGACCCGGAGCTGAACCTGCTGCGGGACGGCGGCCGGCCGCCGGACCTGCGCCGCCGCCTGGAGAGCCGGCCGGCCGGCGCCGGCTCAGACACCGAGCGGCCGACGGCGCCGCAGCCGCGCAAACGGCAACGCAGCAGCAGCCCGGAGAGCGGCGGCGACGCGGCGGCCAACAGTGACGAGGAGGAGTGGCGCACGCGACTCAAGGTGCCGCGCATGCGCATGCACGCCGACGACGAGCTGGAGAAGCCAGTGACAGCTCGGCGGCCGGTGCGCAGCGACCTGCGCGCGCGCCTCGCAGCCGGCGGTGGCCGCTGGCGCAAGAACGCCGAGCTGGAGGCGGAGCGGCGTGAGGCGCCCGACGGCCGGCGGCGGCAGCAGCCGGCCTCGCCGCTCCGACTCGACTACGAACAGCCGGATGCCGAAGACGAGGACGAGCTGACAGCCTCCGCTGGGGATTTGGACTCCGAGCGGCCCGTCAATATTAAGATCACCCGCGACTTTAGCGGTGACGAGCTGAGCGGTGGCGAATCCAGCTCGGAGACGTCCGAGTCGGCACCGGACTCGGATCGGGAGGACGAAGAGGACGAGGATGAGGAGGAGGAGGAAGTGGAGCCGGTGGAGGTGGACGTGGACCGGCGCACGGACAAGAACAGCGCCGCCGACCTGCGCGCCCGCCTGAACAAGAAGCGCGCGGAGACCAAGAGCGAGCGGCCGCCGCTGCGGATAGAGGTGGACAATGACGAGTACTATCGGCTGATCGGCTCTGACAGCGAGTAGCGGAGCCGCGGGGGTCGTCCCCGCCGGGCCGGGTGGCCGGGCAGTGTGTGTTCGTGGTCGGACAAGCTCCAGTGTGCCGAGTGTCAACGACGAGACGACAGGAGCTGCTGTGTGCTGGGTGAATCGGCGAGCAGCGACTGGCTTCGGCTGTGTGTCCATGAGCGAGTTCAGAGACATGGGTGGCGCTGCATGTTACAACAATGGTCCATTGGTGTGTCCACCGATATAGGTTGCTCCTAGCACTGGGAGCTTGAACTTCATCGTTTCATGAGTGCATCGCATGCTTTGTTCAGTTTCATAATGTGAAATTATGATGCTTCAATTGATAATCACAAATCACTGTTATTGAGGTGTACTACTGTCCACAGTATTTAGCCGAAGTTTTTATTGAATGATAAAGTTCGGATGAATAGGACAGTGTTCTACCTCAATCGGAATGGCCTGCGCTCTTCTGTTGAAAATGACGATTGATAAGTTCATTTTCTTTTCAGCTTTGTCGCGCTAACAGCGAATTTACTTTTACCTAGCGTTAGCTGTGATTTATCTGCACATGCGGCCTGCAATCCTATCGCGGACTGTATTTTAGCATCAAGAGGCATCAATATGCTGCCTTGGTTACAGCCTGTCAGCTTTTCTGCTCTTGAAATGAACAACAAATCATGTGAACTATTTTACTATGAGCGCACATTGTTGTCATGCACTGTGCTGAGATGTAGTGTTTCGACGGTCGAGGTTTCAATAAATGACGGTTCACAGTTTCACCTGGTGAAAATCGTTGTGCTGACGGAGATTCCGCACCCCTCAGAAGACGCTTATCACTACGCTCATAAGTCCGAGTCTCAAACATGATCTGTTAATCAAGATTGGTTTCATGACACGGGCACCGATGCGGGTGTCCCTCGGGCGGCGACTTCACTTTGGATCCTGATCGTTGAGGATCGTCCGGCCGCGGGCGCCTATGACTTCGGCACTCCGTAGTCCGGGTACCTTCTCAAAACCCCGAGTCGTCACCAGCGCATCGGTCGGCCAGGCCAGCTGGTCTCCGCCCCGTGCAGGTGCGTCCCCACTCCCAGTCCCGTGTACTGATCGTCTCCGCTACCTCGTGGTCCGAACCCACCCCGTGGTCCAGTCCGCTCCGTCCACTGCTCTCCACCCCGTGGTCCGTTTCCACCCCGTGGTCCAGCCCACATTGTCCTGCGGACAGCCGAGGGCAGTGGCCGGGTCGCCCGTCGGACCGGTCGATACCAACACACTGGCGGTCGTGTCTCATGTCGGCTGCCCCTGTGGGGTCTCCCTGTCGGCATTAGCGATGGATTTCACCAGCCTGTGAGCTGCAGGTTTCGCTGGGGCGATTTAATGGTGCTAAAGATTTTCTACTTTTTTTAGAAACAATGAATGACTGATTTACACAATTAGAATATTTCCTTCATTATATCGACCTGCATAAAATCTCAACGTTTTTAGGAGTATCGATAGTTGTATACAAGAAATGTATCTTGATTATCGTTGTGACGATCACCACTGACTCACGGCCGGTGTAGTGCGTGCGCACTTTGCCACGTTGGCGTGTGTTCTTTGACCGTTGGTCGCTGGTCGTCGGTTGGTGACTGCTTGCCCCCCCCCCCCCCCCGTCGGTCGGTGGACGGTCAAAGTGCAGCCGATAGTGACAGGAGGAGGCTTCCGGCGCAGCGTGGGGGCGGTGGGGTGGCCGCGTGTCGGTCCGCCAGTGTGCGGCGGGGCGGTGTCGGGTCAGTGTCGTGGTGGTCGAGGTCAGTCCGTGTCGCGGGTCGGAGAGTGGCTGTCAGTACCCTTCGGTCACAGTCGAGCGGCAGCCGGGCGCGCGGGCTGTCACTGACACCCGACCGCTGCTGGATACAAGGATGCTCAGGTCAGACATTTGGCTTTATGTATGTGCTTGATTCTCATGTTCATTGTTCACTGGACCAGTTGTCTGTCCCTTTGTGTTATTTGAATGTATCTGTCTAATCTGCTTGTTATTCTGTGAAGTGGATATTGCGTCATCGGCCAGTAACAGAGCCGCTACCAAACCGGTATATCCTGTCCGATGCACCGCTCTACCCTATCGGAGTTCCCAGACCAGATTGCCCAGACCCTGACCAGAGCGGTGTTTGCTTATCCTGTGACCACGCCAGGCACCGGCGTGACCGGCAGGGACTAGGTACCGACGGAGAGATCCCTCACAGGTCTGCAACGCCCCCATATAGCGGCTGTGGCGGTCATACACCCGTGCTGTCAGTGGGAACCCAGACCATTGTTTGCGACGGTCCAGACCGCAGTTTTTGCTGGCCTCAGCCGTAACTGTCACAGCTGCCAAACTGAAGTGTTCCAGACACAAAGCTGGCTCCCGCGGGTAGGTAATTGCCTCGTGTGCCGTTTCGCCGCACGTCTGGTGTGTTCAGCCGCTCATGTGACCGCCATCCGCTGACCCCGTGGCCCGTTCCGTTCCGCTCCGTTCCGTTCCGTTCCAGGGTCGTATGCTGTCGGCGGCAGTGCTCGTGAACGGTCTCCGACGTCTGTTCAGCTCCGTCATGGCGCCCGTCCGTGAACGGTTCAACGTGGTCTTCGTGCTGGGCGGCCCCGGCGCCGGCAAGGGCACCCAGTGCGCCCGTATCGTGGAGGTGAGTTTATTCCGTTATCTACTGTTTGTTAGTGCCTGCTATTGTACATATGTACTGTGGCGACTGGGGCCGAAAGTGTCGGTTCGGTTTGATTGTCGTTTATTTATGATTATGGTCATGGCATAAGTCAGACATAAATATCTGGTCTGGTGCAAACGTTTAAACTAATTTCTACCGGTAACCGTAGTGCACTGGTAAATGAGTGGTGGTGAATTGGTGGGAAGTAACGAGCCACCAAAAGTGCAGCAGTTGAGTACCGGGGTTGACGTTCGATGGGGCAGAGTGTAGCCTGCTAGTGTCGGACGCCCAGGTCACTAATCTCAGACGTCTAAGGTTCGAGTGATAATGTTCACCGTCAAGCACACCAAATCTGATAGATCAACCTTACGTGTATATGTATGTTCATTCTCAATTCCTTGTGGGTCCCCCTAGCCGGCCGACTCCGTGTATCGTTGTACACTCGCCCCCCTCCCTTTATCCCTCGGCGTTTCGACGCCCAGCTCGCTGGCCTCTCCGTCCGACCTTTTACACTCTCCCCTGCCCGTCCCGCAGAAATACGGCTTTGTGCACCTCTCTGCCGGCGACCTGCTGCGAGCCGAGCGGCAGCGCGAGGGCAGCCAGTACGGTGACCTCATCAACAAACACATCAAGGACGGCTCCATCGTGCCGGTGGCCATCACCTGCGCTCTGCTGGAGAAGGTGAGGTGCCGGACGGCCGGTCTGGTCCGCCAGCACCCAGGTTTACTGACCGAGATAGAATGTCAGTTATTCTATGGCTGACGTGGAGATGACATCATTTCCACGAAAAGCATCAGCATTTGATTACAGCCTTTCCCCAGAAGGAAGCCATTGGAGAGCTGGAAATCGTTCGTGGTTAGAGAGCGGGCTTTACCGGAACGGCGTGCAGTGGTGTCGTGGTTTCCTTTGCTTCCTGTCTTTGTTTTATCCACTTCAGCGGCGAGACATTTTTGTGTAGGAACCGTGACTGTTGCGATGCGCATACTATGTGAAACCCTGTAAAAGACTCTGTGGTCGAGTAGACGAGTATTATTTCGTTGGTAGTCATGGTATTGAATCGTGAATGATTTAACATGTGTTGAAATGATTTCCGGTACTTCAGCTTGTTGTTGCATCATCCTCTTGCTGCCACCGTTCGGTGTTCCTACTTGAGGGCAATCGGGAGCCATTGGCTGGCTGGCCCGGAGCCACCCGTCACCATTGACTAGTTACCGGGCCGATAGACAGGATGCACTTGTGGGCTCGTGATCGGCGATTATTCCGTGCATGGAATATCCGTCCCATCCCCATCCGGGTCGGTGAACCAGCATTCTGAGTTCGTTGTCTGATGTATTACAGCTCCGGAAAATCGCCACAATGAGCACATCCATTCCATTCATTAGATACTTGTATGTACTACAGGCTGTATAGCGTGCGCGGCAGTGTGTCGGTAGCTGTCTGTTTATGGAACAATATCTGTTTTTCAGCTAGGTCTCGTGTGTGGTTATGTGACGTTCATCTGTTGTGTTGCTACTCGCCAGGCGATGGAGCAGAGCAGCTCCAACAAGTTCCTGGTGGATGGATTCCCGCGCAACAAAGACAACCTGGACGGCTGGGAGAAGGCCATGAACGACAAGGTCGACATCAAGTTCGTCCTCTTCTTCGACTGCCCACGAGAGGTCAGTCGTGCTCGCTTGCGCCGACTCAGGCGTACAGAAAGGACAAATAGTGTGCATAACCGCCTCCGATGTTGCTGACGCTGCCTGTTTGCTAAAGCTATACACTATACAGTTCTCCGTCCAACCTTGCCGCCTATCGTATCGTAATGCTGAGTGGTACTGCGGTAGTATGTGGTGACGCGGGGGACTCGCTGGCCTGTGGTACGTATGTACCGTTCCGTGACCACTCCGTGCCGCTCTCAGGTGTGTATCGAGCGGTGCCTGTCGCGCGGCGCCGCCGGCAGCGGCCGGGCCGACGACAACATCCAGTCGCTGGAGAAGCGGCTGGACACGTACAACAGCAGCACCATGCCCATCATCGAGTACTACGACAACAAGGACCTCGTCAAAAAGTTCGACGCGTCCCGACCCATCAATGAGGTGAGGGCCGAGGCATGCAGAGACGGCGGGGGGAGACCAGATTGACCCGGCAGTCGGGCTGACAGTGGTATAAGTCGTTTTTCGTGGGACTGTCTGTTTAGGCTAGAAACGACTGTGTTTGTAAATCACTATCATCAAGAAAGGAAAAGTTTTGAGTTAATAAGCATTTGAAGCGATACAGTTTTAAACCATCACAAACGTATCTTCATGTTAGTTTCGAAACAATGTTCAAGTCACTCTTTGTTCATTTGACTGACTTTTGCCCCTGCGATGCTGTGATTGGCAGATATTCGCGGACGTCTCGAAGGCGTTTGACGAGCTGAACCTATGACCTGGCGCTGAGGCCGGGTATCGGCGGAGCGACTCGTCGGCGAGGGCTCGGGATGACCACGGCGGCGGGGCGGCGGTCAAGTGACCTCTCGACAGCAAGGTCGGCGATCTTTGGTTCTCATCACCTGTCGGGCGGGGTCTCGCGGTCCCGTCACCTCGTCCCTCGGGCCTGGAGATTCACATGTTTCCCTTGTCTCCGGTAGTGCGGGGCCCGCTGAGATGGCCGGGAGGGTGATACATGGCGCCTCTGACTGCCCCAGTGCCCACCTGCCCCAGTGCTGGACTTGCTGCGATGACGAGGGACACGAGTGCATGGATGCACGCTCCGCATAGTTTATTTTCACGTGCTGAGGGTAAAGGCGCTTGATTCAGTTCGGCGTGCCGTGGCTCAAGCTGCGTAGGTAGGAATTTCTTCAGAGACCAGCTGTGCGCTCGGAGGAGTTGAGAGCCTGTTTCGATGCCGGCGGCCAAACACAAAGCTGTTGAAAGACTGGAGGCTGCTGTTCTGGGCCTGGATGGAAGAATGTATCCACAACTGATGTCCATTAAAGTGCCGGTAATTAGAAGGTAATAGACCGTTTCGCGACAGCGACGAAGGGTCAGCCGTTTGTCAGATTCTTTTTTGATGCCGCTAGATGCTATCAGAGTTCATTATTTTCACTGTAGATTACTTTATCTTTCTTAGTGATATTTAGCCGGTGTTTGACATGAAAGAAGACGTCCTACCCTTTTTCCATGCATTGATTTACGCTTGGCTGTACCTTATTTTTACCGTTGTTTTTTGCGTCAGTGAGTGGTGTTGGTGTCAAATTGTGTGGTTGAGGTACTGCTACGGGAAGTCGCGCCTGGCTCATTGCTCCCTCGTGGGTCACCCGGGCTTTTACCCGAGCAGGTAGCGGTGACTTGAATATAGCTGATAGTAGGCTGGTTTCAATTTGTAACGTCTCAATCAAGCTTACAACTAAGCATTTCTATCGCCCGTTCAGGAAACACAAGCTTCACATTTAGTTATAGCAGATAGAACAGCGGCCGCTAAGTCCAGATTTCGGGTTTTCCCTTAGGTATTTTGCTTGCATCAGTGCCGATGCTGGTTCGTAGTATCTTTGCTCGCCTCTGCTCGTAGTTTTATTTTTCTCCAATACTGTCGATCCCGCACCTTTGCGTCAAGGCAGCGATATTGTCAAGGCCACTTAATTTGTCTTACATACTGACTGTCTGTGAAAAGCGGCCGGGCGGGCACAGTGCGTGGGCCCACTGTCTGGAATAAAAGGAACGAGTGTCAGGTGTGGAGTCAGACTGGTGGATAGTATAGGTATAGGGGCGCGCTGAGGGGTCACGGTGGAAGATAGGTATACCCTGATGGTGGTTGGTTGTTGGTTGTTGAATAACAGAAATATCCAACTGATAAGCGAATTGCCAGCCAATGTCCCCTGCCGTCATACCATGCCTCACACCGGTCATCCTGAATGGCACGTGACTCCTCCGCCTGTTGGGTACGGTTCACATGAGCTCTGAATACATGTTAACCGTTTGTGACAACGTTTTCTCATCATTACTTGCACTGTCATCTCGACTCCTTGATGTTAATAGTTCACTAAGGTTGACTTGCAATATGCTTCCATATATTCTGAGATTTTGCATCATCGAATAATTGTTTTGGGTTCCCTTCAAATGCGCTTCTCTTACCGTCACACTCACGTTAGTGATTTGACCCAGCCCGTAGATAGGACAGGTCGATGCAAAAGCAGCGTGACCGAGCTCGGATGTATTTCAATGCTAGTCCGAGAAATGCAGAACACTGCACAATGTGAACCATAATTCCTTCCGACACTCTGCAACAATCTGTCATATTGACACTGTCTCAGTGCTCCCCATCATCCCTGTAACGTGGAATATCATAGTGAGCTCAAATGAACGTTGTGGTAGTCGCATTCGTCTGCATACTACAACAGGCGCGTAACAAGTTACTTAGCACCTTATTCGCTTTGGCAGAGAGGCGGGCTCACAGCTATGTACAGCTGTTACTGGCTATTCGGCAGATGTCTGGTCTATGGCATTGATCAGTGGTGGATGTGAGTACGCATACAGGTCAGGCTTCGTTTTGTAGAGCTTTGATCGTGTGGCGTTTTCATGTGGCTACAGTACCTAGACACATGCATCGAGATTAGAGACTGGATCCTCCATCTTTGGCACTGGATATTAGTCGACTTAACACGTTGGCCAACGACCTTCTCTGTAAATCGACTGGGGCTCTCGCCCAGTCTCGCACTTCACTGGAACTCCTTGCAAACCTTCACAGCCGACTGGGGTACCTGGCCAGCTCTCCCACTGGGCTGGAATGTCTTCACCAGGTCTCACAGTGCGATCGGTCGGTGATGGGGCAGTGTGGGTGCGCGGGACACAGGAGCGTTGTCCCACATCTCAGCCCCATCACCCGTGAAAGCCCCTGAGGTGGGCGGCCGGGCCGGGCCGGGCTCTCGGCGGGCTACCGTGCGGACGCGGCGGCCTGGCCGTGAGGCAGCGATTGGTCGTCGGCCGCCGGGCCGTCCTCCCAGTCGGCCTCCCAGTCGTCGTGGAGCTCCCAGTCCTCCGGTCTGTCGGTGTCGGGGGAGTGGTGCCGGCCGGCGCGGCCCACCAGCGCCGTGTCCAGCTCCTCCTCCTGCTCCTGTTCCTCGCCGTCCGAGGAGAGATCCAGCTCGGAGGTGCGCAGCCGCGAGTACCGCTGGCTGGGCAGCAGCGGCTTGGAGGTGCGGATCCGGTCCACCACCGACCGCCAGCCGCCGCGCCGCCTGCCGGCAGGACGGGCGCCGTCAGAACTGTCAGCTCGGAGCCGTCAGAACTGTCAGCTCGGAGCCGTCAGCGCTGCCGATATGACGGCAATTGGTCACAGCCGTCCGTCATAACAACATGCTGTATGTATGTCTGTCAGAACTGTCAGCTGTACAAGCGCGTGTGTCCGTATGTCTGGCGGTAGCTTAGTCACGTATGAGTACACATTGCAGAGGCGTTCACACATTAACCACAAAGCCTTCATCATGCCATTTATGCATGCCCGAGCAAATACCAAAAATGAGTGCAAATGCGCGCATTTCAACACCAGTATAACGCCTTTTGGGGCGACTAACGGAGCGAGCGAGAGGGTGACCCTTGCACGTGCGAAATTTCGAGGGGGTACCTCCAGCTGACTTGTGCACAGCACCCTACTAACCGGTCTCTAGCGATGTGCCAAATTTGAGCACAATCGGCCCAGCCGTTCTCGAGATCTGGAAGCGGCACCCTGCACGTGCGCACGTGCAAAATGGGTCCCAACTGACTTGTGCACGGCACCCTACTAACCGGTCTCTATCTGTGTACCAAATTTGAGCGCAATCGGTCGAGCCGTTCTCGAGATCTGGAAACGACCCCTGCACGTGCGCACGTGCAGCAGCACCCCAACTCTGGCACATGGATGTGCATTGCCTAGTGGGTGCCTACCTACATGCCAACTTTCAGCGCAATCGGCCAAGTTGTTACCGAGATATTGCAACAATTACAAAAGTGACACCTCTTCGTTTTGCACGTGGCACGTGCATAAGGGGTCATCCACATGCATCGGGAATAGTCCAATACTTGGTAGAAGGAATGAAGCTACCCTACAAAAATTACCGCGTGTAAATCGGTCAAGTGGTTGCTGAGATATAAGCGTCGCAGAATCGTGTCCACGGCCGGCCGGCCGCTCATACTCAGAAATTTCCGTTACTCTACCAGGCCGCCCCACACTGGAACTCGCATGCGGGTTGCGAGTTTTCAGGTTTTCGGGTTTCTTCAAAATCAAATATTACAATCTAAGTTGAGTAACCCACACTACCATCTAACAAGCGAGTCTGCATGTTTTTAGCTTGCGAGCGACCTTACATCGCATTCCAAAAGTTGATTTTGAGTCAACTTTCGATTTTCCTCGCTGCGAGGTCTGCGAGTTCTGCGAGGCTTGCGGGTTTTTCGTTGGAGTCGAATTTTGGATCGTTGCGCTGGTATTGCGACTAAATGTAATTTTCTGAAGGTGTATCGGCTTCAATGCATTCATGAAGCTACCATAAGGGAACGGTCTTATCACTCTATGAATTAGTATTATGCCCGCAAACTCAAAACCCGCAAACTCGCAACCCGCATGCGAGGTCCAGTGTGGGGCCCGCTCGCTTCGCTCGCTCCGTAATTATTATTGTTGATATTGACGATGACGTTAAAAACGATTAGCTACTGAGCCTCGCAAGTCATGCATGCCGAAAATAACTTAACATCGCCGCGACCATGTTCAATGGTTGAGTAAGAAGTTGTTCAACCGCATGCGCTGCCACTCTCGCAGAAAAAAATCGACATGCAGATCATAGATGCGAAATAGATAGGTGGCGAGGACCTGTTAGGCTCAGCTCGTTGGGTAGATGGGACAAATTGCGTTCTGCAATTCCCTGCAGTTTGTCCGCGACATGCATTTGATGAGTATCGGGCAAACGTGACAGAGCGGCAGCGTTTCGTACCTTGTCATGATGTGGAGCAGACAGAGCGGGAAGAAACTGCGGCGATAGGACAGAGCTCCGCGGCCGGCCAGCGCCAGTGAAGACCAAACCCCACACCTCTGCCGGCACCAGCTCTGAGCACAGCAGTCACTGCACAGCACACCAGTCTGCGCCGTGAGCCGGCCTGCTAAAAAGACCGTCACTGCGCCCGCCACCGCCCAGCCAAACCACCAGCACCATGCCCAGCACCAGCACCATTCCCAGCACCACCAGCACCAGCACCGGCGGCAGAAGCGGAGGCAGCTGCGCGACCATCGCCGGCTCTGATCCCTCCACCCACAGCCTCTCCACGCCCCCACCGCCATCCCCAGTCGGGCCCACACCAAACAGGCGGCAAAGCACACGGATCTGTATTCGCCACACGCGGGTTCAGTATTTACATGGGACCGGCCCAGTGTCGTTTCAAGGCCTCCACCCTGGTGCACCGCCAGCTGGAAGCGGGGAGGGGCGCGGCCCGGTCAGACACCGGTGGACTCTGTCGCTCAGCCACCGGTCAGACACACGCCGCTGTTTGTCCCGCGCGCCGGGTGCGCCCTCAGTGACGGTGCGTCCCGCGCGCCGGGTGCGCTCTCAGTGACGGTGCGTCCCACGCGCCGGTGGCGCCCTCAGTGACGGTGCGCTCTCAGTGACAGTTTCCGTCGGACGGAGCCGGTTACAGAGGTACAGTATCACAACAGGGGCGAGGTGTGTCCAAACTAGGATTTTCGCTCAGATGGACACTCCGCGAAGGAGACGGAGCGTGTTGTGCGGGGAGCATTCCAGACTAAGACTGCAACAGTACTTCGCAATGGCGCTGGGATTGCTCGCTCGCGTGCCTTTCAAGTGCATTTACACATGGGGATCATTGCGCCTGAGCATCATTGTGTGTAGCAAAAGGCAGCGACCGCAGGTACCCGGCTCGGCTCTAACAATAAAACACATTAACTCCAACCACTCCCAACACACCTAGACATAAAAAGCTGCCGTGTCTCCCCGCCGCCCGCGCCTCCACACGGGCACTGGGCCACCGACCTACATAATGCCCAACTGGTTAGTACTGGGACCGACCGACTTAAGCCCTGCAACAAACTGCGCTCTAAGAGCGTTACGTACATAACACTGGTGCTTAATAACATTTATAAACAATACATCACTACCGAACGATACACGGGGATATACGAATAAAAGCAACCACCGAGCCGACTATGACTTGCATCTATGTAATACTCAATGTGTCGCTACAGCAGCAAACCGACGACACGTCGGTCGCTGCATGGCACCAGACTGATATGCTTCGTGTTGCGTGCGACGGCGGACGGCCGGGGTCGAGGGGTACACGACACGACACCCACTGGCGCGACCGATGACCTGATCTTGACCTTCAGTATGTATAGGTACCGCATGTGTGATGGGCGGAGAGGGAGCTTTGCTCCGCAGCCAATGACTACGCAGTTCAGCGCAGAAATGATGAAAGCGGCGGTCGACTTATCGAAACATAACCAAGCTGCATTGAAAGTAAGATAAAATTCAGACCACATGCTAATACGGCTTGTCGTTAGTCCACGGCAAAATTTATGGAAACGTTATGGTTAGCTGTCTGCGAAAGACGTGTCACTTAAATTAAAAAGAGATGAGATACAAAGCATTACCATCGGAGCTACCTTAGATTACATAATGTTGTTCGTATGCCTAAGACTTCTAAAGAAAATGCATGCAACTTCAAACAACCACCGCTAAAGCTATTGATTCTAGGAAAATATAAGAGGATTGCTTACTATTAAACGTTAAGCATTAACATAAAGAGAATAAATGAGTACAAACGACAAGCTTTTAAACGTTATCTTTAATGCTTAAATATAATGCCGTGTCTCCTAAAATCCACTAAATGTGGATTTCCACATTTAGGATGAAATCCACTAAATGTGTCCTGTAAAATCCACTAAAATCTCACTGCACATAGCTCTCTGGTATGGATAGGGCCCACTCATGCCTAGTTTCTCTCACATCCCCCTCGAAAATAATCTACGTAAAGATGCTAACTGAGCCGCCCCGGGTGACAGCCGCCGGTTGGGTCAGACAGGCACGCAGCCGCTTCTCTGGTGATGTGGTGACTGTGGACTGTGCCTCCGAGACTGCTGAAGGCGGGGTTACGGCGGCTGATCCACTCCCGTCCCGGCCCTCCCCGGACGCAGCCACCGCAAACGTCCACGGCCACCGACTCGGCAGTCAAAAATCTGCGGACACAGAACACCAGTGTCAAAACAAGCCCAATCATTACACGGTGTGTGTTGAAACAGCGTACTTCGACAGCGACACTGGCAGTCCAAAAAGCTTCGGTTGATCAACTATGCAATATAGTGCTGACAAAACAATGTCTCCAAAAACGTGGGAGCTGATTCATCGGGATGGGCACTAAGTAACGCAACAAAACAGTATCGAAGTTTCAGGTCCAACCCGATAAAGCACGCCTTAGCTTTATCACAAATAAAAAGGCACGCCCCTCAAAGAGCTGCCCCGAGGTCGACTGCACCTCCACACCAGTGCACAGGTGCCAGCGGTGGTGGCGCCACCTGTCGGCGACCTACCGCACCACAGCAACGCCACCAGTCGGTGACCTCTCTCACCACAGCAGCGCCACCTATGTGTGACCTACCTCACCATAGGAGCGCCGAGACGGCGGCCAGCGCCGCCACCGGCAGCAGCACAGCCATGGTCCAGAGGGGCGGCGCGCGCGCGGCCGCTGACGGCGCCCGCAGCCGGTCGCCGTACTGGTCGGCGAACGTCATGGCCACGCCGTTGCTCCAGCCGAAGCCCAGCTGCACGTCATACTCGCCGCCGCCGCCGGGCAGACCCATACGGGTGACGTCGTACTGAAACCGGCGGCGGGAGACAGAGTCAGACGGCGCAACTGGGTCAAACACGGAACGCTCAACCCTCTTTTCACAAGTTCGCACCATTCCTCCTGCGCCCTCCCTCCCTCCTCTCTCCACTCCTATGGAACGGCCGGTCCGCTCACCTTTTCGAACATGGCGTGTGGCTTGGCCTCCATGTAGCTGAGGTAGTTGGTGTCGATCCACTTCTGCACCAGCTCGTAGGCCAGCTGCTTGGCCTCCTCGCTGCCCATCTGGTTGAGGCTCTCGACGAGCACGTGCTGCAGGGGCGGCCAGGCGTTGGGAAAGTCCCACTGCTGGCCAGAGTTCTCCAGAGAGGTGGGCACGCCGCTGCACGGGCACGGCACAAAGAGAAACGGAGTCACGGGACGGGTCACGGTGGGAGACGGGGTTACGGGACGGGTAACAGAGACGAGGTGACAGACGGGGTCACGGAGGTGAGGTCACAGCCAGAGACGGTATTTTCCATTCCAATGTGCTCATTACACGACAGTAGCACAGTGAAATGATCGATCAATGATGATGAATCACAGAATAGTTATTACGCATATTAATATTACGGGGACGGAATCGCTGAGACCCGGGTGACAGCGGATGACTGGGTCACGGAAACGTTAGAAGGTGGATGCCGGTGTGACACAGAGGAGGAAATCCGATCGATCGACACACTGACGGTCTGAGTAGTGTCTGTCTACTCTACCTGAGGAAGTTGGTGACGTTGACCTTCTCCAGGTACTGCAGGAACTTGTCGTTCTGCTGCGGCGTGGAGGCGTTCACCCACACGGGGAAGATGTTGGACGGGTAAAACTTCTTGTTCAAACGCTGCAAGGGGTATACAATACATATAATCAACAACACAGCAGAACGCCGATCGGATCGTACGAATCTCATTGAGTGAAACCACGTTTACACCTGACGTACTTCTTGAGTGTGTTGGATAATAAGAAAAGTTGGCTTCTTACAAACAAGCGTAACCATAAGCTAGTGAGCGAAACGAGTTACTCTGTGTCTACATCCGTAAAAAAAGAATAATAGAAAATACACATCAATGATGATAGGCACGTACGGTGGGCAGTCAACTGACCCCGTTTTTGGTGTCGTAGTCGAACCAGGAGCCGGCCTCCTGGTCCCAGAGCACGTTCTGGATGTTGTTGCGCAGCGTCTCGGCCTGCTCGCGGTAGTTGGCCGCCGCGGCCGAGTTGCCCAGCTGCGTGTGAAACTCGGACAGCAGACGGGCGTTCAGGTACAGCAGCGAGTTCAGGTCCACCGGCACAAAGTTGCGCGTCTTCAAGTCCTTCAGGGAGGCTGCGACCGCACGGAGTCAGGTTAGAGTCAGCCGGCGGTTAGGGAGGATCGAGCCCGTGGGCAACGTCGCATAACATCAGAAATTAAAGCAGCAAGGAATGTGTGTATTTCCCCGAGGAAAAGCCTCTCATTTCAATAACGGCACCGCTGTGTTCGGTAAATATCGCGCAAAGCCCACCACCGAGCAGGGAGCCGTACTCGGCGAACGAGTCTTGCGGGACAGTCTAACTTCAGGCGCCGACTACTAGCGACATCTATGAACCAGTTTATAAGTAGGCGAATAGAGCCGTTCGAGCGAGGGTAGTGCCGCTCGTACTGCGCGATAGAGCCAGTGGGGATGAAAATGAACTGGAAACCTGCAGGTAACTTATCACACAAATGTTTCTGTGAGTTGCGACCGATATAAGCATGTGATTGCTACTGTATTGTAAAAGTTAGGTATTTACCAACTAACGATCTACTCATTGTTGTTTTCTATGTTTCGAGTCTATTTCTATCAAAATCAATCTCTTGATGCGCCTCTATCCATGGAAAGGAAAAAAATAAAAATAAAAATCAGCGCGTACCTCACCTGGAAATGAAGTCCCTGATAAAGTATATAGCGCTCATCATCTCCGGTCACCTTTCTTAGGTACAGTAGCAATGAAGCTAATAGCAGAGGCGGACGACTGCTGCGGGGCGTATGGCACCTCACCTGGTACGCGGCGACTGCCCGCCGCGGTCGGAGAGTCGGAGACCTCACCTGAACCCTGCTGGTCGCTGCTCGGAATGAACCAGCGCGTCGAAAAGTCCCAGCCCGACTCGGCGCCCGACTTGAGCTGGGCGTACAGCATCTGGCGCGAGTTCTCGGTGGCGAACGAGTCGTGCGCCAGATCGAAGTCCTCCCTGAGGGCGCGGCAGGCGGCGGGCAATCAGCGGCGGCCGGCCGGTTGACGGCGGCGGGCAGGCAGAGGGGCAGAGCGAGGCAGAGCAGAGGGAGAGGCAGGCAGAGAGGCGGACGGGGCAGACCGGCCGCTGGACACAGCGGAGGCTGGCTACTTCACCTGCTGCTTACACCTGCCATACCACCGGCTGACGGTGCCTAGGTGAGCACCTGTGGGGCCTAAGCAAGAAAGCTAATAACGTCAGGCTGGCAGACCGTCCACCTGGCGGCCGAGTCCGGAAGCGAAGCCTGAAATTACCTCCGCCGCCCATCCAGCGTGACGAGAAATCCCAGCCCGACTCGCATCCGGCTGCCAGCTGGTCATAGAGAGCGGCCCGCTCGGCGTCAGAGCTGAGGTGGGCGGCCAGCGCAATGTCCTCCCTGGAGACACCGCGTACCCGCCGGGCGGAAACATCAGTGAACGGCGACACACCGGGAGACGGTGCACAGAGGCGCAACGTGCGGGCTAGTTATCGCTATGGTAATTTGCTATTGTTACGTTGTTATAAGAAGCTCGAGAACAGTAAGCGGGTTATTGGCAAGGTTAAAAGGGTGGGTGGAAGACCGAGCGAAGGCGTTAGTTTTGCACTGATTCGTGCCTCGTGGTGTTCAGGGCAGGACGTTACCGGCTTCATGCATTTCAAACGGACGAGTCACTACCATTGCCATATGCACATCACTTATAGATGCATGATACATTCACGAGAAGTATGATTAAACAAAATTTCCGTTTCATGTACCACTAAAAATTTATTCCCTAACATGAATTTTTTCGATCATATAGAGAAAAACAGACTTTTATCGATGTACAGCCACTATCCTATCTAGTTTTGTCCTCTCATGCTCGACCGCCCACCTGTAGCTCTCTGGCCGCGGCAGGCCGATCTCCACGTTGTAGCGGTACATCTTGTAGACGCGGCCGTCCTTTTGAACGTCCACCGTGCGGTTCGCCTGCCAGAACTGGTACTCCCGCTCCAGCAGCTCCATGTTGGTCCTACCGGCCGCCGGAGGAGTTTCACGTTATGACGGGTGACCGAACATCCTCGATCACAGAGAGGATGGACGCACCGCATGAACCCAGTGTCGTGTACTTAAGCGTCGTATTGCGCACTGGGGCAGTGAGACATGATCAAATACGTAATGCGTAGGCATTTCATAACCATGACATGGTGCGATAATCGTGATAAATCTCTCTGTTTAGTTTTATCACGAGTATTTACATTGATACAGAAGTGTCATGATTCTCTTCGTAGGTTTACATTTGGTCGGTCCGACCTGTCACGCGGGACGGCGACCAATCGGCCCGTACGTACCTGAGGAAGTCCATGTCATTGGTGGCGTCCAGGTAGAGTTTGACCATCGGGATGAGGAAGGGCGGCTGGGAACGGCGCTCGAAGTAGACGCGGCCGCCGTTCGGCACGAACCCGAACCGCTCCACCATCACCAGGAAGTTCTCGATCATGCCGCGCACCGTCTGGTGCATCTCCGAGAGCAGCAGGCCCTTCAGCACCCAGTACGAGTCCCTGCGGGCGGGCGGCAGCAGACGGCACGGCTCAGCGCCACGGCAGTGAACACCAACTTTGGGTATATACCTACTCCATTATTAACATACCGAACTTAAATATAATTAAAACACGAACTTGAAAAACACTGTCACGTCCTAACATGGATATCACCACTCCGTGCTAAAATGAACCAAGTTCTAGGAAAAGTTGGCGAGATGGATCACGCTGGACAAAGTTTCCCGACCCCGTACTAAGGAGGTGGGTAGGCCCACCGGGACCCTCCGACGAACCCCGCCTCCCCGGCCGCTGGTGGCGGGCCAGCGCGGCCTGCAGTGGCTCTCACCAGTAGTAGAACTCGCGGAACCGGCCGCCGGGCACCACCACCGGGTTGGGCACGAAGATGAGCGAGTAGCGCTCCGGGTGCAGGTACACCTCGCCGGTCACCTCTCGGCCCAGCTGCTTCCAGAAGCCGTGCAACTCCGAGATCCACGAGCGCAGACCGGCGTCGGCGATACGCGACAGGAACTTCGGACTGTTGGAGAGACAGTGCCGCGTCACTGAGCGGTCCAACCTCGCGTACACGGCCAGAATGCACAGTTATAATAAATATAGCTTCGAGGTAAGTTACCAGTGAACCGCCATTACAACCAGGTATTTAGCTTGGCAATCGATACGGTAGGATGCTGATCAAAAGACGGTCATATGTTGACTAAAAGACGGTCATATGCTGATAATAAGACGGTAAGATGGCTTTAAGTCACGATGAAAAATTGAATAACAGGGCGAATTAAATGAATATGCAATTCATTTAAGTTATCAACCACAAAAAGAAGATCTGTGAGCCCGATAAGGTGTCGAGGATTTTTAAGTTTTGTGGCGCATTATTTAACCCCCAATTATGCGATTGGTTCGCGGGCCTTACTTTTCCGTCCAGTCGGAGGGGTGCCATTGGATAAACTCGCTGTCCGGCTCCTCGAAGTTGTCGTTGAGGAAGGCGCGCACGTCATCCTGGCTTGGTTGCTGATTTGTCCGCCGCATCATCGCATCAAAGTTGGATTTGACCTCAGCAGGGTCGTAGCGCATGCTCATATCTACAAAGTGTTTGGAATCCTTGTGCAGGCGAGCCATCTGCACAGTGTGCAGCAGCGAGCCCTGGCAGTAGATATCGCTGGAACACACAAACACACCAGTTAGTCGCTACCTGAACGCAGTGACAGCCGTTCATATATCAGCCCGGAGCAGCCCTGGGTCGCATAGTCGGCTAGCCAAAGTACATATGCACTGACTAATCCTCTTGACGAAAAATTTCGAGACCCAGGCAGTCTCCCGGCTAGCAACAGCTCTCCTCACAACGCTGACACAAGCGTGAAGGAAGACATCGATCTCGAGACTGTCATCTATATCTGTATCCGGGTCCTAATTAGCCCGTTGCTATACAAATTAACACAGTCCCTACAGATTCACGGTGCTGGGCTGTTTGCTTTGGAGACGCCTCCGTCGTTAAAGCTCAGCATCAAATGCTTGGCAGAGGACCGGAATACCCGAATGTCACGGGGTGACAGCGGCGGTCGGAGGAATGTTCCACCTCTGCGTACCGCTGGGCCGCGCTGGACAACAGGTGAGCCGCCGAATCATCGGTGGTGAGATCACGTGCCCCGTCCCAGTCCGGGGACTCGGGCGGCCGGCCGGGCCGCGAGGGGTCAGTGATGGTCTCCACTGGCGGCGACACTTGGCTCGGGGCCGGGGCCGGGGCCGGGGCCGGGGCCGTCCGGCGCCTCCAGCCGCACAGGCCCGATATCGACCGGCGCAGCACTGTCCGCACAGCTGACCGGGACTCGCACATTGCCGCCGCGACTGCCACAGCTCACACGGACACACAGACGCGCCCCAGCAGAGGCGCTCTGACAGCGGCCGGTCGCTGGCCGGCCACGCGCCGCGCGCAGGCGACACCTCACCGGCGTCGGACGCACACTGCCAGGCATGCCGGGGCCGCCCAGCCCCTCCGGGCTGCAGTCATGACACCGGCGCGGCGCCATATTCGAACGCCGCAGGCCCTGAATCTGGCGTGTCTGATCCAGCGTACGCATCTGACCCGATACGCCGAAACAGCGCCCAGCCGGCTGCCAACGGGGTCGGCCGTGGCGCACTGCCAAAGCGGCGCACCATTTGAAGGGCTGCCAGGGCTGCAAACAACGTAATTGGTTCAGCTGTCTGGCAGGTGAATGGGCTCGGTAGTCGTTCGAGTGGCTTGATTCTACAACAGCTGCAACAGGCGTGGGACGAACCAGAGCTAGACTGAACTGGAGGCAACCGGATGTTCATTTAGTGCAAAGTCGCCATTTGTTCGGTTTGGTAACTGTTTTCAGAATATGCTTCGCATATCAACTTAACAATCATATGTGGAACTTTGTGCCGAGCTAAGGTTGCCCTGGAACAACAAATCCGTCACCGCCGATCGGTGACCTTGACCTCCGCCGTCCGTTGCGTTGCGACTCCAAAGCCATAAGCGGGCGTCGATAAGGTAGAGCTTGGGCATCCCCAGCTCGGCACAAACCCTCATCTATGTTTACAATATCTAAAAAAGTGCTATCATGTGGGCTGAAGCTACAGCCAGAAAAGGCATGCGTCCATCCCACATTGCCTTTATATTTCATATATATTATAATTTCAATGGGTGGATATATGCGATATATGTAGATTGTAAGTAAGTAGGTAAGTATGAGACCACGCCATGTTTTTCTGTCTCACAGACACATGTTTAAAATGTTTTCGCCTCAAATCATAGGCCCAGCCGCCCAAGAACTCTTGATCGAACAGTTAAATCCAACCCAACACCAAAATGGGCTGTGAGGCTTGCCGCACCATGGGCTCACACCACCAATAATGCTGAGGGACACTCATCAGCCGAAAATGAAGTTATTCCTTCACGGTGGCAGCGCTCTCTTCGCGACACTAGCGCCACTTATTTCATCTGGCAGCTTCTGCGCCGATACGTCTCTCGTGCGCCGCGTTTGTCGACCAGTCCGTTTCCGACCACCACCGACGGAGGACTGCTGCGCTCCGGTATCTTCTCAAGTTAAATTATAAATCCAAAGTGAGTTATTGTGGTATTTCTGGGCTAAAAAAGATAATTCGAGGGTGATAGTCAATAACAACATTGATACCTGTGTCTTATCTTGTATAGCTGCGGTATTTCGACCATGGTAAACGTGAAGGCCAGGGCCACTTCATCTTCAACCGTTTCAAGTTCGATTTCATGTGTGAACTGCCTAGGCGATGTTCGTAAATTTGGTGCTTGGAGTGTTTTTTTTAGCATAATATAGCAAATCAGGGCATTATTATCAAAGCATTGCATATGTAAGCTTTGATAAGGGCATGCCGCCTGTCACGTTGAATAGGTAGTTTACCCTGAAGTTAAGTTAAAGAGCTGTATTGGGGTGCATTAAGATTTATGAATACCTTGTAATTTGATAACCCTACTTTGAAAATGGTAAATGGTCTTAACAACTGATAGAGATTATCATGGAGTGTTCCGCCTTTCCGCATACGTATGCTTGTTTCAGGCTTGCAGAGTTTGATTAAGCCCATAATATGCATGTCATACATCTTGGTTTTCTGGGTAATATAATAATAAATATGATGGTAAATTAGAAGGTTATTAATGTCAAATGCATCCAAAACTTGTATGCAAAATCAGCCGCAGCAATTTAATAGGAATTCTGTTAGAAAATGCAGGTTTTTATCAAAGAACAAGACATTCATAGTGGGAGGTGGGCATTATATCCTTTTTTGTTGATTTTATAACACTTTCCTTATACTACAGTGCTTTCCATATAGGTAGGTACCAACAATTGGGATGTACACGATGATGGCCTTGCTGGAGTCCAAAAGCAAAACCTTCCTACATGAAATATTCATTGAAAGTAGTTCATATAATACCATAATGTGATGTTCTACACATTCATCACAATGACACACCCAGGATGACTTTTGCACTGTTCAAAAGCTTCAACCTGCTTGTATTGATTTTAACATAATTTATCCATTGTTTTAAATAGGTACATTTGATTCCCTATCACATAGAGTGAATGTTTATCAAGCATTATCATTGCTTCTAAAAGCATGCAGTCGCTAGATGTGTTGATTTGGGTGGGAAATAACATCCATATGAAAATAATTTTTCACTCTAACGTCCACTTTTGAAGAATAATTTTCCACCTCCAGTTTCACCAAGAACATTTTTGCAATGATGCTAAATTTATACCCTACATTTAAGCACACTTTTATTGGAATTTATGCCTTAGATCATTTTCCACTCTTTTTTGGCCTTATCTGAGCCAGCAATTTTCCACTCTCATCCCCTTTTCTTAAGATTTTTTCCTGTATGTCAGTGTCCCAAAATAAATTTTGGGACACTGATATTCGATAAGCTTAGATATAGGCAGTATGCACAGTATTGAAATCATTGACTTATGTCTTTCTTGAACGCAGTGCTCGGTTGTTTTCATTAGAAAACTGTACCCATCAGGTCTCCACTATTCTGCGGATTAATTGTGCCGTTCTGATGTTTCGCAGATGAGCGGCCGTCCGATGAAGTACCCGTACACGCTGTCGGCGAAGATCGCCCAGTTCCCGTGGGGCCTGTACTGGAAGAACGCCTGGGTGTTCCGGTACGGCGCCTTCGCGTCGGCCATCACCTTCCCCATCTTCGTCATGATCCAGAACGCCGTCTACTCGCCGTCCAACGTGCAAAAGTGGACCGAGATTCGGAAGAAGGAGCTGGAGCACCACTAGCGGGAGGCGACCAACAGTCGGGTGGGATTGTAAGTGTACATGTGGATCACATCGTGTAACTCGCTGAACTGTGAGAAATACAGTGGAGAACGGTCAGACGTGAAAATCTTCTGCCAGGGTGAAACTGGTGGGTGGGCCGTTACTCGTTGGAAAGCTAACAGGCAACTAAACTGATCCAAGGAATGTGTAAAGAGCATTTTGAACACTACATGAAACCTTGGAAATTTTGGGGCACGATTTTTGACACTAGATCAATGCTTGTTTTCCTCGCGTATGTGCAGCAGAATTGATTGATCTTTTTATAAAGCAACGAGCTCTCCCGACATGTTAACCCTCGCCGGCCGAGGGGGGGGGGGCGGGTGCCGCCCCCCCCCATAGGGTTTTTTCGCGATAGCTCCGAACACGCTGGCGATAGAGAGCTGAAACTTGGCATACCTGACCTTTGATCCAAGCCGGATCTTTTGACACCAACCGCATTTTTGGGTCAGGTCAGGTCACTGACCTATGACGTCATAAGTGAACCTCTGCACGGTCTTCAGATGTCGCAACTTCGCAACGCCCTCACTGCCAGAGGAGATGTCACAGGGAAATGAAACTTGCAGGATCTAATATCCATTATGAGTCCCACAACTTGTATATCTCGGATTTTTCCTAAAGGTCATATGAGGTCAGGTCATTTTCGTGACCTCACCATTATAAGTCAATGGGGAAAAATTCAAACTGCTATTCTGGCGCCGGGAACGATCTCCAACTATCTCAAGCACACAGAATCGTGATTTGATGCACTCCTTGCAAGGTTAGATGCGTCACTTTTGCAATGTTGACCTTGCGTGACGTCATTTATGACGTCATCAAGGTCAAATTAGTTTTTCGTCAATAACTCTTGATCAAATTGAGCTAGCGAGTCGGGAAAGGCACCAATGGACTCAGGAAGGCCTGCCGAATCGAATGATATGCGACATGACCTCTTTCGACCAACTTCGTGACCTGGGGGTGCTGACCTGACCTTGACCTGAGGTCAACACCCCAAGTTGACCTGACCCGGACAAAAAGTATATCATTCGACGCGCCTGAGCGAGGCGAACACGATGCTGCCAAAATCGGCGCTCTGCGGCCGTTTTTTGCGAAGTTATTCACCAAAAACTGAACCGTACCCTGGGGCACTTGACCTGACCTCAGAGGTCACCGGTTGACCTAGGACCTTAAAATCGGGTACCAATCTCTGCGTCTCGTAACGGCGCACACGCTCGTTTTTTCCGCGACGCGCTAGCTCCACCAGGGGCGAAACGGCGAGGGGGGGGGGTCGTACCCGCCCCCCCCCCCTCGGCCGGCGCGTATGTAGAAAACCAATAGGTCCGGCGAGGGTTAAGAGTGCTACGAAATGCCCTCACTTCAATTCGTCGACACGGATGTAGCGGTAGCAGAATAAAAGAAAAGATCACATGGGCAGCTGGGTCCGAATGTTGAGTTACCGACATTTTGCCGAACTTTGCACAAATTGTCTGATGCCGGATAGGAATCGGGGCCAGGCTGGGGGAGGGACGGTGGGGTTGCCTGGGTTCAATGCGGCTCGGTGCTCGGCAACTTATGCGGTCAGGCAGCGCCTCAGTAGACTGCTGACTTTCGCCCCGTCTATGCTGGCTGCGGTCGCTGTGCACGACAGTGCCCTCAATCACATTCAGTCTTCTCTGGGCATTCCGTGCCCAACAATACCGAAGGTTCACTGAATCAAGCTTGTGTACTAGTTGCAGCAGCTTTTGTAAACTCAATCAAAGTGAGCAGTTGAATAGAATTGGGCGCATTGTAACTGTATGAACGGTATGACCACAGACCAAACGATATTAGACGATATGACCGGTGACCACCCCAATTAGATCAGCATTATCCTAAACAGCAAATGGCAAAACAATGCTTGGTGCAAACAAAGCATTCCTTCTTGACGACCTTCAGGTTCAATGACTCCTGCCACGAATCTGGATGTTTGACGTAATGGCGCGTTGCAGCTTGATGTGTCATTGTGCCATGCACTGCACGATTGTACAGCTTTAAACTTGAAAGAAATGACGGCGTACTTCGTAGCGCTCCATAGGTGCTATGAATGAAGCGCAACAACAAGGTCCGGGCGTTTAATCTCCCCCCCCCCTAGAAAGTGATGGTTCAGTTTTAATGCTAACTTGTTCTTTTATGGTTGCCGGCTTTGGCTTATGTAGTTTGAAACTGTACAGTGTACAGGAATCCAACCGTGATACTACTAGGGGAAACTGGCACTCCAACCACGACGCTGTGGATGAGCTGCAATCTTCGCCCGTTTCCAGCGTAATAAAGTTACGGCCTCCAACGCTTAGCTCAGGAGT